TGATTCAGTTCACAAGGTACGTATCGGAACGGGAGCTAAGCTAACAGGAACAGGGAGAAGCGATCCTAGGGTTTGACAATAGACTGCAGAGAAGCCTTTTATATATATAATATATTAGACAATCTTATTAATACTTTTAAGACTATCTTGTTTAATTATAAACATTCTAGCATTTAGATTAGTAGATAGATATTTTTTTAATATTATATAGAGAGTCGTCTTGTCTATATAATAAATTTTTATAATATAGATGTTTAGTAGTTAAGTTATAATAAAGAGAAGGATATTCACAAAGGTTATAGTATATGTTTAAATACTGATATTAATAACAGCATGTCTTTAAAATAATTAAAAAATAAAGAAAAAAATATGTACTTATAAGTAAATATAGTGTCTATCTTAGTCTTATCTAGAGATCTTTTACTATTTCTAAGAATTTGTCAGGATGTTTTACTTTATTATAATCCATATATTAATTTCTGTAGTAATAATTAAGACTATATTTATAATAATAGTAATAATATAATTAAAGATTTTTTTTATACTTTTCTGTTACAGATACTTACAGAAATCTGTTAATATACTTAGTCTTATTTCTTACTAAAACTCTTTTATAAAGCTGCTCAGCTGTACCTTTAAGTAAAATTAACTTTATATATATTAATAATATATTTTTACTAACTTTCTTACTTACTATCATCCTTAGACTCGCTATATTGGTATTATTCCCTGTTTTATTTATTAAGAAGATATTCAAGACTTTCATATCTTTGAAATGCCCCGTCTCCGTGAATTACTATTTTATCTAGTAGTATAATAAGAGTTATAGTTTTTACTTTTATACTATATTTACTTTCTATATAGAAAATATTAAGAATGTTATATAAAGCCTCATCTTTTTTAAAGTTATAAGTATAAAAAAGATTAACTTTACTAGCAGGGAACCCTTTCTGGACAAATAATATTTTAAAAAAATAATTAATTATTATAAAAAAATTCTATATCTTAAATCAGTCTTTATTATTATAAATAATAATTTAATTATTAGAAAATTTCTCGCCGGATATGCGCATAATATTAATATTTTAATTATTTTCTATATTTTTTTAATAAATATATTAATACTAAGATTAACCGGGGATCTGATAATCAAGTTTTAAAACTTTATAAAATCTGGTATTTATGCTATAAGCACAGTATTAATTTTAAACTTAATATTATAGTTTACTAGCTAAACTTTTATAAGAATATAGATTTCTTTATTTAAGATTTATAGTTTTTTTACTGAAAGTACTTTCAGATATTGATTATTAATAGAGAAAATAAATCTGATAAACAGCTTTAAGATGTTCGGAACTTTCTTATTAATAATAAAGAATTTAAGTCTTTTTATAATATATTAAAATAATTATTAAGATGATTTAATCATGTAGAATAAGATGGATGATAATCTAGTTAAAGATCTTGTAAGTTATTTATATAGATTAATTAATAATATATAAAAAAGTATTATATGATCTTATATTACTTATTAATATAGGAGTCTATCAGGGATCTTAATATAATATATATTATTATTAAAATATATTTATATTAGAGTTAAACATTCTTATAGTCAAGTCATGTCTTATTCTGGATAAATATATATAGTTTCTAGATTAAGATAGTTATGACCCGTTGCATTTTATCTTAGAAATTAGAGTTAATAGAGTACTTAAGTATGTTTATTAGGATGAGGATAGTTTTAAGGCTAGGAAAGAAGTGTATAAATGGTTAAAAGATAGGGCCTCTTACTTAAATACTCATAAGAGATTAGAGTAGTAATTAGCTTAAAATAAATTCTTGCTGGGGTTTTTATTTGCTTAAATATTTTATAGAGATCTTTACTTTATTAAAATATTATATTCTGATATTAGCTTTTTAGTTTAATTCTTGTATTGCAAATGCTATCAAGCCTTGTAATATTATAATTTCTGACTATTATTGATTATTTGTATTTTGGACTATATTTAATGTCAGGAGCACTCTACTAGTAGGAAGCAAGAACGCAGAGAAATATGAGTGTTGTATTGCTATCTAGAGGTTGCGCAGCGAGAGGCGCGTAGAAGAGGTGCCTGGTGTGGCACTAGCTAACCACATGACCAAGCCAACTGGTATTACTGTCTCAACAGTCACTAATCACCCATATCTATATAACCCTGTCATTGGAATACATTGTGATCTATATGAGTAATATGGTTAGTATCTTGCCTAATATATAATCCAGTTAATCAGAGTCTATTACTGTTAATGTGATTTGCAGATTTTCAGAATAGATAATCTATTAATATAGTCTGTGTTTATATGTACTTAGCTTACTTAATTTTAATCTTCTATACAGTACATGACTTATTATCAGAATTCAGGCCCTAGTACTAGAATCAGGATCATCTAATCCTGGGTACAAGCTTTTTTTTTGGTTGTTATCTACAGTAACACGGGTGATAAAGCTCTGAATATATCTACTCTGGGTTAGCTGCTGGCTAAGAGGCCTTTAAAATACAGTAGATTATAGATTTATAACAGAGTCAGTTTACTAAAGATCTTTTTTTTTAATAATTATATTTAGTGATCTAAAGCTCTGTACTAACACATGCTTTTAAGTCCTGTAAAACAAGACTAAAATAAGATAATAATCTAGATTTATTATGTAAATAGTATAATATAATAAAGATTATCAAATATTTTTATCTATTTATTTACTATTTATCTTATATTCTTACTAACTTTATTATTATCTAAAGAACTTTAAACTAAGCTATGCTAACCACTCGACTGCCAAAATCAGAATATAGATTTAAAATACTGCGCATTATTTAAGACTATACTTATTTTTCTAATATTTCAAGATTAATTCTCTAGACTTTTCAGTAAGCAAGACATGAGTAATACTGAGAAAGTAAAAGAATCTCTCTGCTAAAACCAGCTTCAAATCTTATGTTTCTTATCTCTTACTAGGTAACAAGTATAGTAATAATAATAAATATCTTATTAGTAGAGTCTGTGATGTTTTTATATTAGAAAGATTGAGAGATCTTCTGCTTTACTGCTTATCTAGATATATAATTCATTATTAATCTTACATAACAGGTTTTATATATCTTAATAATAATAAAGCTACTATATATCTTCAGAGAATAAATTTACATTATTAATCAAGATAATGTTTTTAATAGTATAGATATATACTAAACTTAGTAGATAGATCTAAGAAGCCTTTTTATAAATTATACCTGCTCTTCCAGATCCTTTATTTCTTATAAAATAACTATAAATTTAATATTATACTTTTTACATATTATATAAAATATCTGACTAAGTTTTTTTTATTTCTCAATGTTTTTACAGATCATTCTTATCTTATTACTAAATAGCTAACTCTTATTACCCAGCTTATAAATAATGATAAGTATATTCTTTATCTATTTTTTAAAAAAATACTAGTTCTTAAGTATAGTAAGCTTCTCTGCTGCAGATCGCTCTAAAAAAAAGCCAGTATATATAATTAAGTTAATTCCAGATTTATTAAAAATAAGCCAGATATTTAGCTTATTCTCAATATTAAACTAAGCCTGAAGAGTATATCTTTAAAGATCCAGTCCTGTATCTGACTCTTTAATATAGATTATAAAGAAGTCTTCTGTGTATATAATATATTAAACAATCTTATTAATATTTTTAAAACTATCTTACTCGATCACAAACATTCCAGCACTTAGATTAGTAAATAGGTATCTTTTTAATATTATATAGAGAATTATCTTGCCTTTATAATAGACTTCTATAGTATAGATATTTAATAATTGAGTTATGATAAAGAAAAGGGTATTTATAAAGATTACAATATATATTTAAATATTGATATCAATGGCGGCATATTTTTAAAATGATTAAAAAATAAAGAAAAAATGTGTACTTATAAGTAAATATGGTATTTATCCTAGTCTTATCTAAAGATTTTTTACTATCCCTGAGAATTTGTGTTACGGACCCCTGCTAGCTGAACAACTAGTAAGGCGGGTATGTCAGGCAGAAGGCCACATCCGGACGGAAGGGGGCTCTTATCGAGGAGGATCCCGACCTGAACCGTCAGGCAGCACGGATCACGTGACCATGGTATACGGACAAGCATGTGGTATATAACATACCATCATGGTCTATGACTACCAAGTGGGTATACGACAGACCCGATGGTATATGGAGTGGTATACGAGGGACGGATATATAAGGACACTCTTTCATGTACTTAGTTAGTTCTGTTCTTCGTGCTCAATTAACCTGTCTTTAAGTAACCATACGTTGGTAGAGCTTAGCGACAACACTCGTCCGCACTTACTTACGGATAGCTGCGCGGCACTATCTGGCCTTACTTCTCTTCTTCTGTTCAAGATCAAGTCACCTTTAGATAGTCAACAGCCTGACTACCTTTGATTCAGTTCACAAGGTACGTATCGGAACGGGAGCTAAGCTAACAGGAACAGGGAGAAGCGATCCTAGGGTTTGACAATTTGCTAGAATACTTTATTTTATTATGATTCACACATTAATTTCTGTAGCAGTAATTAAGATTATATTTATAATAATAATAGTAATATAATCAGAAATCTTTCTTATATTTTTCTATTATAGATACTTACAGAAATCTGTCAGTATATTTAGTCTTATTTCTTACTAAAACTCTTTCATAAAACTGCTTAGCTATACTCTTAAATAAAATTAATCTTATATATATTAATAACATGTTTTCACTAACTTTCTTACTTATTATTATTTTTAGAGTTACTATATTGGTATTGTTCCCTGCTTTATTTATTAAAAAGATATTCAAGACTTTTATATTCTTGAAATGCCCCGTCTTCGTGAATTATTATTTTATTTAACAGTATAATAAGAGCTGTGACTTTTACTTTTATACTGTATCTACTTTCTATATAAAAAGTATTAAGAATATTATATAAAATCTCATCCTTCTTAAAACTGTAGATATAAAAAAGATTAACTTTATTAGCAGGGAACCCTTTCTGGATAAACAATATCTTAAAAAAATAATTAATTACTGTAAAAAAATTCTATATCTTAAATCAGTCTTTATTATTATAAATAATAATTTAATTACTAGAAAATTCCTCGCCAGATATGCGCGTAATATTGATATTCTGGCTATTTTCTATACTTTTTTTAATAAATATATTAATATTAAGATTAACCGGGGATCCAGTAACCAAGTTTTAAAACTTTATAAAATCCAGGATTTATACTATAAGCATGATATTAATTTTAAACTTAATATTATAGTTTACTAACTGAACTTTTATAAAGATATAGATTTCTTTATTTAAGATTTACAGTCTTTTTACTGAAAGTACTTTCAGGTATTGATTATTAATAGAGAAAATAAATCTGATAAACAGCTTTAAGATGTTCAGAACTTTTTTATTAATAATAAAGAATTTAAGTCTTTTTATAATATATTAGAGTGGCTATTAAGACGATTTAACTGTATAAAATAAGATGGATAATAATCTAGCTAAGAGCCTTGTAGACTATCTATATAGATTAATTAATAGTATATAAAAAAGTATTATATGATTTTATATTATCTACCAGTATGGGAGCCTATTGGGGATCCTAATATAATATATATTATTATTAAAATATATTTATATTAGAGTTAAATATTCTTATAGCCAAGTTATATCTTATTCTGGATAAGTATATGTAGTTTCTAAATCAAGATAGTCATGACCCGTTGTGTTCTATTTTAAAAGTTGGAGTTAATAGAGTACTTAAGTGTGTCTATTAGGATAAGGATAGTTTTGAGGCCAGGAAAGAAGTGTATAAGTGGTTAAGAGATGGGGCCTCTTGCTTGAATACTCATAAGGGATTGGAGTAGTAATTAGCTTAGGATAAACTCTTATTAGGGTTTTTATTTGCTTGGATGCTTTATAGAGATCTTTACTTTATTAAGATATTATATTCCGATATTGGTCTTTTAGTTTGATTCTTGTGTTGCGAATGCTATCAAGCCTTGTAGTATTATAACTTCTGGTTATTATTGATTGTTTGTATTTTGGACTACATTTAATGTCGGGAACGCTCTACTAGTAGGAAGCAAGAACGCAGAGAAATATGAGTGTTGTATTGCTATCTAGAGGTTGCGCAGCGAGAGGCGCGTAGAAGAGGTGCCTGGTGTGGCGCTAGCTAACCACGTGACCAAGCCTACTAGTACTACTGCCTCAACATTTAATAAATTCAATTAACCTGGTTGGTTCTCCTACCCTTGATATTTTATCCGGTGTAGTGCATTGGTACTTGAGTCTGGGGACCTCAGAGCGCTTCTGGATAAACAACTTTCTATTGCAAAGCTACCATAATCTTCCAGTCATTCTCCTGTGTTGGCCCAGTAATATTGTTTACCATCACGACCCTTCGAGCAAAAAGTCCAACCAACCTCAACTTCCATCATCCCGAATTAATATCCATTCACACTCACCCCATATCCGACCAGTTTAGTTGCCGACTCGAAGACAACCGACAGAGTGAAGTGAAAGCACCCATCTTCATCTTAATCTTCAACTCTATGCCCATGTTGCCATGGTCCAAACCCTTCCAACAAACCCCTACTGACTTTCCACGATCCCATTTCCGTCATCTCTTCTGCGAAGATCATCTACCAAATCCTCTTGAGACATATCCTGACGAACACTCTGCACCAGTGCCAGGTATCCCGAAGCAGCGTTCCATTATTCCACAATATCCTCCAAGCAATAAGGAACCGCCGATGGACCAACATGCGCCGTCGCACGGAATGCACAGCTCCCTTCACCCGCATCGTAATTTCCCCCCATGTACTCAAAGACCCCCTCCAATTTACGCATCGTTGGGTTAAAGCAGATCCTCCCTTTCGTCAACATCTCATTGCAAAGAAGATAATTCGGCTGCGATTTCCGAACCCCACGCCAGATGAATGGTAATGTGCATCCATCGTTGCACTGTTGTATCCTAGGGCCTTACCCACAGGTATATCCTCCTCGGAGATGAATTAATCCCTGGGTTGTTATCATGATCTAACTATTATTGAATCGTGGTCATAAGCGACCAATCCTGTATTTATTACCGGGAGAAGATATTTTCATTTGCTCATGGGGCAAACCCGGGTTTTTGTATTCTATCTATTCCACGCCATTTGTGAGTATTTCCATATCTTTGCTCTATATCATCCATTTCTCTGGGATGACTGGTACATACGACCACAGGGTGTGGAGAACAGGGCTTCCCGTCCGCTCAGCCGTACTTAAGCCAAACGCCGGGAGGTTAGTAGTTGGGTGGGTGACCACCAGCGAATCCCTTCTGTTGTATGTTTTTATGCCTTTTTTCCATTTTACTGCTTTTTTATTTTCAAATCAAGGGATAGTATAGATGGACAGGGACTCCACTTGATTTATTTCGTTTGTGTTCGTCGTATTGATGTTTAGAAATCGAGTAAATGAGACTAATTTACTCCTTGCGGTAGTACCATTAACTAGTTTAATGGCTCCAAATCCTGGATGTAACACTCCATCCGCCGTCTAGGTGGAAGTCAGTGTCGTAGGCTGTGCAAGGCTGGGACTAGGCTTCTAGGAATCTTTTGGGCATGTAGGTCGCCGTGTTTGGTGAGAGAATTTATAACCCAAAGACCGAAAGACAGATTCATTATCTACTTTACTACAATTATAACCATTTCCAGGAAGACACGCCCTCCGAATATGCATTGTGTATTTCATATTGACTCCGTAGATCAAGAAGGAAATGTGACTAATGTATGATAGATATTCCGCCCATTCCAGTCAACCCAACATCGTAATAAAGACTTTTAAATTGTAGGCAATTGTGTTACAGACAAGAGAGTCGATGCTAGACACTCCATTAAACAGACGAAAAGATTCGTGTTAGAGATGATCGCATGAATCAAGCCTACGAGAAGGGGGTATGAAGAAGGGGGCTTTTCGGAGATGGTAGTATGGGACCACCTTCACCCCATTCAACTGACAGAAGATTCGTGGAAATGATGGGTGGATGGTACATCATGAAGATAAACTACATGATATATAGATCTCTCGTTCAGAGGTCCCTCGCATCTGTAGCTCATGGGAATTCCGTAGATTGTAGGATAGGTAGTCCTTGCGGCTGCAGATCTGCTCGCTATAAAGAAAGACACCTGAAACGCCGCTTCACGTCGGTATGTCTTCTTGACTCACTGGTCAAAAGGACAAACGTGTGAGCGAGGAAAGACCTGGATGGTCTTGATGTGTCTGCTTAGGCCTTGCCATCTGCTGAAGATTGACCTGGTAATGCAGGTTTCCCATTCACAGCGAGGATCATGGGGTCAGTTTGCTGATTAGGAGCTGACCCAACATGTGCACCCTTACTGTTCCCTGATGCTAAATATTTAGTCCGACTGGGATCTTCCCGATTCCCAACTAGTGACGAGGTAATCAACTTGTTGTATTGGAGCAGCATTTTGACAGGCTAAATTGACGATCCGTTGAGGTCCAGCCCTTAGGGCGATTTTGCTCGAATGACTTAACCAGAATCGATTGTAATAATCACTTAACCTCACTGGGGCTTGTGTCTCACCAGTAGCAATGATATCTGGTTCCTCCAGTGGGGCTGCACAAAGGAAGTTGTCTAGAGGAGAGTCATGAACACTATTCGTAGCAGACATGATGAGAGAATGCAGTCATTTTGCTGACTTAATAGCCACTGTGTTGTATATGCCAGCAGCTTATTGATAGCAATGATGGTGATTAGGATGGGCCTTGGGCAGTGTGGGTATATTCAGTGGAAAATCACAAGTGTTCCATTCCACAGTCACCCACCTGTTGAAGTTCCCGCCAAAAAGAGCCTAACGGCCTGAGACCGGGGATATATAAGCATGGAGGTCAAGAGTCATCCTCCAGCCCGGTCTTCGAGTGCGAGAAGGTGGTACATTGTTCGATGACGGCGGGATCCGAGAGGAGATTCAATGGGTAAGCTCAGGGTCAAGAGTTTGCTGGCCATATGAATACCGTGCTTTGGCTAAACGTGCTGTCTGTTCAGGATCGATTTTATATCAAGTCGATGTAAGGTCTGACGCCCGCAGTTGCCAATGATAATACCAAGGCATGATCCCATGTCAAGCGAGACACCACCAATACACAGTACTGCATGTATAAACCCCATGTGATAGGTTTAGTCCCCTTGCACAACGATGACGCAGCAGTCTTCCGCTGTGCCGGCATCTAGAATAGCAATATGCATCCTATACAACATTCACTAGTCGATGGCAATGAGCACCAAATTAGTGGCTCCGGACCTGATCTCAACGAGCAGCATTCGTCGCTGCTACCTTTCTTAGGTATCAATTCAACGTGACTCCGAGTCTGACTGAACATATCCACCGCCCATCTAGAGATGGGGTAGTTGATAGTCATCCAATCTGCCAACAACACCGGATTCGACGTCCTAAACTAGGTTCAAATATCGATCATGTATTTCTGGCATGTTCGACGGAGACCAGTATGTAATGCCAGATGTTTTGACAAATGATGTCTTTCTTTATAACGCACTGTGACTCCCTGTAGCTGCAGGTTACACATACTTTTGAGCGTAACCTCCTCGGCTAGGCTGGCACGAACTTGACCAGTAAGATATATCCCACATCATACTCAGGATCTCTGGAATGCTCAAGGCTGTATGAAGCCGGAGCCAATCGCCCCTTTTGAAAATGCGACCTTCTCACCCGATGTGATGGTGCCGAGGCAATGTGGCATTCTGCTTCGGCCACCACGGTTTGGCCAATTGATCAGACGATGATGTGCTTCGGCATGGTTCTTGAGGCTCTGGTTCCAGCTTCTTCCTTTGTAACGGCGGATGCATTGTCAGATTAGGCAGGTATCCTCAAGTATATGAGGGCTACTCGCACTGGGTGGTTGAACGCCAATACAGATCCGACTAGTGAGGATGAGTGTTGCTTGAATTTTAAAACCATGGTTGACTGACAAGGATGGGACCGGACTCGAGACGAATAATTTATTTCAGGGTGGCTTAGTTGCTTAAATATATAGTATAGGGAGAAGCAAGTAGTTTTACAGCCAAATCTCAGTGATAAAATGGCCTGTTACATCCACACAAAAATGGCGGGAACCATGGCCCTTATATAGACCTCCAGGTACCCAATTTGGCACCGGTAACCCTCAATCCTATGACGGATGTCTTCCTAGATGAAATCTCCCCCCAGGAGAATATCGGTTCATCAAAGGGTGATGGCTTGGACCTGTTGAAAGCTTCCGTAAGAAGATGGAGATTGCCACTTAGGAACCCTGCTGTGTACTGTAACTCCATGGATATTGTTCAGTTAGGCTAGCATGGGACTTTTCGGGGTTACTCCATGGGATCTTCTCACTGCTTCAACCCTCGTAATAGACCTCTGAGGTTGTTAGCATTTGCTACAGCACCAATACCCTACTCTACCAGTGAGCCTGTGGTCAGACACGGACTGGTTTGGTTCTAGAATATCACTATCACTTTCAGCTGTCTCTGTCATTCCCCTATATACTGCTAAAACTTGTCCAAGAATGTGAATTGATTACAATTAACCCAGCCTATTGAAACACTCATCTCCAAATGTAAACACGCAAGACTAGTAGCCTCAGGCACATATTCATGCCTCAGGCAGTATATATCATTGAGGCCCATGGCTCCGATCCACTCCGATGACTCCACTTCATGGGTACCAATTGCCCCAAGGTTCGGTCCGCCTTGCCGCCCCATGAAACCGTCCCACTCCCGGGAAATAATGGTTTCTCATGATCTCATCTGCTTCGGCAATTACTTTCTTTCCGGAATGAGATATGATTCTTTTTGTTGTGGGTTTAGAGCTATCATGTATATCAAACCACTCGACACAAGAACATGTCCTCGGGCAGGTAATTCCAACAACGAGGGTTACCTCATAAAGTACTTTATTACTTTGGTATTCTGGTGATATTAAATGGGAGGCGCTACAGCCACACCGGCCAGGCTACAACCACACTTTCTGCTTACTCCGCCTACTATGTTAGGCAAGGCTTACTTTGTATATCCAGGCAGAATCTTCACCGCTTTTAATAATACCTGAGGCACTCAGTTTACACTTAAGGCATTAACAATGCCTTAGGCAATCATAGTATTGGATAGTTATAAGCTCTGTTTGACGCTATACGTGAGGCCCTGTGTAAAACCCTAGATAATATATGAAACAGTGATCTGGATATAGCCCTATATTCATTTATCAGGTTTCCACATAGAACAGAACCGCTTAATTATAGATTAGGTGGGTAAAGGCATGGTTGTAGCCTCCCTATTAAACTTCCAAAATTCCAGATCTAGAAGCCATAACATCAAATAATAAACAGATTTCCCGATACATTTCCACCCAATAACCGCAGCCTGTATTAACCTGATGTTTGAAACACAAAATCATGATATCATAAAGAGAATACGTCAATAAACAAAAAGAATCCCGAAATATATATACCAACGCCCTGATGAAGCACCCTCGATGTCTCCTGCTCGAGATTAATCAACAACAAATTAAGTAAGAAAGGAAGGAAGCAAGGAAGAATAGAACAGAGAAGAGAGAAGAGAGAAGAGGATGAACAATCGTCACCTATACTCTCCAGTGAGGCCGCGACATATGTTCGTGGAGATTATCCTTCCGATTGAAGGATTTATCGCAAAAAGGACAAACATAAAATTGGGGAAAGACATGGATGGTCTTGATGTGTCTGCTTAGGTCTTCCCATCTGCTGAAGGGTGATTTGGTAGGGCAGTCTTTCCATCCACAGCGAAGGTCATGGGTTCTGTTGGCTAGTTAGCGGTTGAACGAATAGTATACTTGATCCTCGCTGGTCTTACTCTTCCCTCGGAATTTCCACGATAAGTGCCTGTCTATTTTGAAAGGATGGAATGATCCCGGGGCCTGAGGGGATGCCGTGGGTGTAGTCCCCATGAAGAGCGACGACGTTGCTAGGATTGCTTTCTAGGATAGGTACCGTGGTGTTTATGTATTCAGCAGGTCCAAGGAATGGGCCTTGTTGGGGTGGGTTGAAAGCAGAGGCATTACCAGGATACCCTAGCCCTGTGGTGTGGACTGGGTAGTGCATCGCTAGATCAGGTTGAGGGTATCGGGAAGAGAGTATGTTCTCGAGATGATGAGCAGGAACACTTGGAGGTAGATAGTTCTCCGAGGTGGTGTTTATCGACATGTCCTGGCCGGCTGTCGATGTAGTAAACAAGGAACGATCATCCTTGGGGTACAAGGGATTTGTATAGCGAGACATTATATAAATGATAGAGAAAAAGAATCGACGCCCTGCTCGATTCTTGGTAAATCCGACCAAGAGGGTGGAAGTCAGACGATAGTTTTGTGAAAAGGCCAAGTCCAGTATTTATATTGATAGATAGGAAGACATGGGGAGCATTCCGGGCTAAAGGGCCTGGGCTGCAAGATCGGGAATTGACCCATGGCGGCGGGAGGGGACCCAGTTGTTTGGCCGCATCGATTGTCAGCAGCGGGAGGGACGTGCAGAGGCCGGGCACATCTGTACTTAATTTGTCACTTAGTACATTTCTGCGGGCGCGGGCGGTTTCATGTTCCCAGACACGTGGGCCAAGAAGGTGGATGGATTGTTGCTTGAGGGCTGATGTGGCCGATGTGGCCGATGTGGCCGATGTGCCTTATACCGCCTGACCGAAGTGAGGTCTCACTTGCAATTTCGTTTTTTTTTTTCGAAGCGCGCAGCACTGAGGAACACTAGGTCAGGACTTGGGCAAGGGAATTTTACAGCGGAAGCCTTTTGATTAGCCCTGAAGATTTAATTGGCTCTTTGTTTCACGTGTAACGTGACGTGACGTGACTTTATATTGCCAGCACTCACCGCTTAGCTTCCCCAAATAGGTAGGGGGGGTCTGGGGGAGGGCTCTTTCACAGCGTATTATCATACATCAGCCTCTTCCAAGTCTACTGTCAATAGTAAAGCCCGGACCGTGTAATGCGTAAGGCATCTCACACTGTTGACTATCCCGTGACTGAACGGTATCCCTACCATATTTAAAAACACCGGCCAAGCTACCCACACACCATCTACTGGTTTAAAAAAACCTATGTAAGGAAAAGTCCATCCTCTATAATACTTTCTTACCGAACGGTACTTGAAACATCTCGAAATATCATTGAAAAGGCCCTACAAAGCATCTGGCGAAATGCTTCGAGAAGGGCCTTCAAATGGCCTTATGCGGATAACTTCCATATGCCATCATGAACAGCCTGATGAGTAGCTTCTACGTGGCATCGATATGAGTCGCCTATTGGATATTCTCCGAGTAGCCTCCAAAAAGTCACAGATAGGCTCTGTTATAGGCTCTGTTATAGCCTCCTGACAAGTCATAACTAGCCGCACGAATGGGCTTATCCGCAAAGCGCATTAGCGCAAGGCAGGACTGGGAGGTAATCACGACAGGAGGCTTGCTTGGCAACAAGGGTAGGAGCTATTATTTCATCAGCTAAGAAGATAAGAACAATACGATGAAACCCTTTAGATAATTAAAGCAGTACAAATATTTTTATACTGATAAGTGACTTGATAATATACTGATAATCATACACCTTTACTTCTTTAATCACTCCATAAGTAAGTCCAGCCTCAGTAGTAAATTCAATTCGGAAAATTATGTTTGTATGGAATTTTCCGGTTGTCTTTATTGCTAGTGTTAGTACATAATCAACTACATGCAAACTGCGACCGCCTATAGCCCGGAACAACATGGGAGATAGTCAGTATCTGAAGAATCACAAAAGACTTCAACGAAATAACAACCCAAGCTCCTATGTATCTGATGGCCCTGTCAAGTAACGGAATATTGCTGGTTCAGATCCGTGACGTTATTTCTACGATCAAGGATGGCCCAAGCCCATAGATTAATTCTATAATGCCTCATGATATCCCTTATACTCCTGTCTGGCTTCCTCATCCAGCTCATCCAGCAAAGTTCTGGATTGGGTACACTGATATACCAGTATTTGTCAATTTTCACCACGACGTGGGCTGAAGACATTGAACCTGTTTCAATGACACCCCTTATATTGGAACCCGATAACCCCATCTCGACGAGGTAGACCTGCGCTATCATTGCTGGCGCAATATCGGTCGTTCGAGGACGGACAGCCCGCATGAGCTGCGCATTAGTCAACGTGCATTATTGGTTTTCACACAATAAATGGGTTTGGTTGGCATCATAAGCGACCGTGGGAATGCTCGTCCATGAGATGGCAAGTAATTGTCGGAATCTATGGCAGAGTGGACAGGTATTACACTTCATCAGAGAAGGGTAGCTGAAGCCCGTGCTGTGGCTGCGTAAAACCGTGTGGTTGACATATCGAGGCCAGTGTATAAGATGGATTCTTGTGCACTCGCATGTGGAAGAGGTGGGAGGATCATCGGTGGTAGTGTGATATGGCGTAGAAGGGAGAGGAAAATGGTATGCTGTTGATCTCGGCGCAAATGCACTCAATACAAGTGATCCAGGTATGGCTTAGACGAGTGGGATAAGATAATCGAGACAATTTGGGCTACTGCCCTACCATATGGTATGTTTCTCATATTTTCCCAGCAGTACCTGACGTGTGAAATGTCCAAAAACCACCCTCAATCCACACAGTTCACCAGAAAAGGCGAATTGTGCAAAAGAGCGTAAAGCTGTTGGATAATTGGGTCACTAGAGTAGCATAGAGGGCTCTATATAATTGGCAGTGGAGATCTCGCAATGTGAGATAGCCAGCGTACGTGTAGAAAGCTTCCGTGCGTATATCGTCTGGGGCACTGCGATTGCCGAAAGATTCCCTATGCCTGGGCTGGATAGAACCTACGAAGCACATAGTTAGAATGAGGAGTTTCTCCACAGCTGCTGCTCAGCCATTGCCCGTTTAATCACGTGTGGCAATCGAGGCCAGGCGATCGAACGGACCGGATGGCTTCCCGTCACTTCCACTCAACACTCGATCTACTGAGTGAGCCGTCTGCTTACTAGGCTCTGCCATGTGGATAACTTTGGCAGCGCTCTTACCTTTCCCATATGATCGCAACTCGGTCTCTGCGTGTTTTTACTTTCTGAATCGACGGATGTCGTGTCAAGATGGCTTGGGTTAGGCTTGAACACGCAGCCTTCCACTTGGTGGTGCATACCTGGTGCTTCATAATACGGACTGGATGATCTTCTATACATGCTCGTCTCTAATCAGGATGATTCGACACGCAGATGGCCCTGTACTAGTTGGAGGTAGGGTTCATTGCGGACCTTGGAGATTCCGCCCTGTTGCGCGGTTGAGAAACGAATGGCCAACGACACTGTCGGTTTATGGATTCAACAGCTGGACATACTTCACATAATTAGAATGGGCGAAAGGCTGGGCAAGTCCTCGGTCCACTTCCTCGAACACTGTTGCTCCCAAATGGCAGGCAAGACGGCAAGGGCTTTGGGGATGTTGTCGAACAGCGTCCTCGAGTGAATACCTTTCAGATAATTGGTGAAGAATGACCGATGAGCGGGGTCTACACTGTCTGCTGCGGCAATAAAGCATGACCATACAAAGCCATGGGCACCTGGTTCCGTGGGGTTCACCTGGCACAAGAGCTGGCGCAATCCTTCCAAAGCATCCCAGGAGCTCTGGTTGGTGGTTGCGCGTTGAAGGTAGATCTGAGCGCCCATTGCAAATCCCTGCTTGACAAGAGACAGAGTTCTGTCATGGTGAAAGTCTGTGTGGACACCCGACGCCATCCACACCCCCGGGTCGATGGGATTCCTCAGCTGTTCAGCACCCAAATCTTCATTCAATAACGGTTGGCCTAGAAAAGCAAACATGTCCGTTTGTTTGGTCAGGAACTCATTCAACTCAGAATTTTCGACAGCCCTCATGTTGCTCGCCAGGGTGAGAAGGGTCTGCAGCAGATGACTGTATTCGGAGCTTCCAGTGACGGTTTCGCCAACAAGGAGCACGATCAGCGTTGCCCAGGTCGATTGATTGAACACAAGATCGGGCGAACCGAGTTGGGAAGCACTTCGTAAGCGTGATATAATTGCTGACCGGTTCGACTCCGTTGTCGCTTGACTAGAGGGTTGTCGAGGACGGAGGTGCTGCGCAGCCACCACAGAGACAGCCTGCTGTAAAAGCTCGTCTTCAAATGCCATTGGAAGGATGAGATCCCGATACCCATTCGATATATCAAGGACGACCATGACCGGCGCAACATATTTTGCGAAGTAATCGAAGGATTGGCGCGTCTTGTGATCAATAGGGGCTATCCACCGACGAAGCGAGAATTTTCCGTGGAGAAACTGCTGCCCATGATCCTGTGTGGTATGTCTATATCCCTGTTGTGCTAGAATGAGGCCAGTATCGCCGTTTGTGACAGTTGTCGACAGGGCTTTCGCATTTTCGAGATCCGTCTCTACGATAAAGCCATCTACAGCGCCATGCGTGTCCATGTCTAGCGTCCTCTGACCGGAGTTTGCGAGCACACGCGCATCTGACAACGCTGGCGCATTCGGTTCAAGACGCCCAACCTTACCAGTGCCGATCCCCACCCTCCCACCGTCTCCGGGCTTCTGCTTCTTGGCCACTTTATTCCGGTCATGACGCCATCGTATAGAACTCGGAACATCCGATAGTAGCTTGTATGCGGTGTCTGGGTTGGCATCAACGACCGGGATGGTACATCCCTTCAATTTGCCGCGGGTGGCGACGCAGGCAGTGAAGCGAAACCGACCCAAACCCGAGCAATCGATGCCTTTCTTCTGACATTTCAAGCAGACGGGCTCCCCCAGATCGCATATGATTCGGCGCTTCGAGCACTGAAAGCACCCTAGAGAAAGAGAGATCATGAGTCAGGTTCCTCTCCTGCGCGCAGAAGGAATCGGCATACCTCGAGACTTGGTGCTGCGACCGGAGTCCGTCGCTACCATGTAGACCCGCTCAGTCACCACCACCGGGTGGGAGCCATGCAATCAAGCGATAATATTAGCTGCTTGTGGCGTTATCAGAAGGAGGCCCGGTGGGCTGATTTGGAGTGTGATGGGAGGTGAAAGACGGCGGTCGAGATGAAGTCGCCGGAGGTCCGATGGCGCCCGGCGCGGAGCGGGTCATCCTGTTCCGAGGCCCCCGCACTGGCGGGTTCCTGGCAGCTCCAAATCCCAATAACCGTCTTACTCTTATGCTCTCTTCACGGTTCCTGAGAGGATCTATCTCGCAACTGCAGGGCCAAAAAGGCCGACCCTTATCTGCCGCTCACGCAATATTGTTTGCAGAACATTAGTTGGCAAAGTGCGCCGATGAGCTCCATCACGTTCGCATCGTCGAAGCCCCTCGTTATCAGCCGGAGTAGCGTGCCCCACCACGTGACGGCGTCCATCCGAACATCGGGCGATCTGAGCTTGACGGGATCAAGCATCCCCCCTTCCAAGTTCCGGTGTCTCCGGGCTTGATTCCCCTCACCCCCAGTCCACGAGACAGGCTGATCCTCCCCTGGCTGCCTACGTATGTCACCTCAGATAAATGGCCATCTCGGATCCCCCCGAGGCAATACCTGTCTCAAGGAGGCGGTCATCTTCTCCCCCGACTAGGCATCCGTGCATGTGAAATGAAGGGGACGGTAGACAATGGCTTTGTTGGACGACATTGTCCGTCGAGGGAGATGGCAGGATTGCTCCGCGCGCTAGTCCCGTCACGCTTATCGCCGAGATGATGCCCGATATGATTGTTCACCACTCGCTCCTTCTACAGAGAACTAGCAATCGAAGTGGCAGTCCATCACGCCCTTGGGATGCAGAACGTCCTTGCTTTCCCACCTTCCCCACTAAACGTCCAATCTAACTCTCTCCATCTTCGCAAGCCCGACCCCTCCCCTACGGACTCCGACGCGCACCTTGCGTCTTATCGGCCGGTGGGCCCAACTTCGCACCAATCCGCGGCCAGCGTTGTCGCAAGCTTCCTATCAGCAATATCGGTGCCGGGTCCACTCGGCGCTATTGTTCCTGATGGTCGAGTGGGAGGCCATGGCTCGACACTATGCAGCCCAGGCAGCACTTTACCGGCGGCCTTGTCTCTTCAACCACTCCCATCGCGTCATTCCTAACCGCCACTTCGGCGGCGTGCGAATACGCTGACCGAGTCACCACCGAGGAGACTATCCGGCCAGGATGTATCTTTCTGCAGGCTAACGTGGAGCTAATCTGACGGCCTCTCCGGGTGCAGGATGTAATCTCCCGGCACCTATATAAGGCCCTGAACACACCCCTCAACCTGGGATTCTATCTCTATCAGTCAAGCAATCCTCAGATCATTTCATCTTTTCACCATGTACTTCCCCGTCGGCACTCTTGCCGCTGCCTCCCTTCTTGCTGGGACGGTTGCCGCCGCACCCACTCCCTTCAAGGGAAAAAACATTGTCCGCCGCACCGGCAGCTACACCACCTACAAGCCCACAGCGTTTACCAGCCCTAGTGAGCACAAGGCCACCTCCAAGTACCTCAGTCTGAGCAAGGTCAAGTCCAAGGGCAGCCACCCCCGCAGTGCCGCCTATGTCAAGCGCTCCACCTCTAGCGGCAGCTCCAGCTTGATCTCCCTCATCGAGGGAGAGGAGTTTGCTACCTCCATCACCATCGGCAGCGATTCCTTCGACGTTATCGTCGACACTGGCTCCAGTGACACCTGGGTTGTCGAAAAGGGTTTCACGTGTATTGACCTTGACACTGGCCGCACTACCTCCGAGTCCAGCTGTGACTTCGGCTCTACCTGGAGTGTGGAGAGCTCCTTCAAGGAGATCGAGGGCGAAGAGTTCGCCATCGAGTACGGCGATGGTGAATACCTGTACGGAGTGCTCGGTACCGAAAGCGTCACCCTGGCCGATATTACCGTCGACTCGACGACCATCGCTGTGGTCAACGAGGCCGCCTGGGAGGGTGATGGAACGACTTCCGGTCTGACCGGTCTTGCTTATCCTGCTCTGTACGTATTCCGATCCATGATATATGCAAAAGCTAACAGTGCACAGTACGAGCGCCTACTCGACCTCCACCGATGAGCAGGTTGAGTACAGCAATGTCATCACCACCATGATCTCGGACGGCTTGATCGACCCCTACTTCAGTCTGGCCATCTCCCGTGATGTTTCCGGTGACGCCGGTTACCTGGCTCTTGGCGGTCTGCCTCCTGTCGACTTCGTCGAGGACTTTACCAACACCTCGATCCTGGTCACCAGCATCGAGGGATACCCCGACTCATACGACTTCTACACCATCAACATTGACGCTGTGACCTTGAACGGCAAGAGCCTGACCAGCGCCGGTGGTGACAGCATCCAGTACATCGTATGTCTCCACACATTATACTCATAGACAGATACTAACCGATGCAGGTCGACTCTGGCACCACTCTCAACTATTACCCCACCGCCATCGCCGATGAGGTCAACGCCGCCTTCTCCCCTGCCGCCACCTACTCGGAGGACGAGGGTGCCTACATCGTCGACTGCGATGCCACCGCCCCCAGCCACGGTATCACCATCAACGGCAAGACCTTCTACATCAACGCCCTCGACATGATCCTCGATGCCGGTACCGACGACGAGGGCAACACCATCTGCATTTCGGGTATCGTCGACGGCGGCAGCGACAGCTCCGAGGACCTGTACATTCTGGGCGACACCTTCCAGAAGAACGTTGTCACTGTCTTTGACATTGGTGCCACCGAGCTGCGCTTTGCAGCCCGCGAGAACTACACCTCTAACGACACCTACTAAACGCTCTAAATGTTTATGTTTGGCCATTCATGTGTATAGTTACGTCGCTATGTATGAAATAATATTTGTTCGCATCTGTTTAAACCACAACGTAGCCCTCTCTCATACTCTCAGAATCAGTATATTATCCCTAGAAGCCAAATATCCCCCGACTAGACACAAAAAAGACCAACCACCAACCGAAGAATTCAAGTATGTCCATACATGAAACCATTTACTACTAGGTAGTTATTTCTCACGCTACGATGTGGATCTTTCTCCCGGCATAATCATTTGCCGGGATGTGCCCCACCCGACAGCGGCAGTGGTCCGGTCCTTATCTTATCGGGCTATCTATATTCTATCGCTGAGGGGAATTCCGCTTCGGGTCAGGGTGTGTATGTGATAAAGAGAAAATGGTGACAGAGGGGTAGTAGAAGAGCGTGAGTCTGTTGTTTACTTTCTATGTTTAAATGTTGAGAAATAGAGGTTGGTTGGTTAGTCAGGTTGGTTGAAATCTTGGGATGATACTATCATTGATACTGTATGTATTTTGGTTGAATGCTGTGCTACTATTTTTCTAGTGACAGGATTTTCTTTTTATGACTTTGTTTTTGGAGGATATGAAGTGATGTTGAAGGAGGATACAAGTTAGGGTTCGTATAGATAGACTATGGTTCAGTGTAATTCCCCAAGCACGGACAGGATCTAGTCTAGGTGCGTTTCTAAATGTGAATTCACCGGTCGGGGATGAGTCCAATATATAGGACAATCGGGAAAAGAGTAGAATCTCGAGACATCAGACATGAAACGCGCATCGCTGGTATAAAAGACTAATTGGTCAATTCGTCACAAGGAACCTTGCACCTGAAGAAACCGCCATTCTATTGTTATAAAATTCTCTTGATCTGATGTCCGTGATGCTTCTATGTCATTTTCTTGACCATCTGACTAATAAGTCCTCGCTTTTTAGGTTTCTCGGGAAGAGAGGACGGAGGATCTGGTGGGCAATGGCGAATAAGTAGTTGAGCGGCTGGGTTCTCACGGTGGTCAGCGGCCCATGATAGTAGCGTCCGACCCTCTTTACTCCCACAGTCTGTGTTGGCTTGATGGTCAAGGAGGAGCTGAACCACGTCTGCGTGTCCGCCATGGACAGCCCATGATAGGGGAGTTATGTGGAATTTGTTGTCAGTTGCATCAATGTTCGCTCCCTGATTGAGGAGTAGCTGTACAACTCCACGATGCCCGTTTCCGGCAGCGGATGATAAGAGTGTCATACCCCACCATTCCTCCTCCAGATTGCCATCCATCGGAAGTAGTAGGCGGCAGATATCTTCATGTCCATGAAACGTAGCCAGGGTTAGTGGTGTGTGGCCTTCCTTGTTCCTGAGCTTGAGGTCCGCGCCCATCTTGAGGAGTACATTGACAACCAACGTGTATCCCATTTTGACCGCCCACATCAATAACTGCTGCCGGTCGATCTTTGTACTATCTGTAGAGTTAAGTCGATTGATAATTAGTTCAACGACTTCCTCATTCCCGGACCTTGAAGCCCACGGCAGTAATGTGTACTTAGGAATGTGTGTAGAAGGCATGAGGGCACCCTTGTCAAGGAGAAGCTGGACGACAGACAGCTGTCCGCTCTGCACAGCACACGAGAGTGGTGTTATGCCATTTGTGTCACTTATGTTCGTAGTGGCCCTTCCTGTCTCGAGCAGCAATTTCACGATATTAAGATGCCCTTGTCTGGCAGCAAAATGGAGTGGGGTCTGTCCTTCCTGGGACCTAGAGTCTGGCTCAACGTCCGCTCGGAATAGTAACAATTTCACGATGGACTCGCTTCCGTTCTCTGCAGCATATGATAATGGCGTTCGCCCTTGAAAGTCTTGGTTATCCGTGCGTATACCACTTTGACTTAAGAGGGACCACACCAGATCTAGATCATCGCGTTGTGCTGCAGACGATAAGAGGTCACCCGGAATTCTGGCCACGTCCTTGTTTATCTCCAGGGTTGTAGAAAGCAATTCTGCGAACTCTTCTTCCCTGAAACACCCGGGTGCGCCTGCAGTAGTGTCAGTTACGCGATAATCTGTGCCTGCTGCTAACCGGTACTTGCCTGTGTGAGCTATACTTGCGGTGCTTCTGTGAGCTGCCAAGCGCCGCTGCTGGACGCAAATTCTTTTGACGGGGCATAACGCGGGTCTGAATTTTGTCATATCAAGAAGTTCGGTTTTTTCACAGCAAATTCGCTGAAAGCTCTGCATAGTAAGAGACGTGTCTTGTAGATGGATCGCGATCAAAGATTCCTTTTTCCCATGCTCCGTGCAATGAAGGATAGCAAGGCCTAAACCTGCTTGACTAAGTCCGACGAAATTGAATCCTAAGTGAATCCCTTTGCTGCTAATAATAAGAGGCTCATTGCCAAATGTAACGAACGGATTATGTGCAACGAGATTTGCACATTTCTGAAATGCGGCAGGGGATGTTGCGAGAAGCCCACCGTGGCTTTCTTCTTCGTCGACAGATGTCCAGGCGAAGATACTGTGGTCATCTATGACCTTCAATATTTCCTCCTGTAACCTGATAAATGACCTTTTGCCTTCTCCATAGATGAGGGGCATGTTGATCCCGAATATGCCGAGTAAAGAGTAGGCTCGATCTTCAAGTCGTGTTGTCTGCCTCTTGGCGGCCCATGACATTCGTTGTGCCACACTGGCCGTCTCTAGATCTTCACCAAGTAGAATGTTTCCCGGAATTCCGGTACACTCGGATAGAGCATGGTGAAGGCTTTCCTTTGTTCCAATTTCCTTCCACTGCCCATCAAAAAAGATCATGTTCGGCGGAGCGATCAATTCCTGAAGGGTCCATCCTCTAGTAAACCATCTGCTACCCACAAACTCAGACCCAGACTGAATGTCTGCGAGGTATACGTAACACACATCGGCTTCATAATACCAACGGTACATCGAGTTGATTGCCTCGGATAACTCCGCACTGCTCGTCTTGTCAATGCAACATGTGTCGATCCACGCATAATCATATCCCGAGGCTTTGGCAACAGAACAGCAATCTTGAACTTTCTTGAAGCCGGATTTGCGCTCTGCGCAGCCACCTTGCATATCTTGCAGCGTGACCTCTTCATTTTCCCAGGTATGCGAGAGAATAGCATACGGCGGGATATTGTTGTCGGCGAATTCGAGGATGTCGAAGCAATTATTGCTTGACTGAGTTGTATAAAGAAGCCGCATGATGCAGCACGCAGCAAGTCCCGGGGTATAATGGCAGGTGTGAGGGAGTGAGGAGTTCGCCGTCACTCTCTCCTAATGTTTCAAGTGGAGTACGGAGTGATGGTGGTGGTGGTGTTCAGATGGCAATGACGGGCGGCTCCGTTTGTTAAGGCGGCTGCGTAAGGCTGTGGCTGCCTGAGGCTGTGACTGCCTCATACTCGGCCAATCAGAACGAACCAAGAAACCACCATACTGAAAGTGGGCTAGTTCCTTGGTGCTAACCACAAATAACCAAGGAAGCTTTTGTGGTATTTTGTTGGTTGATCCCAGCGAAAGCAGGCGATGCATCGGAGTGGATCCGGTGGAGAAAGGGGCCTGAAACCCTTGTACCTATGAGACCCACTGTCCTTTGGAACCGATGAAGATCGGGGTATTTATACCCTAGCCTCGTCCCCCTCAGGTCTGACGTTTTACCAGCAGAGCTTGGGCCAGGCATATCATTGACAACAGGACAATACCTTATAATTTCCTCTTCACCATATTCTGCGTTCGACATGAATCAGTTCCGAGTCATCACCAGATGGCGCCCACTAGCAAGCAGTGACGTACACCAGACTGAAATCAATCGGAATTGTGAGGAGCACCCCAACTCTCGCATTTCAATGTCACTTGTCCCATCCGCCCCAAATACTCGGCCATGGAAAAGCGAAGCCGCCTTTACACAGGTCTTCGAAGCCAGAGACAACAACAAGACTGTCTTCGACGCAGTGGTGGCTCCCACACTGCCGGAGGTGCTGAAAGGCCATTGTTCCAACTTCTTCGCGTACGGTCACTCAGGAAGCGGGAAATCGCATACGATTATGGGGTACGATTTCAATAACCCCCATGAATTCGGGATGTGCTTGGCAGCGGGTCACCATCTATTTGAGAAGCTGGAGGCATTGAATGAAGCGGATAGTGATGCTGCTTTGCAACTTGGGATTGGTCTACGCATGTACGAGTTGCGGAACAAAACAGCCTTCGATCTCCTCAATGGACGCTGTAACTGTCATGTCCGTGAAGGGTATGATGGGCAGACGCATATCAGGGGAGAGACCGAGGTGCTAGAAAATGGAAAGGTCAGAGTGCGTCCCATTGTCACCAAAGCATGCTGGAGCTTTGATGAATTGCGTAGGGAACTCCTGACTGGTTTGGCATTGAGAGCGACCGGTAGTTCGACCATTCATGACCAAAGTTCCCGTACGCATGCGGTGCTAGAGCTTGAAATCGTCACAAGAGCTCTGCTCGATGCTCGCGATGCCGTGATCGAGCGACAGTCAGAGCTCGTGCCAGTTGCAAAGCGCGCGACCGATATATACCTGGAAGAAAATTTGAAGGGGGTGGTGCAGACACCAGACGGGGAGTACATCCCCAGTCCAGACTATCAGATTGACCAGGCACGTATTGATGCCGCAGAGGCGCAGAAGGCTGAGTTTGAGACGTTTGTGAAGGAGGCAGAGCATCATGTTGAAGAGATAATGACATCATCTCAGCATCGGTGCCTTGGAGGAAAGCTGGTGTTTGTCGATTTGGCTGGATCTGAGTATTACCATGACAAAGCTGCCCCCTCGATTCCCCGGCCAAAGCAGACCGCTCAGGAACAGCAGGAAGGCCGGCAGATCAATACCGACTTGCTCTCCCTAAAAGAGGTCATAAGAGCAAAGGCACACAAGCAGACCCGTATTCCATTCAGATCTTCACCCCTAACCATGGTCCTTCGTGCCCACTTCATGGGATCTCGCACCGTGAAAAGCCATTCAGCGATGATTCTTACGGTGTCACCTTCAGCCGAGCAGTTTGCTGCGACCATGAACACGCTAAAGTACGGAAATCTGATTGGCGTGGCCGGCAGTGACAAGAAAGCAGCGCGATAAACTAAGGCCAGGAAGGAGCCTATGTTGACATTCCGGAGGCTAATGCCATTGACTTTAGTATGATACTCAATGGTTTCAGCTCCGTTCGTTCTTGGGATGCCGTTTCGACAAACTGGTTAAACCAAGTCACTAAGGCGAGATCTGTTTCGGGATCGTGACGTTCAGGAAATCCGATCATGTCCATGCTAAGAATAAACAACGGAATGAATTGATGGAGCAGAATGAGACTTAAGTAGAGCAAAATTATCAGTAGGGTGATGTGAATAGCTGAAATCAGTTTGGGACCTTACCTGATACCCCAGTACGGGTGTGGAGTGGAGATCATAATTGACCGGGACATTTGGAGGCTCTTCCTCGCAATATCCACAGTGTGGTACGGAAGAAACTCACTGCTTTGGTTACATTTCTTGGATTGGTAGAACACGATGAGCATCTTGTAGCTGCTGAATAGAATGTCTACGCAAAACCACGTGTCGATGCGAGTAGTCGTCGTATTGAGGAGCTCCTCCTGTGATTCATCAGGCTCCGATCAACTGGCATGTTGTTTATAAGGCTTAACATACCGGACTCCAGTCAGACATAATCATCTGCACCTCTGCAATAAGACTATCCATGGCTTCATCGTACTGCGGAGTAGGCGGCTCGGGCTCCATGTTGACCAGATCCAGGTACCTCAACAAGACCAAGGTAAGGCGCATCGATGCGAGGAAGTGAATTTGAATAAAACGTGTGGATGCGTCGTCCACGCCATTTATGCTGGGATCTGGAAAATTTACTGCCCAGGACCCTTCGGCAATTACTGCTGGCTTGCCGAAGGACAGGCGAAAGAGACAGTCTGTGCGTAGCAAATGCCAGAACTCGAAACGTTTTCGGTTCTTCTCTATCTCATTTTCCGGTTTCGACGACCCGTCAAGTAGAGAATCCTGGTTATTGTGTATTGGGTGATCCGCATCGACGGAGAAATACCCCAGAGCCCTGGCGATTCTGCAGGCATGTCCAAGGACTTTCCAGGACAGTTCACTATTACAACTTTCAAGGGCCATGGACATCTAGATGGGAAGACATCAGTGTCAGGTAACATTCAGCCAGGGCAGGGGAGAACTACCATGAAGAAAGCTGCAAACAAGTCTGCGGGGGTATCTTTGATCTGGCTTAACCAGCTCTCCGTCAACTCCATGCATGTTTGACACAGGAAATGTACGATACCGCCTCTGTTAGGATACGGTTTTGAATCCAGGAGGAGCCCCTGGAAGAGGACGTTGTAATATATGAGTTTGAGCGTAGAGTCGAGCTGAACGTGAGGGTTGTCCAAGAGATCAGGAAGCGAAAGCATAAAACCCTTCTCAAATGGAATTCGAAACCCCTCAAATTGATAGGTGTCGTAATACTCTAGGCCTTGATCAACACGACAGCCACGGGTAGTTAATGGGAGAGGCGTACTATTTATCCAATAACGGGCAGATTCCTTTGGAATTGCAGAGAAAGTCTGCATCCGGGTGACTCTTGTGTCTTTCAATTTTGCAATCTCCGTCATTGCAGCTTGCACAGCCTGGGTACATCTCTTATTTTCAAAAATGCGGGATCCCACATTCTTGAGGTGGCAGAATACGTTGGACCGAAGCAACGATCTAGTACTTTCGTCCTTCAACCCGCCCAGCATGATATGTGCAACACTATGGCCTGGTGGGGGAGGCGACTTGCTACCATGTGGCAGATCAGTCCTTGTCGAGGCATCATTGTCCGATTCAATAGATACTGAACGATACGCGTCTGGCGGCGGATGGTTCACGTCCTGATTGATCCTGCAGTGGTCTTCCAAGCGGTCTAGGCGTTTTAGAATTTCCGAGAGAACATCCTTGTCATTTATCGCACTAAGTTGATCCCCATCACGTCAGTTGTCAGGAAGCTAATGAGCTATGGGTCCAGCTACACGGACGGCGCCAGGGACCATCGAGAATGGCAAGGGAAAGAGGAAATGGGGCACACAAGTCACCTTGGCTTCACGGACCGTTGCTTTCGCGGTAGGTAGGTGCAGTCTTCTCCGATAGCTTCACATTTGTCACATCGTGGGGCAAGTCGATTGCATCGAATCTGGCTTTCGTCATTGAATGCGTCACTGCGTAATCGCGGTTGAGACTGTTACCTTCTTGGCCTGACAGCGGCTGCACTGCAATAACTGTCAAATGTGGCTCCTGGCGTAGGCCTCGCAGGGGGCTGACTTACCGAGATGGGCTTTCGGGAAGTCATGGTTGGGAGGCTGACGTTGCAACTTGCAAGGGATGCCGCGGGGTTGGCAAAGTCCGAAAGCCCGGACAGATCGACGCCGCCTGAATGCCCAGCCCGGATATTCCAAGTCCCGAAAGTCCGAAGAGGCGATCTGGCCCACTTTTGGTCCCTTGGACTCCACGCAATCCAACTACTATTCTCTCAGGGACTTTACGATTCCAGCCCACACTGCCACCTGGACTGTTCGAAAAGGGCAATCCTGTTGACTCATGCATCGTTTAAACTATGGGGCCGGGCTGTTGCCTGGACCCGCCTCTCCTTCCAAATTCAACATCTGCCAGGAAATGCGGCGACGTATAAATACTGCGCTTCGCACCGATTATATATCATAGTCTGTGATAGTAGCACTCGGTATCACGATGGGCCATCTATCAGACAACTCCATAAATGACCGGGACGCGAAACGTCCTGGCGACTCAGAGCACCAACTGTCGCCACAGCCTGTGAACGACGATCAGCGAAGTGCGATTCACATCAAAGACGAAGACGATCTGGCTATTGGAAACAAAATGGAAACAGATGACAATACAAAGCTGGAGCAGCCCGCGTCACTAGGCAACTACTTTGTATGGCCTTGACTCCACTGTTCGTTCGTCGCTCATATTCAACAGAGAGTCTTTTCGTATACACGGGGGAAGGATCGCGCAATTCTCGCGATCGCGCTGCTATCCGCGATTGGATCCGGAGTGGTATGTCGGTCTCTTCCAGGATGATATGGGCCTAACATTCGTCATAGCCACTCCCTCTCATGAACATTGTCTTCGGGAGCCTCGTCGGCGCATTCAATGGGTACTTTACTGAAGGCTCATCGGTGACGGAAAAAAAATTCAAATCATCAGTGAGCAGACTAAGGTAGGGGCCTCAAAGGATGGGTCAGAGATGCTGTTCATCACGTACTGACCTATGTGGTAGTTTATATTTTGTCTACCTCTTCATCGGAAAGTTCGTCTTGACGTATTTCGCCATGGTAAGCTTAAACGCTCGTCGGGCTGAAAGATGACTTACACACCCCAGTACTGCTTCCGGGTCATTAGTCTGCGGATCTCAGCCACTATGCGAGAGGAATACATGCGAACACTTTTCGCCCAGCCCATCAGCAAGCTTGACCAAGTGTCAATGGGCACAGTCACCAATACCATCACAACTCTGTCCAATTCGATCCAGCAGAGCATTTCCGATAAGCTAGCAATCCTGTTCCAATCGCTGGCCCTGGTGATTACCGCTTATATCATCGCTTTCCGGTATTCGTGGGCTTTGACTCTTGTTACCAGTGCTGCGCTTTTGTTCATCCTGTTCGTTGCTGGTGTGACGCTTCCGCTTATAACGAAGGCCCAGCAAGGTGTTGACAAGGCAGATGAGAAGCATTCGTCTATAGCAGCCGAAGTATTCGGCTCGATGCGCACGGTTGTATCACTCGGCGCAGAAGGGCGCCTTTCCGTAAAATACGCCCTTTGGATCGAAGAGGCACGTAAGCGAGGGCAAAGGATGTCCATATTTTTCGGAGTCCAATGTGGCTTGGCCTTCTTCGCCATGAACTCTAGCTATTCCTTGGCATTCTGGTTCGGACTGAAACTGTACCGAGAGGGGCACATAGGCACCATCAACACTGTTATCACGTGAGATTATCTGCCAATACTTGCGAGACATGCTAATGAAGTCTTAGAGTATTTTTCTCGATCATGGTTGCACTCAGCGTTTTCGGAAGCATCATATCGCCGTTGATGATTGTGACCAAGGCAGCCAGTGCTGCAGGTATATTTTTCGAAATGCTGGATTCAGAGAAGACAGACACCAGCGGTCTTCGTAACCCTGATGCCTCTGCTCAGGTGGACATCGAAATCAGAGATGTTTATTTCACCTACCCTTCCCGACCGGATACACAGGTCCTGCGAGGGCTGAATGTTCGATTTGAACGAGGCAAAACGACGGCGCTGGTAGGCCCGTCAGGTTCGGGGAAGAGTACAATCGTTGCTCTACTGGAGCGATGGTATGAATTGAATACAACTGGAAATGTCCATGATCAAGGAGGGATCTTCGTGGGTGAACACAACATCCTTGAGCTTGATCTGAAATGGTGGAGGTCACAAGTTGGCCTCGTACAACAAGAGCCGGTTCTGTTCAATGATACCATCTTCAATAATGTTTCATTCGGCTTGATCGGTACCGAATGGGAGCACGAAAACGTTGCAGTCAAGAAAAAGCTTATTGAAAATGCATGCAGGGAAGCTTTCGCAGAGGAGTTTATCCAACGTCTGCCAGAGGTATGTAATTCTTTATAAGGTTATGACATCATGGCACCGGTCTCTCCCATGTCTAGTCGCGATGCATGGCATCCCTATCTGACACTTGCAGGGTTATAACACGATGGTGGGGGAGAATGGCACCATGTTGAGTGGTGGCCAAAGGCAGCGCCTTGCTATAGCCCGGAGTATTGTGAAACAACCGACTATCCTGATACTCGACGAGGCAACAAGCGCGATCGATGTGCGCGGCGAGAGGATAGTCCAGGCAGCCCTTGATCGACTTTCTAGGAATCGGACCACAATTGTCATTGCACACAGGCTATCAACCATTCGGCGAGCCGATCGGATCATTGTTATGAAGAGTGGTGTTGACATCGAGCAAGGCACGCATGAGGAGCTCCTGGCTATAGAGAATGGTGTCTATCACAGCCTCGTCAATGCTCAGAAATTAGACCTTCTGGAAGATGAGACGGGCGCTAGTGACGGTACTGAAGAGTTGAAGGAAGAGCTCAAGCCTACAGAACATATGATTCAGCATAAGCAGGAGGATAACACGAAAGCAGAAAAGAAGAGTCGAGGGTTTTTTAATAGCATCGGACTGTTTCTTTATGAACAGCGCGCGCAGTGGCAGTTTTATCTTCCCGCATTGCTCAGCGCGGCTGGCGCTGGAGGTGAGTGTTACAAAGACTCCTGTATGGCAATTGGCTAATTGATGCTAGCCGTCTTCCCACTACAGAGTTGGTTGTTTGCAAAGATCATTGAGGTGTTTCAGTATACTGGCCAGAGACTGGTCCACGCAGCCAACTTTTGGGCCTTGATGTTCTTCATTCTCGCCCTAGGAACAGGTGTTTGTTACGGAACGCTGGGATATGCCGCCAGTAGATTCTCTGCAGTAAGGAGATTGATGCTTTATGCTGGATGAAGCTAACACGGACAGGAAATCTCGGCCACCTGCAGAACAGAATACTTTCACAACATCCTCAGCAAGCCGATACCATTCCATGATATGACCGAGAACGCCTCTGGCTCTCTCGTTTCCCGACTGGCGACCGATCCAAAGCAGGTCCAAGACCTGGTTGGATTAAATGGTGCATTTCCGATCATTTCGACTTTCAGCATGTTGGGATGCATTATAATCGCGTTTGTATTCGGTTGGAAACTCAGTCTTGTTGCGGTACTAGCGGCGTTGCCATGCACCTTTCTCGCTGCATTCATGCGTATACGATATGAAATGCAGTTTGAAGCAATGAATGCGGGGGTTTACGCTGAGAGTTCTCAATTTGCAGCTGAAGCCATAGACGCCTTTCGAACTGTCTCAGCATTGACAATGGAGGATTCCATTCTGAATAGGTATTCCGACCTTTTGCAACACCAACAAAACAAAGCATTCCGAAAGGCGTGGTACGCCACCTTGATTTTTGCTTTTTCCGACAGTATCGAGTTGTGCGCCATGGCACTCACATTCTGGTATGTGTCTCTTATTGTACATGTGACATATGACTAACTGTCGAAGGTACGGCGGTCAACTTCTCGCATCTCGAGAATATCAACCAACATCATTCTTCGTTATATATATGGCAATTATACAAGGTGGCCAGGCAGCTGGTCAATTCTTCAGCTTTGGATCCAACATTGCCCAGGCAACTGCCTCCGCCAACCGTATGTTGGAGCTGCGGCCGAGCCGAACCGAACGAGAGCTGTGTAGTATCGACACGATGAAACCAGAATCCTTGCAATCAGGCTCGGGGGCCAGTATTGAACTCCAGAACATGGCATTTAAATATCCTTCCCATGATACCCCTCTTTTCACGAGTCTCAACCTTAAGATCGAAAGTGGCCAATTCGTTGCTTTCGTGGGACCGTCAGGCTGTGGAAAAACCAGCGTGATATCTTTACTAGAGAGATTCTACGACCCATCCAAAGGGACTATCTTCGTCAACGGCCAAGACATCCATTCCATCGAAGCTTCCTACTACCGCCGCTCCCTATCATTAGTCGCCCAAGAGCCACGACTCTTCGAAGGGACCATTCGCGACAACATCACCCTCGGACTCGATAGCTCAGAGTTCACTGAAGATGACCTCATCCGAGCATGCCAAGATGCAGAGATTCACGATTTCATCACCTCCCTCCCAGAAGGATACTCGACTGACCTCGGACTCAAAGCCCAGGCATCTCTCAGCGGAGGCCAACGACAACGACTGTGTATTGCACGGGCGCTTTTGCGCAAACCGTCTCTTCTTCTACTAGATGAGGCAACTTCAAGTCTTGACTCCCAATCCGAAAAGGTGGTGCAGGCAGCCCTTGAGCGTCTCGCCGCGAAAAGATGTATCACGATCGTTGCGGTCGCTCATCGACTAGCTACCATCCAGAAAGCGGATACGATTTTTGTTTTTGGTGAGAGCCAGACTGGGAACGGATCTCGGATTGTTGAGCAGGGGTCGCATCAGGAGTTGTTGCGGAGTCGAGGGATGTATTGGCAGATGGTGAGATTCCTACCCGATCTTATTCCGATCGTCTTTGTGTTTGCTAATAAGTTGCAGTGTCAAGGAAGTGGCCTAGACAGCTAATCGCGTTTTAGATATGCTTCCATCATAAATTGGCCGGATGGTGTAGTTGGTTATCACGTATCGTTAACACCGATAAGGTCCTGGGATCGAGCCCCAGTCTGGTCATTTGTTTTTGTTTTTTTTTTCTTCTTCTTGCGGGTGGAGCACCCGGCAAGCCTTGGCGATCATCCAAGACTAGATTAAGAGCTTAATTTTTGTCATATATATAGCTCTTCCAAATATACATGATTCTTGTCTATAGATCATGACTCAATAAGTCCTATCCAGAAACGTCCGGACTATCAAGTTACTAGTATACACTGTAAAACATTCCAAAGAATCCCATCCCATCCCATCCCCAATAGTATATCTTTAACAACTACATCACCCCAGTATATATTTCACACACCATCAACCCCCTCTCCCTCCCCCTCGCCCAAAACCAATCTCCCATCCAACCCCAACTCCGCTAATCTATACCTCTCCTCCCTAAAATGCACCCCCCCCCCCCACAAACGCCTCCACCAACCTCCTGAGCAGCTCGCACCCCTCCACCGTCATTCTCACATCCCCCAAACACTGAACCGCCCTCTCCACCACCTCCTCCAACGCCACCCCCAATTCCATCCCCCTCGCCTCCGCAAAATGCTGCACGAAATTCACCGCCTCCTCCCCGCCACCATCCACCATAGCCTCCTTATAAAATGACAACACATCATTCACCCCATTCCCCAAAACCATCAACTCTGGGACACTTTACACAAAATACCTCATCCCGTCTACTCCCCTCGGCACCAAAAAAATAAACAAACTCCTCCACTAACCCCGTCTTCAGCCGGAAGTAGTAGAATAGTTCACGTCATCAATAGATATATTAAATAAGTCGATGGGAACAGGGAATACGTGTAAGAGGGTTGATATTCGTGGATGGGACATTGTACCAAACTTATGAAATGAGTGACTACATGTAGTCAACTTATGTAGAATCAACTGCGTGTTGGGCGAGACTGACTGGGATAAACATTCTTATCTTAGTTGTTGTGAATCTATTCGCCTCTTGACCTCCTTCTTGTCCTGTTCCTTGAATTTCCTCCTTTTAGGTATCTGATGTCATATAATAACTTGGTATTGTCCAATTGTTCATCATCATGTCCTATGGCAGCTAGGTATCGGATGCTTGTATTGATGAACCATCCAGTTCCATCTTCGAAGTAAAAGGAAGTAAGTAAAATAAGAAAAACAACACAACATCAAAGAAGGCAAAATGAAAACAGAAAGCCATCTGCCGCCGCTACCTCTGCTGCTGGTTCTGCTGGCCTTTCTGGTGCTGTCCCTGCTGGTACTGCTGCTCAGGAATCTGATAACCAGGCTGCTACACGAGACGACGACAATCATCAGCACACATCCGCAACACCACAATATAACCAAGACCACAACTTACCACGCCAACCAGGCCTCGAGTATACGTCAAATCAGCCTACCCCAATTAGCCCAATATACCTCACATCATTCTCAACAACCCTAAACTAACAAACATCCATCCCACAAGCTCCTATAAAGCATTAGTCAAAAATAATCAAAACCCCAAACCCGGTTCAAGGACATACTATATTCCGTTGAAAATTGTAGACGCTCAGGTGAAAATGGTAAAAGTAGCAATTAGCCATAACATGGCCAAATTCGTGACAGTAGCCGCACCATTTCTTGAACAGCTGTAGATCTGAAGTATTAGCAACAAGAACCTGGTTAAAACGTAGGAGATTGTCAATATACCTTCTTGTTTACTCCGCGGCCCCGACGACCACCGCCCTTGTCACCTCCTCTCTTTCCTCGCTTCTTTCCCCGCTTGCCTCCCCCGCCGGAGGAGGTGGTGGTCCCGGCGTTGGCGCTACGCGTAGCGGTGCTCATTGGGATCAAAGACCTTGTTTTGTTCGAGATGATTAAGTAGAAATGTAGAAGGTGTGATGGGTGGGGTTACGAGGAAGCGAAGTGTACGATGCGTGGTGTTTTCTTGCAACTGAGATGGAAGCAAAACGGAGCAAAGTGAACAAAGAGAGCAAACATAAAGTGACAGCACCACATGTATGGTAGCTCAGTGAATGTTTGAATGGTCTATGGTAAGGTGTTACTGCAGAAGGGTCGTAGAATTTTGCTAGTTAGACTCAAGGCCGGGTTTACTAAGAACGGCAACCGGGTGATGCGAGCATTCTTTAGATGACAGTATCATGGAATTAAGAAGTAAGAGCGAGATTCTACAGTGAATACTGATCCTACATCCTGGGATATACCAGCACTGGTATCATTATCGATGCAAAGTCGAGGATTCTGGGAAATACAGGATTTGATGATGATATACCTCTTCATCTCGACCCTTTCTGGTCGATCGTTACGACTCAGTAATTGTACAACCCTGCTAGGTAGATAGTCTTTTAAGAGAAGCATATAATTACTCTACTGGATTCTAGAGCACCATGAGATTGGGTGATGGTGATAAATTATACATTCCAACTCAACATATAGCTGCAGTCGGAATACCCTCCGCGATATGGTATGCCTGAGGCACCCGCAATGAACAACAAATGCGATCCTTTCCAAACCATCTCATTCGACAAAACTCGTCTGGATTACTCATGGAGTTAAGGCTAGATATTGCATATCTCTACCACGTAACACACCATTTTACGCATCAAACAATTATCGCTTGTCATTATTCATTACGTCAGCTGCATAAAGGAGAAAAATCCCGGAACAATGAAGTTTCAATACGAGAACAAATGAGATTGACCATATGACTGAATCGGGAATCTGGGTCAATGATTTTTCATCACATTTTGGAAGGTTCGCTGTGAATGAAGGTCATTCATTCTATTCCCACGAGATAGATTCCGGCACTGTCTGCAACCCCGAAGGTTCGATGTGAGCATCCGGCGAGTCGTAGGATATACTGGAGGATATAGACTTCCCCAAGAATTTCTTGTTCTTCTTTGGTGGCTTCGACGTCGTCAGAAATAGACCCCACTTATCTTCCTCGGGCACAGGCTCTGGCTCTGGCTCTGGCTCTGGCTCTGGCTCTTGTATTGCTTCTGGCTGGTTCTCCGACCCGTAAGCCGGTTCTGGCAGTGGCTCTGGCTCTGATGCCGGTTCAACTGGCTCAAATCCAGGACTTGGCTCTCTCACTGGTCGAGGGGAGGAAAAGGACGAAGGTGGAGGTTGATAGGGGTGATCGAGGCTCGGGGAGGGAGGAGCAGGTGATGTAGGTGGCGGTTCCTCGTAAGGCGCCTCTACCTCTGCCAGAGCATCGACCGGAGGAACTTCAATAGCCACCTCCTCAACAACTTCAACAGGGACATCATCATCGACTTCCTCGGCAGCAGCATCTTCCAGCATGGCCATCCTGCTAGAGTAGATATCCAGCACTGTCGTCACCAAGAACTGGTCAAATTTAATCTCCGTACCGACGCCATACTGCTCAATAACCTCTCGGAACTGCGGCTCATTTGCCTCGAACGCTGAAACAAGTTTATCGCGAATAAAGCCTTCGAACCACGTATCACCACTCGGAAGGGTTGTATAAACTTTGCGAGCAATCGTCAGTATCTCGAGTGTTGTTACTGAGTCATCAAAAGTACGCATGTATTCCCTCGCAGAGACATCTAGTCCAGTGATTCTGTAAAATCGTGCAGTCTGGTAGGCATAGACGCTGCGTTCGAACTCCCGGCTTCGAGGATTAAAGTCGGGATCAATGGTAGACGGTGCGATGGTTTGGTAGGTGCCGGTGTATAGGAAGTGGATCAGAGTGTGTCCGATGTCTGGGTTGATGCCTTCGAGTTGGAAACGTTGCCAGGAGGAAGAGAAGGACAGCAGCGGGTATGGACGCAGATAGTACTCCGGTACGCTGTACTCAGTGTCACCAATGAAAAACCGCGTTATTGATGTGGAATAGGGGCTTCAGAGAATCAGTTAGCGCCTGACATGGATGATCAAGAAATCAGTGGTCACCTGGTCAGGGGCTGATCGTATTCATTCACGAAGGGTACAGGTGAGAGTGGTTGTATATCGGGTTCATCATTCACAGCTGGTGGCATCTCAGTGTCAACACCTAGAACTTGTGAGATTGCTTTCTTGGATTTCTTCTTTCCTTTCTTCATCGTGGTCGTCGAGATAAGAAAGTGCGTGGGATGGTTGGATGCGTTGATTGTGAGAGATTTCGGAGTCTTTGTGGAAAAGTCTTCTTAAACCAGAGAAACTCCAGAAATATGAGATGTCAGGTTGAAATAGTTTCCAACCACACAGGGAATGATGGTAAGTAGAATGGGATGGGTATCGATGGAACCCAAGGCAGCAACCGATGGCTGCCTCGATTGACCCCGCGGACACGTCAGTGGAACACCAGGCTGAAGGCTAGTAGGTCGCGACGCGAAATGACCGGGGGTTGTAGCACAAGATGGCATGATTGGAGGGAAGTGACTGGCCCATGGCGGGGAGGCGCGCGTCTTCATGCGCTGCTGAGTTGGCCGGCTAGCGTGATTGCGATGGGACCCCATACAATTTCATTTGAGGGCTGTCTTCTATCTACCAGGCTAATTGTAGTAACTATATTAACACAGTATATAATTTAGTTCCTTGTTCTGTCCACTACATACGACCACAGGGTGTGGAGAACAGGGCTTCCCGTCCGCTCAGCCGTACTTAAGCCACACGCCGGGAGGTTAGTAGTTGGGTGGGTGACCACCAGCGAATCCCTTCTGTTGTATGTTTTTGTGCCTTCATTTTTATTTTTGTTTTCTATTTCCCCTATCATCTCCTTCTTTCATTATCTCTTTGTTTTTAAATTAATTCATGTAATGACTGTATGGTTACACTTATACGCCAGGTTAAACCGATTTTGTGTCTGGTGGGATGGAGCCAGTTGGTTTCAAAACGCAACACAATACAAGGTTTGCATCACGCACCACATCAGTATCATACAGCTAAGTTCAAGAATTGAACATCCTATCGACCATTATCATGGATACGAGGTATAATGAGCAGCCTGGCAACCTGAATTACATATACAACCATGCGGAGACTAGAACGCGGAATTTTTCTTCTTTGTCAAAAATTTCTCCAAACAAAGCATCATGCTTATAGCCATTGTCGTTGTTATTACAAATTCGTAACAGGAATAAGCGGTGCCAGCTTTTCAAACAGCATCGAGGATGCCCTTTATGCGATTTATCAATGCCGAATATTACATGGAGATTCATCTTATAAAGTAGGGCATGCTCTGTCCAAGACATCGCATAGCATGAAAGAATCAGGAAAACTACGAGTCAAAGAATTAGTTCATGACTACTCAAATGGATACAGAGGATTAACCACGATTAGTGCTCATCTGATGGGATCTAGCTCACACCGCGCAAGTAGTCCATGTGTGTTTTCTATCACCCAAAGCCCAGACATGGAATAGTCCATGTATAATAATATCTGAACGGCACGCCCTGAAACACGCTCCATTCAAATGTCACACTTTTCAAGAGTGGGATGGCTCACCTGAACTCTGAGCATTGCACTGCTGATCAACCAGTAACCCTAAATCAGTAAACCCAATAAGCTCATCTCCCCTATCAATCAAAACCCCAACCTAATCACTGCTTCACCCCCCAAACAAACTCCGCCCCCTCCCTCCCTACAACCCCCTCCCTCACCAACCTGTCCGCAGATTCCACAATCCAAGTCTGACAATCCCTCTGCACGACCCTCCTCCGAGCCCTCCCCTTCCCCATCTCCTCACCACCATCAGCAACACTATTCAACGTCTTCCCCGGTACCTCCACTCCATACAACATCTCCTCGAACCCACAAACCGGACGATAATCAATCTTCTCCACTCCATCATTAAATATCGCCTTCTCATCAATATACCGCTCATCCAACCACTGCAACGGGATTCGTTTAGTGGGTATATCAGGACTCGTGCGGAGGTTATGACTGCGTTTGATCTCGAAGATGAATCCGTTTCGCATGTCCCCTGTTGCATGGATCTTGACTCCGATGTTGGGATCGCTCGGGGAGGGGATCCAATACGCCCAGTGGTCTTTGAAGGGGTGGCCGTTGAAGATGTGGAGTTCGAGGAGGAGGGAGTTGGGGGTGGGGGGTTTGGTGGGGATGTTCCGTGGGTTGGGGGTTGGTGGAGTTGGGATGTCGGGAGGGATTGTTGGTGGGGGTGGGGGAGGGGGTGGAGGTGGAATGGAGGACATTGTTGGCATCTTGGTCTCGTATATAATTTGAGGTTTTGGTCTCGGTGAGGTATGTTGGAGCAACTGGTTGGTGAGTAGGCGAGCGGCACGTGACAGGCCGTCACGTTGGCAACGGAGGGGGTTTTCTTTAGGCAGAAGTCTTTCTAGCTAGTCAACCAATATCATTGTTTCCTCTGCCTCGCGTCTCCAGTAAGGTATAGCTTGGTGTTTTAGTAGATAGTGTAGGACTGACTTCTATACTTGTTGTTGTAGAGCGATCCTGAGCCTGGTCGCGATGGGCCGATTGGTGCGGTTGCCAGGGAGATGATAGTGGGATTCTGCGTGGGTCAAAGTGTGCCCAGTTGACTAGATTTGGCTTTCTGGTCAATGACGATTCCTCGCTCCGACAGGATGGCCCTAACTAGACTCTGACCCTGCCCTACCATACTCAAATCGACCTCAATACGAAGGGAAACTAGAAACAAACAACGCACTCGAAAACACCCATTGCCGACCTCTATACTCCGTAGTCCGATCAAATCCTCCACAGCCCCATAAATCACTCTCCAGCATCAGAACACACTTCTTCAAAGCAATCCTCACTTCAACCTACCATTACTCCGAGCTGCCCTCATTCACCCCTTCTCTCCTTTCCCGGCCGGCATACCGATAACCCCATGATGAATCGAGATTCATTTCCCCTATAAGCAAATCGTAAATAATCTTATTCCTGTATTTATTTCATTACTCTGATATATAAGTCCTTCCTCATTGTAGAGGTCTCCTAGACAAGGTTTCTTTCTACTCGATCCGATCCGGGATGCTATTCATCGGGCGCAGCACTCAACATTGCATACTACTGCAGGAACACAATCCTTAGTACACCAAGGTGATCGAGTCATGTGCAATTGCAACACTTTACTTGCCAAACGTAATGAACTGAGTACATAACAAACGCGTTGACTATCTATCCATCAGAAGAGAAATTAATCATCCCACCGTAGACCCAAAACCCCAATCCACCGAACCGGATTTCCCCCAATTTCCAAAGATTTGTCACCCCGACCGAGCTTAAAATAGCCCCACCCAATCACGGCACAGAAAAACCCCCGCGGGCCAATAATTAATAATAATTCTCCCGACACCTTTCCAGACGTAGTTAGCTCCCGCATACTCGGGAAGAAATATCTCCATGATTACCCCGACGGAGACATTAATCATTCAGTGATTGTTAGTGGCTCGGAGACATTAAGGGCGTTGTGGATGGATGTAGTTCCCGAGTGCTGTAAGCGCGGTGAGTAAGATATGTCCGGGAGGGATTATATCCTCCGCTCACTATGGGATGGGATTGTATATAAGAGTGGAGGAGTTGTCGTGATGCTCTATTTCTTTCAACAACAACAGCAACAACAGCAAGAATAACACAATCTCACTTCCCATCACACAACTCATCAACCACAACCACAACCATGACCACCACCACCACCCCAATCCGCCCCCCCTCAACCCCGACCTAGCCCCCACCCACTCCACCATCCCAACAATGGACATCAGCACCCCCGAAAAACGACACACCTACCGCACCTTCCTCTCCACGCTCTTCACCCTTGAAAACACCCTCAAAGGCCACGAATCCACCATCACCTACAAAGAAGTAGAAATCCCGGGCCCGACGGGCCCTCTCCTTGCCACCATTTTCAGCCCGAAACACCCCCGCACCGACATTTCCACCATCCCCGGAATCCTGCACATGCACGGCGGGGGCCACTCAACCGGAAACCGTTTCATGGGATTCACTGTTCTCGAATGGGTCGAGAAACTCGGTGCCGTGTGCATGACAGCCGAGTATCGGCTCGCGCCGGAACACCCGCAACCTGCGCAATTGGAGGATAGCTTTTCTGCGTTGAGGTGGATGAGCGAGCACGCGGAGGAATTGGGGTTTAATGCCGATAAATTGGTGGTGTGTGGGGGTTCTGCGGGCGGGAATTTGGCTGCTGGAGTGACGTTGTTGGCGAGGGATCGGGCCGGGCCGGCGATTCGCGGCCAGGTGTTGATGTATCCGTGGGTGGATGATGGGGTGGAGGGGTGTTCGATGGAGCAGTTTGGGGATATTGCGCCGTTGACAAGGGCGGATGCGGCGCAGGCGAGTGATTTTGCGTTTGGGATGGAGAGGGAGTTTGCGGATATGTATACGGTGCCGTTGAGGGCGGAGAGTTTTAGGGGGTTGCCGGCGACGTTTATTGATGTTGGGGAGGCAGATGTGTTCCGTGATCAGGATTTGAAGTATGCGGCGGCGTTGTGGAGGGATGGGGTGTCGACGGAGTTGCATGTTTGGCCGGGGAGTTGGCATGGGTTTGATGTTTTTGTGCCGGAGGCGGAGGTTAGTAGGAGGGCGAGGGCGGCGAGGTTGGAGTGGTTGAGGAGGTTGTTGGATGTTCCCGAGGGGTTTTAGTGAGTTGAGAGGGATGGGTGTTTTGTTTTGATTGTTAATAGATTGTTGGTATGTATGTATTTTGAATCGGGTTGGATTTTAATGTGTTGTATTGAAATATTTGATTGGATATAGTAGAATCCAAAGTGTGTAGCGCTATATTGTTGATGACCACTTCCTTACCACAGCAAGGCTATCCATTAAGGCCATACAGGCCTAGATCCACATTCAACCACCCCGATGGCAACTGACTGTCAAACATCTGCCACGTAAGCCAATCGGCGGATGGTCCCAGCTCGGCATGTGCCATAGCTGGATTCCTAGGATCTGCGTCATCGGTACCGAACTCCCCCATCATTGGGTTGACTGCTGACGGAAGGGCCTCGCCGGTATTGTTAGCTTCAGGCACAGAAAACGCCAAAGGTAAAGTCTGGGCAGATGCTTCCTCTCGTCCCTGGAACAATGGCTCGCAAAGGTGCTCGAGGGATGTCAATAGTCTGAGGACCTTATCCAAATGTGGATGTTTCTTGAAGCGTGATAAGGATTTGGTGATATCCTGAGTGAGATCAAAATCATGTTGATCTAATGAGCCGATGATATGGCAGAAAAGAACAAAGAAAGGAGTGAGGGGGTACAGAAACAGGGTCCTTGATACATATTAGCAAGTCAAAAGTGGGGAATGATGGAAGCTCACCAGGTCAGAAATGTCGGGTAGGGATCGTCAAACCCCGGCATCCCTCCTGGATGCTGGAGAAGAAATCGAAGTGCCTCGAGTGATCGTCGCGCGCAAGCTAGACATTCCTTATGGACGAGGGGCGTGAACGAGCATCGCAGGCGAGTGCGGTGGATATCCACCATTATGGCATAGTAGCAGAATTCGGCAGCTATCCAGTCCTGATGAATACTCTCGGGGGCTAGATTGCGGCTCTGAGGGTTCCTCATTAGCGTTAATGCCAGTCAGTAAAGAACCGTCAAGCATACGGATTGTAAACGGGGATATATATCCTCCATCTTCTCGCGCAAAAGACGACATTCGTCAAGGACATGATGGTGAGAAACTGGTGCTGTTTGCGACTGCAATGCGAGCAGCTGCCCTTGGATTTGTGCAGCATCGAGAAGTATTCGGATCAAGGGGTCATATGGCGATGGGCTGTCTGTGCTGATAAGCTCCGTGGCAGAGACTGCCATTTCCGGAAAGGATGGGGAGCGAAGGAGCAGTGCGCTGAGAGTCCTGTCTATGTAGTAGCACCAATACACCGCACTATGTATTTCCTGTTGGGCTTCGGAGCGACTTGATACATTTCCAACCTTCTGATAACCAAGAGCCGCAATTTGACGAGCGGCATATGAATTCAGGATCCAGCAGATGTTGATATCCCCGAGTTGTTGCATCAGTAATGACTGGTAAACAAGGTCAGTCCCCGGGCGTAGTTCAGGCGGTCCGCAACACTCACACCCGATATCAAGGACTGTATAGCTGACAGGCTCGGTGGTGCTAGAATATCGAACTGTTTGATGCTTCGAAGAGCGGCAGCTGTGTAGGCCTTCCTCGATTGGAACAATTGCCCTTTGACTGTCGCATTGGCGGCGACTCTTGAAAGTTGGAATACATAGCAAATTGCTTTTACGTAAATGCAGACAGAATACTGATGGAACAACCGACCACGGCAATCTCCCTTGATTAGTGCTGTTGCCATTCTCTCAAAGGTTTTGTTGGATATATGATCAGGCCATCGAATATCCGATTTACCTGATGGAACTGCATTCGATTAGTCAAATAATCAACAGGCCCGAGATACATACATCGGAGGAGCAAGAACAACAGCTCCGGAGGCGGACTCTCCGGGATGGTCACAGAGGGATCTTCGACGAGAATATCGCCTTCATTTTCCCCGGACTCCACGGACTCTTTCTCTGCGAGTTGGCTGACTAGTTGGAGTGCCGAGCTCAGGATGGACTGCTGCCCCTTGCTGATATGCCTGCAATCGCCAAGCTCCAGCTCTATGACGGATTTTGCTTGGATAGCATGGTAGTTGGAGCCATCAGCATCGGCGCCTGGTGTAGGATTACTTTCTGGAGTGATTCCCCATTGACCATGACCATGACCATCCATTCGCTGGCGCCTTGGGGGTGGTTGTTCCACTTCACCATTTGTGTGAAGTACTTGATTGCGATGATCTCCCCTACATATACAGCCAATGAGTATGGTTAAGAGTACTCCAGATGAAGCAAAAACCATACCTATTCGACGGACTCGTCAACATTTCCAAGTTTAGCACTTTCTCGTCTCGGTTCAAAGTCCTGGAGCTCCAGTTAGCCGTATGTTATATGCAAGCACAGAGGACTAACCCTGAGAGCGGTCTCTTTCTAGACGATCTCCCCGAGCGTAGACGTCGGCATTCAACCCCAACATCCATGCAATTAGCGCAAATGCTTCGTCTATCGCATTTCACCTTTCTGGAATGGCACAAGTCGCACTACGTTGATGTTAGTCAGAGTGGGCCCGGAAAGAGCGGAAGACTCACAGCTGGCAAGATTTCCTCCCCGTTGAGGCAGTCCGACATGATTCAACCTGTCGTCGGCTATAGCATAGCGTCTAGATACTAATCCCGCGCTACCTACGGGGAATACGTTCCAGCTAAGAAAAAAGCGTAATTGTGAAGCGCGAAAAGATGCGATGGATGGGTGAGACACCGCTCTGCTGACGTAATGCCCCGCCTGCCTAAAATGCTCGGACATCCGAGCCGAAAGAGTCTAGCTCGTCACCACGGAATGTCGAGTCCGTCATAAGCCGCCCATCTCGGCACTTGGATGTTTTTGAATCGCCCATTGCAATCCTTGTCTGCAGACATTACAACATCCACCACTGCTTTGGCTCCCTCTTCGACCGTGAGGTCGGCATCTGTACCACCCATGTCGGTTTGCAGCCACTATGTAAACGTTAAACAGGAGTCGGTGGGCTCTGGTGAATGTCTACTTACCCCTGGACTGACAGCCAGGAAGATAAAGCCCGCATCCTGGTAGGACATGGCATACTGGACAGTCAGAGCATTGAGTGCCGCTTTGCTGATTTTGTAAGCCGGGCAAGGCGCGTAGGATACTTCTGCCGCTCGAGTTATGGATGCATATGCAGTCGAGCTGGATTAACACCGGAAAGAATCAGCCTTTGGTTGAGCTAGACGAGGTCTAGATTTGGAACAACTCACATGTTGACTATCTTCTTCCCTTCCCCAGTCTCCATCAGAGAGATGTATGAACGGATCACGTTGTGAGCACCAGACACATTCACCGACAGCTGATACTCGAGGTCGGTCCTATCGTGTCGTAAGTATCAATGTCTTTCTGAGAAGTTAACTCACTCACATGTGGGCCACGCCGCCTGGGGTATCCGAATGTACACCTGCACAGTTGATGAGAATGTCAAGTCTGCGCTGACCGAGGGCGGACCTGACCTGCTCGACGGACCGAGTGATACTCTCCAAATTAGAGACATCCAAGGACACGAACAAGACGCGACCATCTGTGTGTGCGATGACATCTTCCAGAGCTGCGCTACATTCTCTAGCTGTTGCGACGATAAGATCTACCCCGATTGTCCGCAAAGCCAATTGCTTCACCAGCTCAAGGCCAAGGCCTCGGGAGCTTCCTGTAATCAGCACACTCGACATCGCTTGAACTGTCCTTCCATTCAATAATACTAAGATGGAATTTGGACCTAGATTTCCTTTATAACATGTTGCAGAATTTTAAAGACGGCGTGAACCGCCCTCGGCGCTCCGAAAGAACGGGGCTATCGGAAACGAAGAGCTTCCGGAGGCCCACCTGGTCGGTGATCACAGGGTTTGGCCATTGTTGGAAAATTTCTTCAAGACCGAAGATTGTGTGTGGAGATTCATCGATCTATATCGTATGGAAGTCTCGGGTCGCTGTTCTTTCACTATTGAACCAAAGCTAACTGGGCCGAGACTGCTTGGCCAATGTGGCCCAATCCACACGTAGACATTCATACTAACTGGACGTTTCTATTCTCGTGCCAGTCTCGCGGTGTTGCACAAATGGCAAAGTGGGAGTCTTCTGTTCCGAGGTCTCGGATTTCCCTCCCGCATTCTCCACAGCAGCGGAAGGCCGAGTGTGCTCAGTCTGGGCGTTGACCACTTTGTCATCAACGCCCGTTTCGTTTCCATTTTCGAGAGACCTCTCAGCTTCGGGTTTCTTGGCGAGATTATTCTTCTTGACACTGCGCCATTCCATACCGAATGCACCTAGGGCAGCGAGACATGCCATGATAACGCCGACTTGGAAGCACTCGCGGAGGGAATCGTTGTAGTCTTTCAGAGCAACGGCATGGTACTGCTCGGGTATGCGGCTCAGAATCTCCGTTGCGCCCGTTCTCTGGATCAACTGCGGAGTGATGCCGATACCCGGGATGTCGGAGAGACGCTTAGACAGTTGGTTGGACAGGATGTTCTGACCCACGGAAGTGAAGATAGCACCGAAGAGCTGTTGGCCGAAAAACATGAGCGAGGCTCCGATCGCGACATCCTTGCGTGGTAGAACGGTTTGTGCAGCCATGTTCGGAGCTTGAGAGCATGACCCTAGCCCGTAGCCATATATGATCTGAAAGCCAATCCATTTTCCCTCGGATGTGTTGGTGGTCAGGGTGGTCAATAGACCGGCCCCTATTGATGTAAGACAGACTCCAAGTATTAAAAACGGCGTGTAATAGCCGATGCGGGAGATGAGTTGGCCCGTGAGTATGGATGCTACAACCAAGGGGATCACCATTGGAAGCAGGTGGATACCGCTACTGACTGCGGAGACACCCTTGACGGCCTGAAACCAAACGGGGAGGTAGTAAACTGCCCATAATCAATACATAACGTGCCTCCATGAGAAGCAAGAGTACGTACCGAGTATCATCATATGTGCACCCTGACAGGAGCTCACCCAGAAACCGCTCGCAATGCTGCGTTGGGTGAGAATTCTTGGGGGGAGAGTCGCCTGGTCAGGCTTCAGCACTTGAATCAAGACGAAAATAATCAATAGCACAGATGCGAGCACAAGCAATGCTATAATCCTCCCATTGCTCCACTACGCTGGTCAGTACCGTCTGTCGCATGCAACCTGAGGTGCAGAAGAAGCCGAAAAACTCACAGAATATGTGGTGCCGCCCCATTCCAGGACCAGACAGAGACAGACAACACCGGGAATGAGGGCAATCATACCCAGAATATTGAGCTGTCGCAGCTTCTCTTTAAGAGGAACGTTGGTGGTGCGACGATCGGGAATATGGAGTAGAAAGAAAACAAACACCAGGACCACGGCACCTATAGGAAGGTTGATATAGAAGCACCATCTCCAGGTGACATTTGAGGTGAAGGCGCCACCAATCAAGGGACCAGTCACCGAAGCGATACCAAACACTGCGCCAAATAAACCTTGATACTTGGGCCGGTTATGGAGGGGAACAGCATAAACGATGATGGCCATCTGAAGACCTTAATGTAAGTAGTTTGAGACTGAATGGAATAAACGAGAACGTACAACTCCAGAGAGAATACCACCAGCTCCTATGCCAGCAATGGATCTTCCAAGAATGAAGGCGATTGAGTTTGGTGCAGCCCCACAAAGGGCTGAGCCGGTCTCAAAGACAACTATGGACGACATGAAGATGACCTTGATACTGAAAGAGGGGTATAGCTTTCCAAACAGCAGCTGGAATGCGCAGTTGGTGAGAAGGTATGCCGTGCCGTACCAGCCAATATCATCTGCTGAACCGAATTCGTTGGTAATCTGAGGTATAGCTGTGGAGATAATGAGGCGATCCTGCAAGGTCAGTTATATCAATGGAGATGAGGAAAAGCCAAAGTACCAAGGACACGAGGAACATGCCAATGAAGATAGATACAATCAACATCGCAATCTTGAGACCCGAGGGGTACGCAATGTCGGACTCCATATCCTTGAGACTTTTTGCATTGGACAAGTTCACATGCGGGTGCCCTTGCAGCTGGTTCGAATCTTTGAGCGACATGTGGACTAACAGAACTTGCGTGTCCTAAACTCCCCACTCGAGGCAGCAATATGAAATGATTGTATAAGGGGAGATAAAGTTCTGGGAAGAAGGACGTAAGCCGGCCACAGAAAGGTGATGAGCCAGCCATGGGAAAAGAATCCATTATAAAGGTTGGGGACTGTGGCAGGATATCCATCTGCGGCCGAGCATTATTGATGCTACCATTCCCTAGAGGGAAAGCCGTCGGCCGAGCAGGGTAGATGCGTCCGACGCTAGACCATTTTGGGACCCGAGCCTCCCGACGCGTCAACACTGCTCGTAACTCAACCATCCACCATCATTATAGCTGGTTCATGTCTTTGTACCTCTTGCTGTCATGTCTCGACCCCCACCTCCGACTGAATTCCAGGAGCTAAACAGACCAAAGCTGGCCTGTCTGCTCTGTGCGCGCCGCAAGGTGAAATGTGACAAAGGCGATCCTTGCTCCAACTGTCTCAAAGCCGAAGCAAAGTGTCTTTATGAAGGACCCACTCCAAATCGACCTCGAAAAAGGGCTGCGGATGAAGAGCTCCTCACCCGGATAGCACAATATGAAGACCTTCTGCGAGAGCACAATATTGAATTTGAGCCTTACACTCACACGTGGATCCATTCCAATCTAGATGCAAGCGACGCTGATAAGAGGGAGGCAAACAAAGTGCTGTAAGGCCACCAAGAACCCAGTCCACTCTGACTTGTTCGTTGACGCTTGTTCAGTTGCCTGTGGTCGACTCTTCCGCTAGAGGTTCGTTGCTTCCACCATCTTTCGAATCTCAAACACTAATATATCTGTCACGCGTAGCTGCAATATCCTCCCACTCAAACCCTGGGACACAAAGACGATCCTCTTCTATATCCCGCCATATCTTTGCAATCCGTTCTCTCTGATAATCATACCGAACTCCATGAATTGCATCCAGAACCAAGACACATCTACCGGTTCTGGCAGATGTTCGTCGAAAGGATCAATCCGATGACGAAGATCGTCCATGTGCCCACACTGCAGCAGCGCGTCTTGGATGTTAGTTGGGACCCCAGGAACGCGGCGAAACCGTTGGCAGCCATCCTCTTTGCCATCTATACCATCGCAGTTACCTCCACCACGTCAGATGAATGTCAGGCCTTGTTTGACGAAACCAGGGGGTCCTTACTCACGCGATATCGTGCCGCAACTCTCCGGGCCCTCATGGAAGCCGACTTCCTCACAACGAGGAATCTCGAAGTTCTTCAAGCATTAGTGCTGTTCCTCTTCTCCAATCCTCGGTCTGAGCTATCAACCACCCTGACTGGTGCTGCTATTCGGATAGCCGACAAAATGGGGCTTCAGCAAGAAAGCACCGATCCAAGGATCACATTCTTCGAAAAGGAGATGCGCATCCGTCTTTGGTGGCAGTTACGCGGACTTGATGCCCGATGTCGTATTGCTTCCACCCCAGGAATCAAGAAGCCGCCACCACCATCTGAGATTGGCGACATCCGCCTCCCACTCAACGTTAACGACGCGGATCTGCATCCGAACATGACCGAGCCCCCTTTGGAACACAATGGTCCTACCGAGATGATGTGTGTTTTGATGAAGCTCGAAGTCTCCAATTGGTGTCGCCACTCGCCCAACGCTGCCAAACTCTTCGAGAATGTTCTTCAGAACCAAGTCGGAAACAAGGCGTCAATCAACCTGCAAAGCAAGGTTGTCAATGAACTCCAAGCCATATACTACCAGAAATACTTTATCAATTCAGACACACGTATACCACTGCACCGTCTAACACTCAACATTGCCAATATTTCAATCGCGCGCCTGCGTTTTGCCATCTACCATCCCCGGGCACGTGCAACGAAGGAAGATACGGACGTGTATATAGTCGAGAAAGAAAGCGATATTCTGTTTGAGTCAGCCTTGACTTGGCTCGAAGCTATGGCGGATGTGAGGCGTTGCAATACGTTTTCACCTCATTTATTCGCGCACATGACCACGGATTCCCAGCTGGATGCTTATATCTACCTCATTAGCGAGCTGAGACAGCGATGTTCTGGGGAAAGGGTACTCAAGGCTTGGAATCTGGTAGAGAAGCTTTACAACGAACATCCAGAACTCATCCGTGATACGAACGAGTTCTTTGTAGCTTTCGGAAATTTGACTTTGGAGGCATGGGGGGCCCGCAAATTGCGTGAAACGCCGCCGTTTATCCAATCGCTCTGGGATGTGAGACAGTACGAACTTCCGGAATGCGGACATCTGCACCCCTTTTCGAATCCTGATGGCCCTCAAGGTCTCAGTTTGGAAGATGAAAAAGAGTTGAACTGGGTGTACTGGAGCGATCTGCTTCGCTTGTGAAGACGCGAGTTGGTGATGGGCAACACCTTAATGTATCATTAAATTGACTATTGACGATGCGTTTGTTCCGTAGCCTTGTGCCATAACGGCTCTTTGTCTGATTGAAGGGACCTAGAAGGAAGGCAGTTAGGTTAACGACGGGAATGAAAAAGGTGGCTATGACGCTGAAGGGGTATATCAGTAAAGATGCCTTCCTGCAAGAGCCGTACGTCAGTAATCCTCGCTGTAGATGTTTCTATCCTTTATTCCCTGCTCTTGCATGGCGTTTCCGACCGTGGGTGAGGTGGAGAGCGAATGGCGTGTTGCTCATTATGGCAGGTGAGGGAGACGTGAGGGTTGTGGGATTAGATTGGACAGCGTAGAGTTGCGTGGACCCCGACTTCAAGAATATCACCTATGTTGCGTTGATGTTTTCTAAATCGATGATAAAGATGGTGTGGTGGTGAGACGGAAGAATGCGAGTGAGTTGAGGGGACGGACGAGGAAGATGGCTGATTGGATGCCTCAGGCAGTAATCCGACCCTGCTGTTTGACTTCCTCAATTGCCCAATAGCTCCAAGCTATTGGACATGAACTGACAACCCTCATGCAATGACTATATTACCGTCTAGATATCGCGAGAGGGACAATCTACTTGTTCGGTGAGTATGCCTATTGACTTGGATTGACTGTCATTGCGAAATCCCGGCTGAGATAGCTACAATTATGCCATACATGATCACGCTGACCATCATAACAGAGAGATCATCTCAATTTTCCACAAACCCTTGCCAGGATTCAAATTGGCCATAGGAAGAATGGCATCATCACAGCCTAGGAATAATAGACCCGAGAGTGCAAACGAAAAAGCCGAGAACTGGAATGAGAAGTATGCTCATCATCGCCAGTGCCAGAAATCGAAAACACCGAAACTCAGCACCGCATGAGATTTCCATGCACTTCTCCTTATCATCCAATATGCCCACACTCAAAAACCATCCACCAAGTACTATGCGTCCTTTCATTAACAAGTTAAGAGTAACACCGGCTGAAACGATTGTCGCTACACCATGCAGCACCAGTTCAACAATACTAGCTAGTTTCTGTCCGCCCTTCAACAGTTGTGGCAGCTGCAGGAATTACCAGTGCAGCAAAAGCAGTTGTAGTTGTAACTGCGACAGGCATTGCGGCAGCTTTGCGGTGTGTAGCCACCGCACCATGCTGCTGCAGGCGAAATATCATCAGTGCCTGAATATAGTCAGTGATCACTCTGAAACGCATGCAATAGGTGTGCGAAACATACTGTTGTTCAACAGAAGATTCAGCTGGCCTGGATTCGTCTCAGGAGGAGCAGGGGTAGCCTCGTCGACTGGAATACTGAACACGAGGGGGAGCGAGGCCAGAAGGTAGAATGCGAACTTCATCGTGATGAATGGTATATGATTGGGTGTGGATGATGACAAAAAGCTTGAATTCGCGTGATCTGGTTAGCATCAAGATCCGGGGAGAAGACCCTAGTTATATCCAGACGGAGGATATTCGACAGCCATTTCTGCCAACGCATGATTGTCATCTAGTGCGGAGATCAGGAATAAAGTTTCTGCCATTTGATGTTGGAATGGATGGCTGTGCAACGGTGTTTGGATGTCGGTATAGTCATGGTGTTACAGTGGGGTAAATCTGAGGGGTCGAGCATTTCCCCAACAGTACTTGACAGAGTATGTGGAACATGATGGGATGATCGGACTACTGCAATTATCGGTTGGTTCGCAATATACATGATGCACTGTGGTCCGCAGAACATCGGCCAAGTATGATCAGACCACTATGGATGGTATTGCTAGTAAAACTCGTTCTGTAACTACAGTCAGCCATGTGATACGCATTTTTAATGACATACATTCACCAGAAAGAGAAATACTTATGCCGAAATTGAATATCGGGGAATGCCATCAGGTGATGGACCGGGGAGGTCCGATTGGCTGCCAGCGATGACGTCAGGGATACAAAGAGGGCAGCGCGGCTGACAGCAGCACTCTTCCTCCATCTCACCACCCATCCACCATGGACCCCATCAACGAATATTGCGGCCTCGAAGACTATGGCCTTGTCGGTGATATGCACACATGTGCACTGGTCAGCAAGAATGGCAGTGTCGACTCCATGTGCTGGCCCGTCTTCGACTCTCCCTCCATCTTTTGCCGCATCCTTGACAAGCAGAAAGGCGGCCATTTTTCCATCACTCCCCATCGTAGCTTGAAGAATCCATTGAGCAAGCAGCGCTATCGCCCATACTCTAACATGCTGGAGACTCGCTGGATTCATGAAGAGGGAGTCGTGAACATCTTGGACTACTTTCCGATCGCAAAATCCAAACCCCACATCTCGGAAAAGGGACTGCCCCAGTGGTGTCGCTGCCATCAGCCCAAGGTTCCTGGTCAGTACCATGCATGTCATTCTGGACTGGTACGAAAGGCCGAGTGTGTGCGCGGGCAGATGGAGATAGAGATTGAGCTCTTCCCGGCATTCAATTACGCTCGGGATTCGCATACAGCATATCCGTCCTTCACTGCAGGAGACGGTCTACAGGTCTACCACTTCCAGGCAGCAGCTCAAAATCTTCAAGTCAGCATCTTGGAAGATAAAGGTGATCTCCATACGGATTCCTCCGATTTCAATATTCAATTGGAACTATCCGAGCGTGCCGGTCACCTGGGCCCCGGCTTGGTCGGAAAGGTCACCTTGAAAGAGGGGCAGTCGATTACGCTGCTTCTGCATGACCAAGAGTCTATCACTTCTGATGTTCAGGTACTCGCGCCTTATTTGCAGCAGATTGAGCGGATTACAGGCGATTTTTGGTCCGACTGGACCAGCAAATGCACCTTCCGTGGCCACTATCGCGAGCAAGTGGAACGTAGTTTGCTGGTGTTGAAGTTGCTGACCTATAAGCCTACCGGGGCTATCGTCGCAGCACCTACATTTTCTCTACCTGAGCATATAGGTGGTAGTCGGAACTGGGATTACCGCTACTCATGGGTGCGCGATGCTGCTTTCACAGTCTACGTGTTTTTGAAGAACGGGTATCCCGAGGAGGCTGAATCTTACATCAATTTTATCTTCGAACGGATTTTTCCGCCCTTGAACAAGAAGCCTAAGGCTGGAGAGCCATTTCTTCCCATCATGGTGACAATCCATGGTGAACGCGACATTCCCGAGATGGAACTTGACCATTTGGAGGGTTACCGTGGGAGCCGACCGGTCCGCATCGGCAACGGCGCAGCGACGCATATCCAACTGGATATTTACGGAGAGTTAATGGACAGCATTTACCTATACAACAAACATGCTGTCGAAATCTCCTACGACCAGTGGCTGGCAATCCGTCGCATGGTCGACTTTGTGATTCAGATCCGCCATCAGCCGGACCAGTCTATCTGGGAAGTGCGCGGACCGCCCCAAAACTTCGTCTACTCCAAAATCATGCTGTGGGTCGCTCTGGACCGTGGTGTGCGACTGGCGGAGAAGCGCTCTAACCTTCCCTGTCCGGAGCGAGCACGATGGGTGCAGGAGCGCGATGCGCTGTACGACGAGATCATGACCAAGGGGTATAACGCGGAGAAAGGGTTTTTCTGCATGAGCTACGAGAATCAGGATGCAATGGATGCATCTGTGCTTGTTGCCCCGTTGGTATTTTTTATCGCACCGAATGACCCCCGACTGTTGAGTACAATCAAAAAGATTACAGACGTTCCCGCTCGAGGGGGGCTGAGTGTGGCTAACATGGTGTCCCGGTACGATACCGGAAAGGTCGATGATGGTGAGTATCCCCCCCAGTACGATCCGCTTTACTAACTTCCCAGGTGTCGGAGGAAACGAAGGCGCTTTCCTCATGGTCACATTCTGGCTGGTCGAAGCCATGATGCGTGTATGCTTCCCCTTATTGCTTCTATACCAGATCGCTAACCACGGAATAGGCTGCTCGCTCCAAGGCATATCTCCCGCACGATCCATTCTTCCAACAACTGCGAAAGACGGCCACCTCGCAGTTTGATAGCATTCTCTCCTTTGCGAATCATCTGGGGATGTTCTCCGAGGAGGTGGCCACATCAGGAGAGCAGATTGGCAATATGCCACAGGCGTTTAGTCATCTGGCCTGTGTTAGCGCAGCGATGAATCTAGGTGGAGGTGGAGAGAGGTGATATGGACAAGAAGTAAGATCCAAAGATATACAGATCTCATAAAAGCCTGTGCTGATTTCAGTAATTGGACACTCCATAAACTACATAATCATACAGAAACAATGTACTTACCTCTCGAAATACAGTTGACTGTTCTGAACCAACAAATGCAACTAATAAACAAGAAAAATAACCACGAAACAGATATATAATTTATAACATACAGCGATACAAACACCCCAGACCCCACACCATCCCAAAACCATTCAATTCTACTCCGATCTCACCCCCAAAACCTCCCAAACACCCCCCTAAACACCTCTTTCCCTTTACCTTCCACAACATCCCCATGACAAGGAACCACCCTCTCAAACTCCCACTCCGCAATCCTCCTCACACTATCCCCAAAACTCTCCCTATCCCCTTTACTCAGAACCCACCACATAAACCACGCCTGCCACCCACCCTCACCCCCTCCCAACTTCACCAACGGCATAAACAACCGATTGGCAACCCCATCCCCCGCCCCCTCCCTCAAACGGGAATACTGTTCCGTAGCAGGCAAATTAAACAACAGATCCGCCTCAATCAACGTCCCTGACCTTTTATCCAATAATACTATTTCCCTGTTGGTATGTCCGTCCACATACTCAATCTCAAAATCAGCGTGGAATTCATCGCTTATGTGTAACGTGTGCTTGTTTTCCTTCGTGAAGATAAACTCGAAGGGTGTAGCATCGGGGTAAGCGGTGGGATCAGCTCGGCGTTTCTCGTAAAGACCCTCCGGGGCGAGGATCTTTGCGTCAGGGAAGGCCGTTTTCCAGGTTGAGAGGTAGATGTGGTGTTCGAGGTCGGGGGCGATTATGTATGACACTTTGCCGGTGCCGGTGGTGGTTATCAGGTGGTGGATGGCTGGGGTTAGGGCGACGGGGGAGAAGATGGCGAGGTTTGAAGTGGTGAGGCGGACTGGTGAATGTTGTTAATAGGGTTTGTGGTTGGGGGAGGGAAGGGGATGGGGGAGGGTACTTAATGTGCCTCGACCACCGAATTTTAATAGTCCGAAGCGAGAAAATGGGACGCTGAAAGTGGTGATGTCTTCGGTTACTTGGCGGATGACCATTACGTCGGAGGGGTCGCCGGGGAAGAGTTTGGTGTTGGACATTGTGTTGATAGGAGATGTATATATAGTTCGGAAAGATGGTGTTAGATGATTTCCTTTATTAAAAAATGAAGACAGAAGACATGAAATAGAAAGGCAATATATATAACCCAGGCAATAGCATCATATACACTCAAATAGTTATTTGAAATTCACCCCTATACTCTATAGATCGATGTATAATCCGGGGGCTCTAGGCCCGACCCACGTGCTCGGAACCGGATGGTCTGGGCATCCGACTAGTGCATGGCTCGGCTGTCGGTAGTTCTCTGCCGCCATCGGTCGCGGCTTGGCATTTTTGTGCAGAATGACCCACATTTTAAACATGGTATTATTATTGAGATGCCTGAGGCATGTGTATAGCATGAGTACAATACAGCGTTATAGTCTGTTGGAGTGGCTACTAAGGCGATTCAACCGTGTAGAATGAGATGGATGATGATCTAGCTAGGGGCCTCGTAGGCCATCTATATGGACTAACTAGCGGCGTAGGGAGGAGTGTCACGTGACCCTACGTTGCCTACCGGCGTGGGAGCCCATCGGGGATCCCAACATAGTCTGGCTGAAGCCATAGGTCAAATGTGCTAAATCGCTTTTTCTACTGTCTACGCAGGAAGCGATAGCTTATCTACTATAATAAACTGGAAAACAAAGCGCCAAATAGCTTTTCGCTAACATTGAAATACCACAAAGGGAACTGCGGATCGAAGAGTCTGCGCGATTAAACGATGAAGTTGGGACATGTGTGACCAAAGCGAGCTTCACCATTCCTGGTCTGAACTTGTGGGATGATTGGTAACTCCATGTTGGATGCTCAAGAGTTGTGCCTAGGGACGTAAACCATATCCTCCACCAAGATAAGCGGGCGAGGTCGATCGGGTAGCCCAAGCGTCACAAATCCCTGGCTCCCCACAACGGCTACGGTTCCCCTTCCCGGAATACCGTGTTGGACAGGAACCTGATAGGTATAGATTTCTGGCCCCAAACCTTGTAGCTTGGTTGTCATAATCTGCACTTGATCCTGCAGGGCAATCTCTCCCTCATGAAACGCACAAACAATAACCGTGTCGGTGATGGTAGCGAAGTATTTATCACGGTGCGCATGGTATAGGTCAACCACTTGGGTCATAAGGCGCCTAACATTGCTGTCGCCAGTGAACGGGTCTGACAAGTCCATAGAAGGCCGGGGTGGTAGGTGAGCGAGAATAGCACCGGTTTTTGATGCGATCACAACGGTAGAGCATCCTCCAAGGTCTCTGGTGCCAATAGCCACCATTTGGTTGAGATCAGCGCTTTGGACGGCATTCATGGGGACAATGATAACCCTCGTCGGATATTCCCTCTTATATGAAACAAGTAAACTTTGTTGTTGAGACATTTTGGGATACTGTACGAGAGGCTGGCCGAAATGATATATGTTTTCACGGAGGATGTCCAGGGACTGTTGTTTGTCTCAGATGGGCGCTCAGGTTCCTGCTACTTATAGTTTACCAGATTGTCAATTGATTCTACATCTCCGGCTCGTTCCTTCTGTTTTAGGGTTACGATCATAGATGTTTTTCACCTACGAGGAAAATCGCTCGTATTTGGGAAAAAAGCCTCCGACGAAAATATATGGTAAAATGCGAGACTCCGACACTGTGGAGAAATTCCTGAGAATTCTATGTACCTAGTCCCGGGAGTACCAGGGGAGTGAGTTGGTGTAACCATATGATTTGCGAGCGTCGAGACTTGGCAATGGCTTAAATACCGCTACTACCGCTCCTTTCCCAGCTGCTAAACAACCCCCCATCAATTTATTGCTATTCTGACCGCCCTCCGACACTATGGAGTCACAGACCCCTCTTCATCACCCCGGTGCTATTTTCCAACTTCCAGGTGGGACTCCACGGGAAATCGTTGTCAAAGCGAAGGAGTTATGTATCAGCAATGATATTCAACGGTTTCGAGAGCTCCTCGATTCGGCACCTTCTGAAGCGGAGCATTTCACCATAACCGATTTCGGGGTAGTTATGTGCCAGGCTGTTGAACAGGACCGTGTGCCCTTCATACAAGCGCTTCTGGATCGAGGATTCCCCTTAGACCCATGCTATGCCCGGATAGCAACCAGACACCAATCCAAAAAGACGCTAGCTCTTTGGATGGAGAACGGATGGGATATCAATGCGCCAATGTGTGGCACCGAACCGTCTGTTTTAGGGTAAGTTACTATCAAAGGCCTCTTACATAGGTCTTTTCTAACAATCCTCAAGTATTGCAGTGAATGATGAATCGATGGCTGTCTGGTTACTTGATAACGGCGCTGATCCCAATAAACGAACGTTCATGGATGTTACTCCACTTTCATGGGCTGTTGAATGGGGTTCTATTTCAGTCATAAAAGCCATGCTTGATCGTACCACAGACATTCATGCCGGCCAGGTGCTTCATCATGCAGCCAGACGAGCTTCAGATACTATCCAGGTTTTGGAAATGCTAATTGAAAAAGGCGCACCTCTCAACACTCCTATGTACCAGGACTCAAATACTGTGTCAATGCAGTGTTTTATGTCGTTAGGCACCCCTTTGCACACGGCAGCTGAGCTTGGCAACTTGGATGTGGTTCGCCTTCTGCTGAGCAAAGGAGCCGATCCGACAGTGAAAGATTACCAAGGGAAGACGGTTATCGAGCTAGCACGAAGGATGAACCGGTTGGAAGTTGTCGAGGTTTTGGAGAAGGACAAAAAGAAGGAGAAGCAGAAAGAGGAGAAAGAGAAGGAGGGTGAGGAGAAGGGGGAATAAGTTGTATACTCCATTGATTGCGCTTTGTGCGCCGGACTTCCTGCTTCATGCATTGTTTTTTCTTTTTTTGGTTGACATAGCCCTTTTTCAGTCATCTTGGAATCTGAGTGATCACTATGAGTAAAAGCGAGATTGAAATCATCTATGAATGCGGTGATATGAAATGATATACCTCGTACATAGCCTGTAATGCGTTAAAAGACCCGAAAGGCATGGCTACAGCGATTACAGGACAATAGAGGTATTCGACAGAGTTACCGTGTGTATCCTCTACTTGTATTCCTCTGGAAACGGAAATTCCCTCTCTTTCAGATATTCATTCTTTCTCGAGCCCAAAGGTTATTCTGATATTTTAATACCCATATATACGCACATTCACATGTTGTGTCTAGTACATACGACCACACTATTGGAAGGGTTTGATTGGCAAATCATCTCTATAGTCTGGGCCAGGCGGTACCCGGATATTATTTTATCCGACATCCCTTTCTCAATAAGTATTGTGCCCATCGAACCTTTTTTATCTTCCATCTATCACAGATCCCTCCTCCTCCGTAATTATCTTTCGCTGTTATATTCATCAATTATCTTCCTGTTCGGTCATGGCTTTGCACAGTGGCTCGTGGTTTGACTCGAAATGGATCGGAAAGACTATTGATTTTGAACCCCCTTCAAGCTCCTGGCAAATAACAACAAAGCTACAGGAGCATGAGGCACGCTATCTGCAGAGCGAATTCAGAATCTGCGGCTTCTACTCCGAAGCAAGCTGTACCTTCGTCTCCGAAGATTTGGAGGGCTCAACCCAAGCTATTATGAGGATTCGGATGCAGTACAGCCAGTCTCTCCCTTGACAAATATACAATTGTCTAACAGAAAGCACTAGAATCCCATACCTCGAAGAAGACCTGAGTTCCTTGATACCAAGCTTTGATCAAGCACTGGCAGGTATCTCCGGTCGCACTGACTGAGAGATTAGAGCCCTTACTGGTTTGATGAAAGGTGGATGCTCTCGCACACCACGCTATCTCGCTTCAAAGCATGAATACCAAGGGGCTGGTGAATGTATTCCGGGAGGGTTTCTGGAGTATCTTGTTATGGAGAAAGTTAAAGGAACAAAACTCTCACATGAGATTCTTGATGACTTGGATGCTCAACGGCAGATCGAGTTACGGGAAGCATTTAAATCATCATACCTGTGAGTTGCTGTCATTTTCCACTCGGAAATCAGCTTATATTGGCTTTTAGGGAATGCTACGGATATGGATTCATCAATCTGAATCCGAATCCTGAGAATCTTATCTGGGATGCCGCCAAAGCAAAGTGGTCAGTATCACGTATTTACATTTGTTCTTATAAAGCTTACCGTTTCTCTACAGCTACATTGTCAATTGGGAATCGTGGTGCAAGAAAGGTAAGTGGAGCAATGGTGAATTTCGTTGGTGGGGTCTGGAGTTTGACTAGCATGATTTTATCCTGCTTGACTCATGATTGGTCTCTTTTATGTATTGTCTCGAGTATATAGTTTTTTGTAGGGGCTTTTATGGAGACCAAGGTGGAGTGGAAATGGTTTATTCTAAGTTTGTTTTAGACTCACCCGATAGATTCGTAAATTCACACCATTCATACTTTGTAACATGTTCTCACCTCAGTAGATTTCTCATCTCCGGTCCATGTGTGTTTGCAAATGTCAGCCTGAGTGTTCAAAAGCCGAACAGATCTTTCGATATCTCTACTGGAGCGGTTGCACACCAGAATCGGGCTTCTTGTCGAGGACAAACATCCCCCAAAACCAACCGTAGGCTCTATTAAGCCTACGGCCATAGCGCCGGGCGGTTCTAAAAGGCAACTTGCCCCGCGGGTGGGGTTCGTGGAATTGAATGCTTCTTTCAACATCCGGCCGGGTTGGCTGAAACTGCCACACTGAGCCGTAAAGCTTGATGACTGTAAAGCCGACTGATGGCATCGCATGGAGAAAGTCATTCCAGGGCACTTCACCCGGCGTGGAAGTGAGTGTGGGGTTGAAGAAAATCGTCCGAAAAACCTTGAGTGTCCGTGCATCCACAGTAAAGGTAGGCTGATGATCAGCAGGATTAACCCGCAGGAGCGCTTCGGCTTCATCGATATGTGTGGGAGGTCGTGGCTTTCCGCGGGTTTTGGCTTTGGTCTTTGGCTGTGCGATGTCCAATTCCCTAGCCGAGAAGCCGGAGTAGATGGTGGAGATGGGTTGATACAAAGCGTAAAGATCGACATCGCCGACCTTATTCTGAGCAGATCCGGTAGATCCGGCAGGCCGGGACTTTTCCGGCTCAACCCACTCTGCAGTACGTTGTAGGATACGCGATTGGGAGAGGAGGTTCCGCACCGCCGTGTCATGCAGGTCACCCGCTTTAGCGACCATGATCTGGTCAATGGCTGCCCAGAACGCGTCGAGATTACTTTCTGCCTTCCGCAGCGCCTCCACGTTGTCCTTGTTGCGGCGCCTTTCGATGGGATAGTTGAATTTGCCGTCGGATGGATCGCCGAGATTTCCAGCTCGACTGGAGTTGCTGGTTGCTGGTATCGCGTCACTAAGTGCGGCCAGAATCTGGGCCCATGATTGAGTTTGTTTCGCATAGTCCTGCTTCAGTTCATCCTCACGGCCAACAGCCTCGGATTCCCAGCTTCTGGCCCATGGGTGATAAAGGCTCAACTGGTTGAAACACTGGGAGACGATAGAGAGGTCACCAATTACTTCAGTGACATACGAAGAGAGTAGTTCCTGTGCTGCTGTATCTGATTGAAGCAGTCGCTCCAGCTCGTCCACAATTAGAGGCATACCAGCGAGGAACAAGTCATTGCCGGTTTCCCAAAGGGTGCACAGCAGCCAAATCAATTGCTTCTCTACCTTGCTCATCTTCGAACCAGGCCGTACGACGACTGTCATCCTTGTCGTATGAGCGTCAAGCGGTGGCTCGCGCACAAAGAGCCTTCGCATAGGCGGAGCTGCCACAGCTCCCAACTTAAGTTTGGACAATGGTCCCTTGGCCACTTGATGGAGGTAATGGCGGAATCGGAGCAAGGCCTCGAGATACTCCGCAGGCAGATCCTCCGAAGGCAGGATGTCATTAGCGTACACTCTTTGCAATGCGACTAATTTGTTCGCTTGGCTGCTGAGTTCAGAGAACATTTCTAGCTCGAGGTATGCCTCGGATACCACAGACCGGATGACGCGCCCCCACAGAATCCCTTGCCGACCACGAGTCAGGACTGGGTGGTTACTACCGTTCAGATCCTTCAGCATCTCTTGACGATGCTCTTTGGCCTCGAGCAACGTGTTGGCGAAATAGCCAGGGTCCTCCCGTAATGCCCACAGGTGATCTTCGGCAGCGGAAGCCCTTGCGGTGAGTAGCGACGCAATGCGACCAAGATCGAGTTGCGCTGGAACGCGATACGGGGCTTCTGCAGCCATCACACTCAGGGATTCGAAGCCGCTGATCTCGCTTTCAGGTTTCAACTGCGGCTCTGGAAGAATAGGGAAGGTGTCACTGGATAGACTGGGCTCTGGAATGTCACGAAGAATCTCTCGGGAGCATTGCACGAGGAAGGTCAACAGTCGCCCCTGTGCATCCAGCTGAAGGCGTCTGGGTTGTCGTTCTAGGACACGAGCCGACCGTACTCGTGAGTATTTTCGGTCATGCCATTGAGCATCAGGACGTGCTCATTCAGAAAGATGGGCACAATGGCTTTCGTTACCAGGCACAAGTGCATGGCATCGATGTCGGCGGCGGCAAAGTTAGAAGGAGGGTGTCGTTCTCGAGCATTCAGCAAGAGGGGTAGCGCTTTAGTGTTCAGGAGATCCTCTTGGTTGATGTACGGCCACATGAAGCATTCCCGATATTTGGTACTTTTTTCACGCTGGGACTCGGACTCCTTCCGGAAAGCATCGAAATCGGGACGGTGGATGGCTGGCATATTGGGCCAGGCAGTCAGCAGGATCTTGAGCCTTTGAGCGCGAGTTTTTTTCAACCAGCGTTTCTGGATTGTAGCCTCGTGACGTTGTAGGATGGCGTGGAGGGTCTCATAGCTGGTAAAGATACTTTGTGACCAGGTGGTGGCTTCTCGACAAACATCTTCCTTGGACAAGATCTCTGGGAGGGGAAGAGCACCGGGTTGCCCCGCACCGATGGCTTTGAAGAAAGCAGCCGGATCATTCCAGTCGAACTTGTCGATCTCATCGGGGAGGCCATGATTATCATAGAGCTCTGCCCCCGGACCGAAAGGGTCAAACTGGTGGTCCGGTCTTGGTTGCATAATTGGTATTGAGATGACTGAAGCAGAGTGAGATAGCCGACTGCTTGTTGCAGCAAGATGGATGGAAGAGGTGGAAGAGATAAAAGAGATGGAAGAGAATGTTGAAACACTGGCAGAACGGGATTCTCCGTCATCGGGACGGGCCACCGCCTACGCAGGTCGGAAACGGCCTCACCATTGACTTTGCATGTAATTTTTGTTATATATGGATATTGATGCTATTTTCTCGATTTGATTGACTAGAGAATAAAAACATACAACAGAAGGGATTCGCTGGTGGTCACCCACCCAACTACTAACCTCCCGGCGTGTGGCTTAAGTACGGCTGAGCGGACGGGAAGCCCTGTTCTCCACACCCTGTGGTCGTATGTACTAGATACAGCGTTGTAATAGTTGATACTCTCCGATGAGGGATTTGTTGAAGCGTTGTTGGGAAGGAAGGGTGAACGGAATCAGGAAACATGTTTATCCAAACGGCGCTCTGTGTTGGTATTTTATGTTGGGAACTGGTGGGTAGGGCTGAGATGGGCGATTCGCGGATGCCGATCTACCTGTGGCCATCAGCGCGCATGTAGTAATAAATCAAGAGGGAGTTAGAGATGATTACATTTCTCCAGTGACTCCAACAGGTGGCTACACAACGTAGAAGTAATAGGAATCCCAACGCTGCTTACATTCTGATTCAACATACTAGATATCCAACGATAAAGCAAAACCAAATCAAACGGAGTAAGATATCCAAGCATATCTCAACTTCCTCTCCAGACCTCCTAAGATTCCCAGTCTGCCGGACTCCGCAGGGCACCTCTAACAGAGGAGTACAATGCGGAATCATCCTCACTGTCGCGTTCCTTCCGCGATAAATCAAAAGAGCATCTGAAGCTCAAGTTCAGAATCTCAGCAACAGACTGCCCAGAAGTAGGTTTTGCAGCATAGCTGGAAGACATAGATGAGGCGCTGGCCTGGATCATATACCCTGCTAGAGCATTATGGCCATTCTTAAGCAATGGCCGAATGGTGTCTCTTCCAAGAGAAGATCCCACTTTAACATAAGGCAGCCTGATCTGCTCAGGTCGACTGACTTGGGATTCACCACCTGATCCCGACTTGGAAGCAGTCTGCGAAGGCCTTTTGTAGATGACATTGGCATTAAAGGCCTCCCATGCCAGCGAGATGGTTTGTCCTCCAACTAAGCCCTTCGCTGCCCCTTTGACGCTTTGTTTGACGATATCCTGCAACCCATGACCTGCAATCTGCTTTGACAAGCCCCATCGCCAGACCGAGTTATTGACCGCCTTGCTGACGGTGTAGGAAGTCGGTGACTGCCCCAGGAACTTTCCTACTCGGCTTGTAACGGCGCCACCGAGCCTTCCTAGTGCAGGGCCGGCAGCACCACCCGCCGCTCCCATGAGGAAATCCTTGCCAACGCTGCTCCAGGTGGGCGTGCGGCCTTCTGCAAGGTCACCAAGAGCACCTCCTGTAGCGGAGGCTACACCACCAGCGACAGCACCCACGCCAACTTGAACTGCCAAGCTTGCGCCGGCAGTGAGGATTCCGGTGGCGATACTAGCCACCAGGCCAAGGATGGCAGCAATGAGCTTTTTCCAGCCGAAATGAATCCCGAACAGGGAAAAATGGCCACTTGGGTCCACATGATTACTCGGGTCACCAAGGCTGTATGTGTACGGATTGATCTCGCCTGACACAAAAGGACTCCACGGATCCGGGGTGTGGAAGCGCATCAAAACGGGATTGTAGATGCGGTACCCATTTCCCAGGTGATACCATCCGGTGACTGGGTCTCGCCACTGCCCATTGAACCCTATGGAAGAATGCGCACCCAATCCGTACGGAGTGTATGACTGATGGTGAATTGTGTCCGGTTGATGGCTATCAAGCCAGCCCAGGACAGAATCATGGCTGTCCGCCATCCAGAGTTGGGTCTGTTGTTTTTCGGTCTCACCGTCTTGGATGATCTGCCCCCAATATGCCTTGCCGTCGGAAACATAGCTGATGCGACGTTCACCAACCCTTGTGGCAATGAGGGAATCTCCTCGGTAGAAAAGGTAGTTGTTTGGCTCGTCCGGCACAAGTTGGCAGATCAACTTCCCTGCTGCATCGTAGTGATACTCGCAGATTTTGTTTTCTTTCTCATCTCGCACTGTAGAAAGACGGCACAGACTGTCGTACTCTAATCTGCGGCCTTGTTCATCCCTCGTTAGACAACCGTTCGTATCATATTCGAGGTCAATCTGCGAAGGGTACGTATTGTTTGTATTGGTTATCTCAGTCAGCTGCGTCGGGTCGTCTTTGCTGTACGTATAAGTAGTGACATTGTGACCACCATCTTGAAAGCTTGTCGTCATACCGACGATGTTGTCGTAGTTGTCAAAGCTGAAAATCTGTGTTTGAAGCTGATTTCCGCGGCCGTCGATGGGTGGGTGAGTCCCCTCGCATGTATATTCGACCAGACGGTTGCGGTCATCATACTTGAAATTCTCTTCCTGTAAAGATACACCTTCATTGCCCTTTACCAGCCGCGTCTCAATGAGACCTGTCTGACTGTACGTCTGATGCAAGCGGCACACTATCTCTTCTTTCCGTCGGATTACACGGTCTATCTCACGACCGAACTCATCGTATGCCAAGCTAAAATCAAAGACAATACTGTTCTCTTCAACGGAGTACTTGGAGAGGCGACTCGCTTTGTCATAGGTAAAGGAAACCTTTATGTTGCCCTGCTCCAAGCATGCAGGTCGGCCAGAATCGTCATACTTCACACTTTGCGTTTGGTTGTGAGGATTGACGTAGCGTTGCAGCTTTCCTGACATTGAGTACTGGTATTCAGAGAAAAATGTCTCGGCACCAGATAACTCAATGGTTTCGTGCTTCAATCGAGACGAGGAAGTGTATTCGCGGGTTTGTGTACTATGTGCCCCCTTGAGTAAAGTTGGCACCATGGACTGAGGATCGTACTCATATGTGTCGGTGCTTTCGCGCCGACTGAGACTCCTGGGGACAAACTGCAATGCAGATTCATACTTGATCTGGCATTCATCCCCTTGTGCATTTGTAACCTGCACAGGTTCTGGTTCATTGCCTTTGTAAGTCTGAGTCACCGTACGAGGGCCAATGTGCTGCAGTGTGACGCGACCCAAACCGTCGAATGACTGTTCTGCAAGGCTGACGTTGTTGATACTGACCTTTGCTGGCAGTCTATCCTCGCTATGATTGGCATAGGTAGTCCTCGAAACTCGACCATCGGGCCATGTAGTAGTGAGGATGCGGTCAAAGCTATCGGATTCATATTTTATGACTCTCTCAAGCTGATCTTCCTCTTCAACAAGGCGTCCTAAGCCATCATAACGCTTCTTCACCTCACTATAAACCGAACCGTCTGATTCACACAGACGTATCTGAATATCATTGCCGGAGACGTCGCGATATGTTATGGTTGATCCCTCATCCTTGATCCCCCTGGTTTCGGTGAGGTCAACTGGGTCTGATTGTGATAACATCACCGCTCCATTGCTTTCTGTCGTCTTGGATACCTGCCCCCAATCATCGTACTCCAGCTGTTGGATACTCTCTTGGGGGATGGGGTCCCCATTGTCGCTTCTGAGCCAATCAATTTCTGCAACCTCAATGCATTGGCCTTGGGCGTTATAGTTGCGTCTCTCGACAGTGCGGAACCCATCACTGAATGCATAGTCCGCACCACTCCCTAGCTCATCAGAATCTTGTTTCTCGACAAGGCAGGCCCTCTCTAGTCCGTCGCTTATATGCCGGGTTTGCACCCCTTTTGCATCAGTCACCGTCGTCTGCGTGCCTTTGGCGTCCTGAAGAAGGATGTACTCATAGGATCTCGAGGTTTCGTACGACGTGCCAGGAGATGTGGTTGCTTTGACGATTTGACCGAGCAAGTTGTACTCAAAACGCTCCTCCACGCCTGCCTCATCTTTGTGAGCCAGGGTGAGTCCGTGTAACGTGGAATAGACCGTCTCCTCCTTAACCCCGGTGCCGTCAAAGTTCGTAATGCTTGTTCTGATCGCCAGTTCATTTGTGTCTTGGCTTTCAAAATTCCATTTCTTGGTGATGGGAAAGCCATCCAAATGATATGTGACCTGTTGATTGAGCCGACCGTGATTGACTGAGGTAGGTTCATTCAGATATGCGAGGACAGTCCTAGACAGAATCTGATTGCCGTCCGTACTTAGGTGCTGCACAGCACTTACAAAATAGGAGGTCTTTGCACCGTCCGCAGTCACTATCTGGTCATAGCAATATTTGTCCGTGCGAGTGGGTGCCGGATAATCGCTGTCTGCAGGCACTATCGATTCGGTTGCCATGTAGCGCTTGAAACCATTCGGATCGGCTGGGCATCCTAGGTCAGCTGAATCATTCGATGCCTCCCCCTCAGCAGGGTAGTAGGTGCGCAGGACTTTTACGCCGTCAGGTCGAACTTCCTTTGTCGGGTTGCCCCATTCGTCGTACTCGAACTGGGTGGTCTCGGAACGAGAACGAGGAGTCTGACTACTCTTATCCACAAACTTCTTTTCAATGCTTTTGGGCAAATGACATTGTGGGGGCTGACTTTCAAACGTTCCGTGATCGGTAGCGTAGTATTTGATCGATTCGAGCACTGTAGTGTAGCCTTTCTTCTGCTCTGAGGAGACGATCAGATGAAACCGATTGTATGTATTCGTGGTTGTGGACCCGCCATCAACAATGACACTAGATGAGTACTGGTAGTCATCGCGTGACCGGTATAGATTGTCTTCTCCGTCTTTCCACCGAAAGCCACCGTCATACCCGAGGAAGTTTCTCGCAGAGAACTCATACCGCGTAGTGATGGCGGGTTGAGACTGGCCCGGCTTCTCGATATGCATAGTCACATATGGAACATATGACATGGGTGCCCCAGTAGGTAGCTTGTGGCCGTCTGCCTTGTGCGTTATCTCCTCCACGAGGCCTGTTGGACTGGTGACCTTTGTGATACACACGCTCTGTCCCAGCTTGAGATAGTCAAAGTTCCATGATGCATCCGTGAGTGGCAGCGACAATCTCTCGAGACAGTTGGCCTGTAGCCGAATCTGAAAAGTGCTTTCCTCCGGAGTGTCTGGAAACCTGACCAGCTTTCTAGTTGTTGACTCATAGTCGACTGTGAGCAAGTCCTGCGAGCTCTCCTGAATTTTGACAAGTCGAGGGTGCTCTCCCAGTCTTCCCCAAACAGGCTTCAGCAAACAGCCATTTGCAGCGTAGATCTCATACGGGACGCATTTGTCAAAGGTTCCATTATTGTCGTTCAAGATTTCAGTTTGCCCCGATTTATGGGTTAGCTGATACCCCGAGTCTAACTTGCGAAATACGAAACTCTTAAGCTTCTGGTCGGGAACCGACACACTGGTCGATGTCTCGGTAACGCGGAATCGCTCTCCAGTGGAGAGATAAAGGCTCCTTTTCCGGTGATCGTAGTAAGTAAAGTTGAATGACCATCCCTCGCCTAGCCCGAAGTCGAACGAGTCCAGTGAATTAAATGTCAATGTCAGTTTAAAAGGGGGGCAGTTCCGGGCCTGAGCCGGGGCTTCCCAGACACTGATTGCACAGCTATATTGGCCCGTACGAGGGTCGACTCCTTTCTCCAGGAGATTGCCAAAGTTGCAGCCCTGAGTATAGATTGCGTTGTTATTTGCCATGATGCCACGGGAATGGCGTTTTTCTGGGGAGTCATCTTCACATTCCGGAGCAGCGGAGGGCTTACCACAAATATAACAAGGCTCGATTAGCTCCTTCATGTGCCTCCCGGTTCGTACCATGGAAACGTCCTGGTGTTGCCTCATACCCAGTATAATCTTCACATGCCGGCATGTGAATCCTCTTTTCTGGCCAACCTTCTTTCTCCTGACCAGCGCCTGGTTCAATCATTTGGACGTCATGGCTTCGTCTTCTTTTCTTCATTGTCACCCCACAGCTCTTCTATCGAGAACACTGACAGCCGAACTCCCACTCCTCGCTTCCAGGAATTAGTTCTTTCTACTTTGACCATGGCAGCTGTTAATTGGGAGGTAACCTTTTTCGAAATCACAACCACCAGAAGCGACAGGATCACCGACACTCTCTACGCCAATGGACGAATGCAAGTCCCCATCGATGTTTCGATCAAAGCTGTCGTCAACGATGAGACCTATACCCTTTCCGAGCAAGAACTTGCTTCTATCAAGCTCGTCCGTTACGTCTCACCTGACGAAGACCTGCCCGATGGTTGGGATTACACCGCATCCGAGAATGAATTCGACCATGTCATGCCAACGACCGTTACCAATATCAAGAACAACCGAGACTCTGACATACCCGCCCCGGCAGAAGCTCTGCATATCACTCCCCGGGCGGACCATCAGGTCAAACGCTACTGGGTCTCTACAACCCACGTAGAAAACGAGCAAATTGCCGCGTCCATCCTGTCTCCATCTGGTGAAATCATCACCACTCATGAAGAGGAGTCGGGGTTCGACTCCTACGTGGCATTGACTGGAGTGGCCCCAATAACCTACCATAAAGACGACCTCGTGACCGACAAGTACAGTAACAAGGATGACGTCGAGAAGCATGAATGGAGCTTTTCCTACGAGGGTTTACCGCTAGCCCGGGGAACGTGCTATCAACAAAATGTGTATGTGTCCCTGAAAAATGAGCGGATGCTCAAATCCGAGGTGACAGGAGTGAAGAGAGGCGACTCGGAGTTTTGGTTCAATCATGCATATCGTCGGCATGTTCCATCCTGGGTAGACCATGGAGTGGATATTCACTACATATGGGATACGGGTGACCCAGAGCAACAGTGGGTCGGTCAACCTCTACCATGGGACGAATTTGATATCGACACCAAATGGGAGGTGGAGACCAACAAGAAATCAAACAAGCTCAATCTCGCCCGATGTGCAATTCGGACCGATTTCACTATGGTAAAGCTATGGAATTCGGACTACAATTGGGACCAAGAGAACTCCATCATCCTGTATGATCGGTGTGGCAATACGGGTCAGTTCAAGGCCAAGCCGGACAATGACTGGGATACAGGTGGCTCCCGTTTGGTAGAGGACTGAAGGCATTTTTCTTTTGTTGTAATAGGCCATCTTTCATTTCGTTGATGACGCACTTGGTCACTAGTTGTTCTCGCTGTAATAGCTCCTGTCTGTACTACTTTCAATGAAGACGGACGATCTTGAGAGAGGACTCGGGCATGCGTTCATCAGAAAGAAGTATCTCCATTCCATATATCCTCTACAAACCAGATTATATATAATCAACCTCCATCCCAACTAGAATCCTCTTACCATACCCCACAATCAACTGGGCATGACTCTCCACCGCCGAACGCCCCACCTCAATCAAACCCACCTCAGTGTTCAGCAAAACCAGTTTAAACCTCCGCAACCCTCCACGGCGGAATAAAAATCGGGACATCCCCCCCCAAATCCCCAACAACTGCACTTGCAATCCCTAAAAATATCTATGATACTCGAAACACGGGTTTAAATTCCCCTCATAATCCTTAGGTAAATCAACTGGATATTTCCATTTCTGAGAGTAAAAGCAAATCGAAATCCAGATGGTATGAGCCTGAGGCAACAGCCTGAGGGTTTGTTATGTCCGATTGGCACTTGAACTTGGTCGTCTCGAGTATCCGAAGGCTCTAGATGAGATGAGCTCGGTACTGGGTGGTATTATAACTGTTCCAGAAAGCTTTGACCGAGTCCCAGAACGATCCCAAACCTTCTTCAAAGACAATTCTATTTTGGGCGTGATCAATGTGATGGATTTAAGAGGTTGGAGAGAGAGGTGCAGAACAATAGGAGATTTCATGATACCTGATGAGGGGATTACGTGGGGTTTTTGAGTCATAACGGGCGATGCGGACGAAGCTATACTACGGCTTAAAAGACCACATGTAAAACGTTCAATAAGTGTCACTAACTAAAAGCAAAGACAAGACTAACAAGAAGAGCAAAATAAAAGACTATCACAACGGCACGAAACAACGAATTGGATCCACCCCAATAGTCTGCTGAAAGTGAAGAACCACCTAACAACCAGGATAAGCAGGTGGCACGCTGTGATCACCATCCCGATACAGCGAGGATGTACCATGAGGTCCGGTGTATTCAACATGACCCCCTTTACTTCTTCGACTGCATTGGTTGTAAATTCGGTTGCAAGTTCGCCGTTGAGCAGTGAATCGATGGGGGTGGCAGGTATCGGTGTTGCAGATGTTGAACATGGCGTTTCCCTGTCGATAGAGACGGCAAATCAGATGGACGCGATCAGAGGCGGGTGGTAAGGTCAATTGAGTGGGAACGATGGGACTGCAAAGAACACTGACGCTGGCATGGTCGGGAACTCGGTTATCACAAATGACCCCTTGCGACACTCCCATTTCCTCCTCCTCCTCCCCATCCTTTTCAAAATAGCCATCGTCAGAGCCATCCATGGATTGTTCAGAATCAACAACCGAGCTGGTATCATTGCCGACAATCACCTCCAGATAACATGCCACCCTGTGCGGTCCGGTATCGTATCCCCTGACTGCAACCTCCTCACAATGAGGAAGCAGGACATCATCACAGTTGACTCCCCGCATCGCCATCACCACCCGCCTTGTCGGAAGGAATGGAATAATTCTCCCGAAGTACTGTAATGGTCCCATTGTTGACACGTTTGTGAAATTCAGCAGAGGCCAAGAGGGCCGCGTCGAATCCGGGATCGTTCCGAATGCGATCTTCAACTTCAGCAGGGGTTATACCGAGGACCTCAGCGAGAACTCGGGTAGGTAGGATAACGCTACCGAATCCTTTGATGCTGCAGCCATAACCTGCCTCTTCTGCGTCGTGTTCAGATGGCATATTGTGAAATTGAGAGGGAAGGATTTTCGTCGTATCCGTGTTGTTTGAGTGGAGGGGATTAAGGATAGTGGGATAGGAGTCCGGAGGATGGGAAGGGAGAGAAGGGCAACGGGGGTTTATATGTTGTACAAAGAAGGGTCCTTCAACAGGGGGGGTGGAGTGTGTCTGTGCAAGTCACCTGGACAGTCAGCTTTGTTCCGTAAGGAAATTCGACAGATACCACAGGGAAGGAGGCAGGACCAGACATTTCATACGTTCAGTAGCATATGGTAACGTCACTGTCCCACTTCATGTACAGCTGACAAGTGTACTAGGTCCAGGGGAGTATCGAATCCAGCATTAGGTGGCCAAAGGTTCGTTCATTTTGAAATGTAAGCCTATAACGCATCATCCGCATGACCCATAAGTTTGAGCTGTACACCACCAATCCCATTATTTCAACGCCTGCTCCCTTCATTTTTGTGGGTTATATAATACGAATCTATGAATACTTTAGTTATAATTCATCATGTTGAATGACAGCCCCTTGGTTCACTATTGTGTCAGCAACACATAATCGTGACCGCCGGAATACAGCCCCTAAACAGGTAAAAAAGGTTACATTCAACTAGGAGGTAGCACTCCCCTGTCACATAAGCATCAGAGGCTAGAGGTTGTCTGTAATGGTATCGTCTCTGTTCAAAAGGTTCGGGAGAACAGACCTCCTGAAACCATTCGCCATTCAAAATTAGACCTGAAGTACGCAATAACTACTGCACTCCTTACAACCATACCCTCGCCAGCTAACTACTCCCATGGTTAACGGTATACACTCAACTTTCCCGGGACCCCCAACTATTCCCCGGGGACTTACAACGTAGCCTCAGTAACACATGCACCCTGGCTAGGCCACCACATTTGCAACGGTCGGATGATTCTCCCCATTCCCCGAACCATACAACATCCCATCGGAGGGTGGTGGGTGTCACTGCGGGATATAACTTCAGCCAATTATAGTGGTTCAGCCTCATCGCGGCTTACAAGTGTGGGACAGAATATAGGGTTCGGAAAGTTCTTGTGAGTCTTCTCTATCTGCTGCACAAATGGGCGTTGATGTACGGGATACAAGGCTGAGACATGTTACAATGGTGTAACGTCGCCCTCGAGATGAGTGCATATATATGTGTCACGATATGATGCCACCAGACTAGGGCGGATGGTCTTTGTCATCTGATAGGACGCTCAGGCCTGTACCAGATTGCATATGGTGAACCTCAACGTGACAGATATCGTAGTATCACCTAGAATGGAAAGAATGGAATTGATGACTTAAGTGGGTGAACTCCAAAACATGTTTAGGGGATTGCATCTCCTAATCAGGTGTGTTGACCCGCTTAGAGGTGACCTTCGAAAGACCCATGACGTCACGCATGATTGTAAGTAAGACATGGCAGCAAAGGGTATGCGGATAGGAAGTTTCAAAACTACGGACAAGTAATCGGGATGATAGAGAATAAGATGTGAGAAAGAATAAAAGGAACGGTCAGACTGGGACTCGAATCCCCGGTAAGGGTGCAAAAAATGGAGCGTGGTGAGCGCCATACCGAGACCGCTCGAGCGTACCGCTGGGACTTGGAATAAGGAGGCTTGAACATTAAAACAACCTCCATTTAAAGGCTTTTGAGCCTCTATTTAGGGATGTATCGTTGTTCTTTAGTATCTGGACAAGAGTCATCACTCTTCTTATGATCTGATAGTTCTTTACAGCCTACATTGTCTGAAGACATTTGTTTCCGTAGCATGCCTAGCATGTCTATTAATAATTATTTGGAGATCCTCCGATGCTCTTACTCACAAACTTGAATCACAACTACTACATAGAGACTACATTTCAAGCGTGATGCCACGTGCCTGAGGCGTGTTTCAACTGTTTTGTAAGTCAGTGAATGTAGATCTCACTTAACAGACAAGAGGCAAATGTTGGAATCTATTCACCTTAGAATTATTCCACTACACAGAAAGTATCTCTTTTGATGTAGTTCGAAAAATCTCTGTCAGCATACGCTTCCACTCGGTCAACACATAGTATCCATAAGTGATCCTCCCATTATGGATAATCACTTTCCATCAGATTTCTCCTTCAACCCCCTCAAAACCTCCCACTCGCCCTCCAAAATCCCAAAATGAATCACATCCCACCACCCCCTGGAATGCCACATCACCTCTCTCTCCCTCCCCTCCTCCACAAACCCCAATTTCCGATACAACTTCGCCGCCCCATCATTAAACCCAAACGCAGTCAACCCCACCCGATGCAATCCCGCATGCAAAAACGCCCAATCCAGCGCCCAGTTAATCGCCTCCCCGCCGTATCCCTGTCCACGATACTTCTCCGCTAGTGAAGTCCCCAGTGTGGCGTGGAGGTGATGACTCGCATCTGGACCCCATGGATTAGAGAGAGTCAATGTCCCGATGGGAACGGGTTCGGTGGTTTCCTCGGTGGTTGGACGGAGACAAATGATCACGCTTAAGAGGGAGGCTTGGAGGTGTTTGATGAATTGTTCGGCGTGGGTTTGGGGTCGAGGGCCTTTGCGACGCGGGTAGCTTAGGGCTTGGATGGTTGGGTCGTTGAGCATGTGTTTTTGGATGAAGGTTTTGTCGGCGGGGTTGTCTTCGGGGAGCGGTAGATGAGGCGGGTGGTGTGGAAGAGGAACTCGTGGATGGTCATTTTGGTGTATTGTTGGTCAAGCTTTTGAGGGTTGGTTTTGGGGTATTTATAAGGTGATTTCCAGCAGGGTCCGGTCAGGTATTGATGAATTTAATGGTGGTTTGTTCGACGAGTCGTTATCACGAAAAGCTGGTGCCTGGGGTCCCTTATCAGGTCTGGCTCACTTATGGTGTCTGCCTAAATCGTTGGAAGGATTTCGATCCCCACTCGAAATGGCCTTGTGAGATTGAAGGGGAAAATAACAAGCTGTCGTCATCAGGTGTAAGTTGGCGGGGGCAGACACGATGGTGTGATACCGGCTAATATGACAGGTCAGCGACACCTATATCAACCCGTACATATAGTGAATATTAACTCGACTTCCCAAACAGACACCACAACCACCTACAGAATAGACACAGTCAATTGTGCGGAGACCTTCATTGTTTGGCCCACACGTGATGGTAGCACGCCCTGACCCGATACATGTCGGCAATGATATTCTTAGCATCCTTCATAAAAGTCTCCCGGGTGTCCGAGCCGCGACATCTCGCGGATCTAATCTTATCGGTCTGCCGATAAGCTTTAGAGATCCAAACTACGTGACAAGCTTCCCAGAGAGACGTGCAAAGTATCAATGTATGACGACACTATTCCTCATGATTACTGGCCTCACGTTCGAATAATAGGGATTGGAAGTTATCAAACGCCCGCTTACTGGAGCTTCCCAGGTGATGAGGATCTTCGAACATATTGGCCTGAGGAACTTGGATGGCTTGAGTTCACGCACGACTTCCAGGTGTCGAATATCACATCTTATGTTCCAGTAGGTCTGTATCAATTAGAATGCAAGAAATGCTTAATTATGAAGATAGATTCACAGATATCCACACTGCATCAGCAAAATCAAGCCCAAACACCCAAGATTCCGATTAAACCTCCTGAACCACACCACCCTTTGACCGATTCGAAACACTATATATAAAGCTCTGAACACCAACCAACACGAGCCCCAAAAGCACCGATATAATCATAATCAACAATCCCCTCGGATACCTAAACCATAATTAGTAACTCACTCATATCAATTTACAACCCACTTACCCATTCTCCGCATCATCATGTCGAAAGATCTGCGTCCCAGCCATAAGCCCCGCCGTGGCAGACATCACAACTACCAACCCCATTAGCATCTCATCAGTTCAGCGATAGCTACAACATACACATCCTAAACACCATTAGCCTCACCCCCATCTCAAAGAAAAGGGAAATCACTCACGCAACACTAACACTCCTCTCCCCCACACTCCCACAATTCACCTGAATCCAAGCATTATGAATAGGATGATACCCCACGGCCAGCCCATTGACTGTAGTCCAGAGACCAAACTTTCCCCATTTCCCTACATGTCCTTGCAGACATCGCAACAGAACAAGCGCAATGAGATAACAACCTATCGAGAGCATAACCGTAAGCCCACGTTGCCGGGTACGATCACTAACCCACGCGAAGATAACAATAACAGGAAGAGTGAGTAGGTTTCCTATTGCCGCGAGGGCATTAGCATCGATGCGAGAGAAACCCAGGGACATTATTATGCTGGGTGTGTAGGTTGTTAATGGACTCCAGGTGGAGAAGACGCAGGCTGTGGCGAGGAAGTGGGGGTATTTGGTATAATTTGTTAGGGCTTTGTAGATTGTTGAGAGATGGAGAGGGGAGTTGGGTGATTCGTTCCATTCCTTGGAGAGTTCAGAGCATTCTTCGTCGGATTTGGTGGGGTGTGTTTGTGATGTGTGCTCTGGCAGTAGGGTGAATAGGAGGATGGATACGAGGATGGACCAGCATCCTTCCACTGCATACCATCAATACCATTTCTCCAGCATATCGGTAGGGGGGATAACCCACGCAAAAATATCCACTGCCACCCCGCCAGCCCTGCCAGCCCTCCCCTTCCACCCAATTTCAACAATCCCGCCCCAAGCAGTGGCGCGATCGCAGAGCCCCCAAACATGCCGAAGAAAAATACGGCGATGCGTTTTGTCAACTCTTCTTTTGTATACCATGTGGAGAGCGTGTACATGGCAGCAGGGATATACCCCGCTTCTGCTAGTCCGAGGATGGCTCGCGTGAGGAGGAATCCCGTGCGGTTTCGGATGAAGATTTGAAGGGCGGCGATGATTCCGAAGATGAAGACTTGGGTGCTGATCCAGCGGCGGGGACCGACCTATTCCTTCTTAGCTATAGTGTTTCTTGAATCGTTTGAGATGGGTGGGTGTATATCCATACCCGCTGAAGAACCATATTAGAGGGTATCTCTAGCACAATCACCCCCAGAAACATGAGCTGGTTACCCAAGTTGATTGTGTTCTGGTTCACCACTATTGCAGATGCAAATCCCCCGGTTAATGCGCTCGATATATTGGTGCGATCTATTTGGTAGGTAGTGAATCCGAGTACGAGGAGAGGGAGGACGCGGAAATCGGCTCTGCGCTTGCAAATTAATACGTGTTTTTGTAGGATCTTCTGTGACTTACATCCTCCGGAGTGAAGACATATTCTTAAGAATAAAGCCAGTATCTGAACTATCTGAGATAGACATGATCTTCAAATAGGATTGAATTGACAGTCACTTTGTCAATCGCACATCCTGCAAAAACCGTGTTTTGTTGTCTTTATCAAGGACCTTGGGGACGAACCTTTGGGGTGATAAGATAAGGAGGACCCTGTGGCTTGAAGAACTCTGTTTTGGAAATTTAGGTTTAATCGGACTGTTTATCAATGTGGGGTAATTCGAGCTACTGGTTAAGGTTGACGAGAAGAAGTCCTTAGTGGTGGTGGGGTATTGCCAGAAGGGCTCGAGCTGTACAACGGGCGCTGACCAAAGATGGTGGCCAGGACTCTCTTTCTTATTTTTTTATTTTCATTTTTATTTTTTCCTTTCTGTAATGTATTCATTTCGTTATTTTATTTTATTCCTGTTCCCGTTCCCGTTTCTGTTTTTTTTTTTTTTTTTTTTTTTTCTGTCCGCAGGTTTTCTTGTTTCTAGCTCGACTCAACTCCCGCCCCAAGTATAAATTTTCACCTGAGGCCGTCCATCATGACATGAACACACACCCAAACAAAAAGGTTCAAACCCTCCTCAAAACAAACTGCATCTTAAACGCAGTATCCCCGTTATGCGCAACGTTCTTTACATCCTTCCACTCCTCCGCCGTAACCTCCACCTCCCACTGCGTCCCCGTCTCCATCTCCACTTGCTTCCACATCCTCCTCCACGAATCCAAATCATGTCGATAAAGCGCAGTCTTCAACTCCGTCTCCTCTTTTGACCGTTCTCCAGCCCGGATATCTCCCACATGTCGACCGACCACAATAGACCCGGGCTGAGGTTTCAGCAACTTGATAATTTGCTTCGCGGTGGCTACTTGGCCATCCCAATCGAAGAGATGGAAGAACGAGGCTGCATTGATAATGTCCACCTTTCCTGCAAGACGTTGGAAAAGCTCGCTGTTGTCGTCGAAGATGTCGCTGATGATCAAGGGGCAAGTGAGGGTGTCGCGGTCGGCGAAGAGGTCGTATCCGAGCGAGATGAATTCGGAGTGGAGGTCCGAGCCGTAGATTTGGGATTGGGGGACGCCTTGGGAGATCTGGGTAGTGTTAAAATGTGTTTGCGATCGTGGATGACGGGTGGGGTGGAACGTACGAGGTATCGGATATCTTGGCCCATTGCACATCCCAAATCAAGGTATGTGTCGGAGGCTTTCAACCGGGATAGGATCTCCGGGTAGGCAGATGAGTTGGAGATGGTGATGTCGAGGAATCGGAAGGATCCGATGCAGGGGTATGGGAACTGTTCTGAGTCAGATACATTGAGGGCTAGATGGTATGGGAATGGACGTACCACTGCAAATGCGCGATCTCTCTTTAAAAGGACAATGTTTAGTATATGGATACAGTACGAGAGGGGGCCTACTTACCACATCCTTGACATGTTCAATAATCTTCTCTTCCGGTATCTTACTGTATTCGACGAGTATGGTGCGCGCAGGCTCCTTAATCTCCTCTAGGTCAGACTTGTACCAGCTGAATTGGCGATTGAGCCCATCCTGGGTATTTTCAGCAGGTATGGTTGATTCAGCCATGGTGGTATCTCGGGTCGGACGGAAGTCAAGTCGCGGGTGAGATTGTCAGGGAGGAGAGGAGATAAAAGATAAAAGATTGTGTGACCCACCTTAGTGCGGGGCAGCGGGTGTGACTGTGGCCTCAGGTGCCACCTTGATTTCATTAATCACGAAGGATCAAATGAGCTACATGAGTTTAACAGGATCTGTACACTGTGTAATATGCATCTAGGCATGCATTGTACTACATTGAACAAGGGACAAGCTGCATGTCAGTTAAGATGCACTTAAGTAAAGTCGCAGGAGCTCAAACAAGCTTTTTCAGCCCTTGACATGAAACATGGATCCACTGGCTGAATGTATCCAAAAATTCGAGGCACGTGTGGCCGACTTGGCAATGCTGCAAAAGCTTTCACTCGGATGGAACGCACTAGTCCTGTTTAGTCTGAGGTCATACAAGCATCTCACGTGTCGCACTAGTACTTTTCCGTGGATCAGGCAAGGGATGCTCCCTATTATTTATTGTCCTAGCAGGAAGGGTTACACAATGCCCACCAGCAATCGATACATAATAAGGGGAGACACTGGTGACAAGTTAGAATTACCGGAGAACGGTTACTTTTCATCAGCACTCGAGATTTCAAACAAATCCCATTCCCCTTACATACCCATTGTGCCCATCGCATTCCATAATATCTCCTGTCGTCGAAAATTTCCTCTAACTAGGACTTTATGCCAAGAAAACAGGACAGAATAGTGGCTGTCGAGTCCTGCCGGCTGCCCTAAGACCCGGGAACCCCCGCTATCGGCGCAGCGGAGATATCCGCCACCACCACAAAACAATTCCCAGTAAACCTTCACCACCATCAACACAAATAACTATCCCAAGGGTAAAGACAAAACGCGCGCAAAGTTATCGCCAATGTAGACTACACAACCAATTATCCATCCTTATCGAGCTGCAACGCGACCGATTCGCACCCACCGGAGTCTGCCGAGGAGCGGAGTTCGGGCTCCCCAGCGATCTACTAAGCAACATCTCCGACCCAACTCCGATGTACCTCGGGGATACCAACTGATCTGCATATATAGCTCCGCCCCTCCCCAAACCCCAACTAAATTCCTTCCCCTGCAGCACAACCATGATCCGCATATGGCCCAAAACCGACACCCCCGGGGATCTGGAAAAACCACCCCCCTCGCAGGACCCCGAATTCAAAGTCCAATGGGATTCTGACGACCCATTAAACCCCCAAAACTGGTCCACATCCTACAAATGGTGGGTGACCTTCCAACTCGGCATGCTCGCCCTAGCCGGCAGCTTAGGATCCAGCATCACCACCTCCGCCGATGACACCATCGCCAAGTACATTGGCGTCAGCAGCGAAGTCGCCGTCCTCGACGTCTCCCTCTACATGTACCTCCCATCCCCCATCCCCGTCCCCACTCTCCACCCATTCTCACCACCCACAGCGTCGGCTTCGTCCTCGGCCCCATCATCTGGGCCCCCATCTCCGAAGTCTGGGGCCGCCGCATCAGCATCCTCCCCGCAGTCTTCTGCCTCGCCATCTTCGCCATCAGCACCGCATCCAGCCACAACGCCCCTGCCATCTTCCTAACCCGCTTCTTCGCCGGCTTTTTCGGCTCCGCGCCCATCAGCAACGTGACCGCCGCGCTGGGCGACATGTGGAGTAAAGAAACCCGAGGCACAGCAATCAGTCTCTACGCCATCGCCGTGAACGGCGGCCCCGATCTCGGCCCGCTCATCAGCGCCGCCATCATGAAAAACCCTCATCTCAGCTGGCGTTGGACCGAATACACCCACGCCATCTGGGTTTTCGTCACCTTCCTCATGGCTTACTTCTGGCTGCCCGAGCTCTACCCCCTGGTCCTCCTCTCCCGGAAAGCTAAACACCTCCGCAAGACCCAGAACCCGGCGTACTGGCACCCACATGAACATCTGCATCTGTCGGTTCATTCTATCGTGACGAAACAACTCGCTCGGCCGCTGCGGATGTTAACGACCGAGCCGATCGTCACGGCAATAGCCTTCTACGCTGCCTTCGTCTACGCAGTCATGTATCTCACTCTGGAACTCTTTCCTATCGCCTTTGCCTCGCTTCGAGGCTGGTCCCCAGTTACAGCCTCCCTACCTTTCCTCGCTCTCCTAGTGGGCGTAATCTCCTCCGTCGGTCTCAACATCTACAATCAACTCCGATACAATCGTATCTCCGCCGCAGCTAATGGCGCCCCTGTCCCCGAGGCCCGTCTGCCTCCGATAGCCTTCGGCTCTATTGTTCTCGTGCTAGGACTCTTCTGGTTCGCCTGGACAGCAAGTCCACCTTACCACTGGATCCTACCCGTCATTGCGGCATTCTGTATCGGTGTGGGATTTAACTGTATCTTCCAACAATGTCTCAATTTCCTGATCGACGTCTACCGAATGTATGCCGCGAGCGCCACAGCCGCGGTAACGTTCCTGAGAAGTCTTATGGCAGCGGGGTTACCATTAGCCGCGAAACCGATGGTCAGGTCGTTGGGAATGGGCCCCGCGGTGTCGATTGTGGGCGCTGTTGCTGCTGTGTTAGTACCAGTGCCGTTTTTGTTCATGAGGTATGGGCCTGCGTTGAGGAGGATGTCGAGGATGGTTGAGGATTAATCCTTCCCTTCTTGTCTTTTGGTAGAGTATAGATGTTGCCAGTAGAATAATCCATTAATGAATTATAATACACACAACCAAGACCCAAAAACAACAAGTAATCCAGATCCACACCGATTACACAACCCTCGCCTCCAAAACCGCCATCTCCATCCCCTCCCCACTCCCACTATCATCCCCTCTCCAAACAGTAACATCCCCAAACCCCACCCTCCCAAGTAACCCCCTCCACTCACCTTCCGTCCTTTCTCCCCCCGCAAAACTCACCATCATACTCCAGTCCCCCACCGCAGTATGCAATCCCACCCCCGTCTCGGGGATGACCTTCTCCACGATAAACAATACCGAGTCTTTGTCCATTGCGTCCTTCACTCTCCGCAGGATAATCTCCGCTTGAATATCGGGCCAATCGTGTAGTACGGTGCGGAGCATATACGCTTTCGCTCCGCGGATGGGTTGGGGCGTGAAGAAATCGTACCCTTGGGGTTCGATATATCCCGGGAGTGGGTTGGGGGAAGTGGGGGAGGAGATAACGTGAGGTAAGTCTTGGAGGATGAGACGGCCCGGGAGGTGGGGATGGGAGTTGTGGAAGGATTGGAGGTCGAGGGCTTGGGAGCCGCCGCCGATGTCGACCAGGAGAACTGGTTTGGTCGGGGAGGGGGAGGGGGTGAAAATGGGATGGGTGTTTGGAAGGAGAGAGAACCAGGGGGTGGATGGACGACGGAAGGGAGAGGACATCACGGTGTTAAAGGCTGTTTGGTAGTAGGGTTGGGTGGAGAGGTAGTCGAAGTAGTTGGATTTGGTGCCGAGGGCGAATTGGAAGGGGGTGTTGGTTGGGGAGGTTGGGTTGGTGTAGTTGTTTTGGGAGAAGTAGGTGGGGAGGTGGGTGAGGATGGCGTGGAAGTGGGTGCTGGGTGGGTTAGTACGTTGTTTGGTTTGGGGGGAGAGAGGGAAGGGAGGGAGGCGTACAAGTGGATGACGGCTGCGGAGAGGTGGGAGGTTGAGATGTAGCATTTTGTCGATGGGGTTGGAGTGAAGGTGGTGCTGGTGTGTTGGGTGACGATGGTCATGGTGGATAGGAAGCGCATGATTCGGCCTGGCAGTGTTAGGGTTGGATATGAGTGTTGCTGGGGGAGCGTACTGATGAGGGCTGGGTCGGCCTTGGTGTCGGCCGCTATCTGGGCCACGGTCACCGTGCGGGATTCTTTCTCGGTTGAGCGATGTATGACCGCGTCGAAGAGCTTGAGGTCAATGGCCACGCGAAGGACCATGGCTTGGTGGCCCTGGTGATGTTAGTGTTGTGATTGGATGGATGGGCTGGACGTACGGAGAGTAAAATTTTGAGTGTTTTTTCCTGTGGTGATTCACATTGTTCTTGGAGTTTATTGCACGCCTTGGATATCTCGGCGCGTTGCTGGTCATCAAGGTTGTCCAGTTGACCGCTGGTGGTGACGGAGTTGATCAGGTTGATAAAGTCTGTGGCACTCATTTTCTGCTTTTTGATTCTGCTGGATTGCTAGAACAGGATGACTTGTAGACTGATTGTTTGATGTCTGTCAAGGAAAAAGCGCAGCTTTATAGTAGAAACTCGGTCGACCGAGTCCGCCGGAGGTAATTCCCGCACCGACCCCGATCCAGCCCCGATGTTTATCTCCGGCAGTTCGGTGTTTGAAACCGAACTTCTAATTGCAACTCCAAAGGGGTTTTCGATTGAAATATGCTTCTTGGCATGTGATGCATACGCCGATATACCTACTCGTTGACGGATAACCTGGCATCGAATCCAGATTCGACGTGACAAACGTAAGCCTACCACCTTGTTGCCTGAGGCAAAAGCGTGTGGTCACGTGAGTCATTATCTGAGTTAAAGATGGTGATAACAACGGTGTACTAATCTGGCATTATCTGCAAAAAGCCCGAGTCAAGTGAGAGTACTATTACAGATTAATAGGACCACAGAGCGAAAAGGCCCGATGAACCTCCCTCCGTGAGAAGCGGAGCTTGTATACAGTAGGCGGAGTAATCCCATATTCTTGATTGTTGCCGGTGCATCCCATTCACTATGAACAGCATGCGAGAGGTAGAAATATCTTTTTAGAGACTGAAATAAATTTACTCGAACAGTCACTTTGTTTATATAAAGTCGACCTCTATATCACGACAGTTCTATGCAAATTTCAGACACGTTGCAAACACCTCTATCCCACTCGCAAACAAAACCCTCTAAACTGTTCATCAAAAGCTCTGTATCTATGTCAAAGTGACCGCCTCGTTCCATTCAACCGTTCAAGTCATACCCTGCACAATATCCTCTCCGACGATGACTGTGAAAGGAAACCAAGCAGGTTGCTCACTGGCTCAGGAGACACTGGCCCAGACGTCACGAACCTCAGGTAGACATAGCTGTGGCCCATTTGCTCCTCTTACGTAGAGATGGTCCCCATAAAGTGAGAATGTAGGGAATAGGCGCAGCCACAGCGCTGATTATCCCAAGCACAGTAAGTGTCCAATGAGTACCAAGGTTACGATACATCGGCACTCCCACGACAGTCATTCCTCCTGCAGCGAGATATCGTACCAATGCGACAAAGGTAAGTGCAGATGCTGCGTACTGCTGGTAAGAGTCGATGATGTACATATAGGCGGAGAGGAAGATGCAAATGACTCCAAACCCGACAGCGACCGAGGCTGCGAGGGGTGACCATATAGAGATTGAAGCCTAGTAGTGGTTAGTAGAATCTTTCACAATGGTAAAAGACGTACATAGTCAGTCCAACCCATCCAGAAAAGACCGATCGGAATTGCCGGGGCTCCGATTTGAGCGAAGAAAAGTCGGGACTCCCGATCCAACAAGCGACCAGAACCATCGTCTCCAGCATCGCGCAATTGCTTGGCTGTTCTATGATACAGGATCGGAACGAGAACCATGCTAGTGAGAATACCGATGAAAAGACCCAGGAAGCAAATGTTGGCCAAGCCCTCATTGATCCCATATACTTCCGCGAAGATATAAACATACCTGAGCCGGTTAGTGGGTTCTCCAGAGATGGTGGGAAGACATACCCGTCTAGGAACGTGAAGAGTACGATGTAGACTATGGATAAGTACAAAGTGAAGAAGATCACGATGGGCTCCATGAGCAGCTGCCACGGACGAGTGAAGTTCCTCACCAACACAGGCAGCAAGTCTCCCGTTCCAGAGGCCTCGGCCGCTGTTTTGAATCGCGCGTCGCCGGTCGCTTTGCGGAAGAACCTAGCTTTGTAGTAAAGGAGTTGCGGGGCGAATGTCTCACGCTTGAAAAGAAAGATGATGACAATCACTAGGCCGTCGAAGATGAGCATGATCCACTCAGCCCATCTCCAATTGATGTGGGGGCTGTATCCAATGTATGCTCCCACGACAGGACCTGGCCGGGTCAGTCAACCTCCGATGACGCGTATTAATCTAAAACTGTTGACATATCAAACATACCAAGAATAGGACCTCCAAATCCCGGAATGGCAAACATCGGAAACCCGAATGTTTTCTCCAGAGTACTCCAAACGTCGGAGATAGAGCCACCGGCCACGGTCAACGGAGCCGAACCACAGAGTCCAGCCAGGAATCTAAAAGCCAGCTGCGCCCCAAAATTCGGGGCCAATGCCGCTCCCAGAATCCAAGCTCCGAAGATAACCAGAGCGCCGATGTAGACCGGAAATCGCCCGACTATTTCCGACATCGGGCTGGCGATAAGAGCCCCAACTCCAAAGCCTATCAAGTAAAGACCAGTTGCCAAGGACTCGGCCACCTGTGCCACACCAAAGTGTTGGGAAGCTTCAGATAGCACGGCGGAATCGATTGCCGAAGCCATGGTGGTGACCAGAGCAATCAGGCACACGCACATGGTGGCAAACACTCGTCGCGTCTTGGACCATTGTTGAGGGTTGAAAGGATCGTGTGGGGTGGCCCAGGATACCTCATAATACTTTTCACCGTTACAATCCGATTTCAAGGAAATGCCAGGAATTTGAGAGGGATCTGTGATCTTACTCGGGGAAGTTTGCTGGGGCGCGGCGGATGTTTCGTGCTGGACGCGACTGGCGTCGTCGACCAGCTCGTTCACATAGCGTCGCAAGCCCCGATATTGGTAGATGAATGCCATCTTTGCGGGTCGTGGTGAGGTGATGACTGTAGAGTGCCGAGGGTGCGGTTGAAGTCGAGGTGAAGGAGGTTGGGGAAAAGATGGTCTGGATGGCAATTTATCGTCATCGCCTGGTCACGGGGCTTTGTCGGCCGAAAGCAGCTAGTGGGGGCGGGTCCACCCGTTGGACCCTGAACAGGTTTGCGTAATTAACTCCGCTCCCTCCCGATGGAGAAGGATAGTCCGACCTCCTGCAGTCCCGCGGGAATCATCCAATCAGTGACCGGAGGTGCAGACAGGTACCCATTTTTACTCAATAGTTCGATGCGTGATGGAACAGTTCTAATAAGGATTACAAAGCCACTGATTCCTTCTCCTTTGCTGGCTAGATGTTCCGCGTCCACATGGCTTGTTGCGGCCCACAATATATATCTCAAGCGGCACTCACGGGTTCGACAGAAAATAATTACTAACATGGACCTTAAGCCCAAAATACCAAGAAGAGCCTGTCAAATGTACGACAAGAAAAACAAGGCGATTTATTGGGAACCCAGACGAAGCGCCGTACGGCCCAGTGGTAAGTTAGGATATTGTAAGACCTCAAATTGGTTGGTGGATTCATGACATGCTCTATAAATTTTTGAGGATGTGTCAACCATACTAGTTCGTGTTGGTGCACTCCGTTTGCTGAGAATGATTACATGCGATCGATAGACAAATTTCTATTTGAAATATTCACTGACTTCGACACATGTATCAGCGCTGGTCGGAGTCAAACTTGACTCATCCATGAGAGAATACCTGGAAAGGTCAGCAGTTTGTCCACGCTACAACATATGATGAACGTAATAACAGTATCAAACAGGGGTGTGTCACTTACTGCCAGATCTTCACAGTACCACCAGTACTTCCAGAAGCAAAAAGATCTGGCTTGCATGTCCCAACACACATCACTAGCCAAAAATATAAGTTACAATAAGTCTGCAGGTTGGTTGATATATTCCATACCTGGTCCTTGATGGGCTTTTAACTCCACATGTTGCTCCCCCGTTTCTAGGTTCCAGAGTTGAACAGTAGAGTCCTCCGTTCCTTTGATGATAAACTCAGAATCAGCTGTAAACATGGTACAGTTGACACGAACCTGAAACATATACCAAGTTAGAATAAGCAGAACAGTGCTGCAGGCTAGTATTCCAACTTACATTGTCGCCCTCAATAGTTCGCACCCACTGAGTAGCATTCGGATACCACAATTTGGTTACAGCCTCATCAGACTTTCCAGTTTTGGGACAGTGACCGCTCCAAATATAGTTGTCATATACCTCAAGTCCCGTTGGATATCCCATTAACTCACCATCAGGGACAGTCACAACCCTAACTGGTGCGTTGATGAACGCTATTGCAGCTTGACGGCCATCAACAGACATTGACACACTCGTAATTGATCGATCCATCGTCAGGGTTTGTATGAGTGTCCGTTTATTCATGTCCCAGATGCGTACAGTTGCATCACGCCCCCCGGAGACAAGATAACCTCTGCGAGGTTCATAATCCATCGCGCTTATCACACCATAGTGGCCTTGTAAAGTATGGACAAGTGTCTTGGATTCTATATCCCAAAGCTGGATTGACTTGTCAGTACACTTATCAGCTTCGATTATTGATCATTGAGATCACGTGAAAGGTATGATTCTACTCACCCCTATGCAACCGTCCAACCAGGCAGTGGCAACGATCTTGTTGTCAACAAGGAAGAAAATCCCGCTCACGGTGATGGGTTCAGGGGAAGGAAATGCAATCGGACGGGTAAGAGCCGCGTAAAGATGACTGGTGGATAGTTCAAAGACTGCCCCCCCCCCCGGGCAGATCCAGTGGCAAGGTATTTGCCGTCAGGGCTGAATGCAAGACAGTTCACAGCTTCATTATATCCAAGATCGAAATAATGATTCAGCTGCACGTTGACATCCCACCTTGTTTCGGGTGTCTGTGTCGGATGGTCAGACGAGGCTGCGTGAGCCATTATTAGTGGTTTCAATTTCATTCGTGCTTTGACCCCGGAAGATGCCAGGCTTTTGGTTATATCTTCAGTAGCGTCCATCGTGAAGATTAGTTACAGTGTAGCACGGTATTCTCCGAATAGTCAACTCGATATAAGTCCTTGCTGTTGACCAATAGACCGTCTCTACCCTTCTAACTATACTTGGAGTATTCCATGTATTCTATATACGCAGAGATTTCCATTCCTGCTTACTCGGATTCCTCCGGGTACCCTCTCCAACGCAGACTAGATAGGTTCCTGTTTCTTTATACATATCCGGTATCACAAAAAGAATGTCGGCGAGAATCTGCGGATGTCAGCAGAGGCTCTTGTATCTTCCAATATTATTTGTTCCTTAGTTTCATAAACCGTGGGATCGTCCTATGGAGAGGCACTTATGCTAGTCCATGTATGTCCAAGATGCCATGATTATATTCATCGCATTCTATGTTTTAAGTGTCCTTTAATCATTCCCAAAGGATGTCAAATTGTTTCATCTCGCACTGTTGCATCCATTGGCCAATTAACCTTGTATGTATTTAACCCAGACTTCTTCTATCATCCATACTCCGTTGTATCTCCTCATAGCATTAACAGTGGTTGGCTCCAAAACTATCATAACTGTTTGTTCTTTCATCAAACCCAACGGACGGCCGAGGATATTGTGGAAGAACACTACTAGTGGCGATGAAGAGAATTTTCTCAAAATCAATGATCGGCGGTTGGGAATGGCATCTACGGTTTTTTTTTCTGACTTAGTAAGACCATTAGGGCTAACACCACGTTTTATGGCTTTTGAACGTATACAAACAAAGTAGCCCTTTAGAGCAAGGCCACAAAGGCCACCTGTTTCATATTAATGAATAGTACTACCGCTATCACTACTGCAAAGGTCCACCATTACGAGTCTTCTGAGGGCCCCCATCCAGAACCAAACAGTTGGCGTTGAGGTAGCTTGCTGCTGGACTGACCAGAAAGGCAATGGTACCCCCCACTTCCACCAGGTCTGCAGGCCGCTTGAATGGAAGGTTTTCTTCAATACTGTTCTGTTCGTTGGAACTGAGGTCCTGGTTACACCATTTGTTTTCGAACCAATCCACAGACACCAGATTACACCGAACACCCTCCCTAAGTGCTAGAAGCGAGCATTAATATCAATCTCAAAGTGAGCATCTATCCACAAAATGCTTTAGAATCCGACCTACCTGTCCTAGTCGTAACATCCATACCAACAAGCTTGTAATCGTGAAACAAGGCCCCGGGATTTGGTGGAGTAACGTTGACAATCACTCCCCGGCCGATATTTCTCTTGGCGGGTTTGCCCCAATATTGACTATCGGTTTGCCTGGACATGGCGGCCGCCTCCACATCGCAGCAGTTGATCATGCCCTCGTTCTGCACTCCACCATTGGGGTCTTGGGAAATCTGTTCGCGTCTAGTTAGCATATAGCGGACCTTGAGATACGATACAATAGAGACATACCCCAATTGTATTCACGACATAGTCAAGTCGACCATATGCTTCAATGACAGCAGTCACGACGGCCTGTATGCTCTCCTTACTCTTATCGTCAATGGTATAACTGGTCGTCTGGTATTCCTGTCCCTCTTTGGCCGGGACGGTGTCCTTCAGGTACTTGGAGCACTCTTCCGCCAGCGCGCCACTGGGGTCGGCAAAAACAACAGCTGCAGCGCCTGCATCTGCAATTTGGAAACCGGCCTCTCGCCCAATTTCCTGGCACTTGATGGTTTCAGCGATGTGGCCTGAATGCTTCTGGACAGCAGGTTTCAAGACTTACCCCGACGATAAGAGCGACACCGACGATATTGGTACTAAAGATAGCCATGACTGTAGATGTTATCGGCAAAGGCAATGCGGACAGACAGAGATAATTGCAATTGGACACGAAAGATGTGGCAAGCTGTGAGAACTGATGGAGTGTTCTGAAATGTTGTGAATGGATGAGAGAAGGGGGGCAAAGAAGCTACTTATAGTCTTACAGAACAGATTTTAAATACAGGTCCCGAGCTCAAGAGACGGAAGGAATCTAGGAACTTCTCCCTCTCTACTATGTACCTTCCTGTGGAAGTACAAGTGAACATGAGATTGCCTGTGGAGTCAATGAAGTTACCTGCAGCTGGTTGAGGAAGGAGCAATGTCACTCATCTCCATGCCTTTAGTATCGAAGAATGTTAGGACACGAAGCCGAAGAAAACGAGTGATATTGGTATGACTAGCTAGGAGGCTTCTGCCTACGCGGGATGAAAAGGATAATAACATAATGATTAATGTAATAAGACACGTGACACGCTCGCCTATTAATTAACTAGCTATCTGGATATAGCTTTTTAGATAAGTAGGGATATTAGAAGTAGTATATATAAAGCTAGATTTTTTATTTAATTAAGTAATAAAATATTAATATCAAATAAGTTATAGCAGTGCGGAGTGTTAAGTATATGATGATTTTATTATTAGATAGGATTTTATATCTAATAAATATTTAAATATAGAGAATATCTCTAGATTAAGTACTTTAATAAAGCTGTCTATAGAATTCTTCTTTTCTGGGATATAAAGTATCTTAATCTCTTTTTATTTAATTAGATTTATTATAAAAAGATACTAGTTATTAAGCTATCTGGTTGACTGACTGTAGCAGCTATAATTAAAAATAGCAAGTAAGTTAGTGATATTACTATAAACTAAGATCTTGTTATTATTAGAAATTTTAAAATTGAATACTATTATTAATTTTTTAATATATAAGATATCTTTAACAGTAGAATTATACGCGCAGAATTCAGTGACAGTAAATAATAATATTAAAATAGATTATTTCTTTAATAATCAGGCAACTGGGCTTTTAATAAAGAAGATAATATATTTTTTAATTAATCTATTATTTATATGATTAGTATAAATAATATTAATATAAACTTTTATACTAGTATAATAATTTAATATTGAGATAATCCTGTTATTATATACTCTGTTTAAATATTAGTAAACAGATTTTGAAATCTTACAGTTAATTATGGTTAGTAAGGTTAGATACCTCTGTAATCTAAATATAGAGTATTCTATGTTGGAGTGGCTACTAAGGCGATTCAACCGTGTAGAATGAGATGGATGATGATCTAGCTAGGGGCCTCGTAGGCCATCTATATGGACTAACTAGCGGTGTAGGGAGGAGCGTCACGTGACTCTACGTTGCCTACCGGCGTGGGAGCCCATCGGGGATCCCAACATTCTATATTAAATCTTATTTTTATAATAAGTTAGTTAAGGTCTTCTATTAAGCTTTAGTATTTCTTAATATCAGTTCTCTTAGTTATTATTTTTTAGCGGTTAGTCTTGATATAGAATACTCTTATTAAATAAGTAATAGTTAATGAGTTCTGTAAGTCTGTAATAATCAAGGTTTTTTTTATATAAGTAAAGTAGAACAATAATATTATATCTTTATTATAATTATATTTTATATAATAGTTAAAGAACATTTTCAGCTTGCTTAATTTTTTGAGATTAAATATTTTATAAAGATAGGCTTTGATATTATTAAGATCTTGTTAAGTTAGGTCAGCAATAATAGAGTTATTAATATAGATAATAAGGAAAATATTGTTTTTTTAGTAAATACAAGAGTCTTCCTGTAGTGTAATAAATGTAATTTTTTAAAACTTATCATTAAAAGTATTATATTACAGAAAAGTAGCTTGTTAAAGATTATATAAAATCTGATTTAATTTATAGATATTATCAGTGTTGTTTTTGTAATAACCTATTAGTTATTTTATATATATATTTTTAATATTAATTTTAATGTATAAGTATACAGAAACAATATTATATTATTATTAAATTAGGGTTTTAAAGCTATGATTATCAGAAATATTTTAATAATAATTTTATTAATAACTGAAGTAAAGAATTTATTATAATCTTCATTAAGTATCTAGCGGTTACTGCAGATTATTTATTTAATATAGAATCATATAATATAATCTTTAATATGAATTTTCAAATTAAAGACTTACTTTTTTAGAATTGTATAAGCACCTGAGGACTTTCTTATAATATTATATATTTTTATAATCTTAATTTTCTTAATTTAATTATTTATAGCCTGTTTCTAATATAGTATTAGAGCAGACTTTATAGCTTAAGTATATATTATTAAAATTATTTACTTATTATCTAACCAAGTAAATATCTTATCTTTAATAATTTATTGAAAGTATCTTACTGGGAAAATAACTTCCGGAGTAAAGTTATTAAAGATCTAGTAATTCTAAGTAAAATTATCAATCAAGTTAATCTTATATTTAGTAAGGTTTTCGATAGACCGCTGGAGGTGTATATTAATAGATTTTATAAAGAATAAGAGAGTCTATATTCTATCAGTAATAATATTAATGTTTTTAATTCTTATTATATTAGAAGTACTTCAATAAAGAAAAGTATTATTTAGCTCAATTTCTCTTTCTGACTCTAGGGATAGACCTCTAAGATAATATCTGAGATAATTCTTTTAAAATTATTCTTATTATTTTTATCATTTTTATATATTTTGTTTTTGTAAAGTAATATTTTAGAAATACTTAATTTTATTTGTTTCCAGTATTTAAATATAGTAAATATAACTGTTATCTTTATTAAATCTAATTAGATAGTTAACTGTAGTGCGGGATTTTATTTTTATTAAAGTTGTTTTGTCTTCTTTAGGGATGTGGAGATAAATATAATAGTTGAATATATATAAAAAGTTTAATAAGGCTTCTAAATTAAATAACTTATAGAAAGATCTGTATTTATATATTAAAGTCTTTTTAATATTACTGTTAGTGAGTATTAGATAATCTATGATCTGTATAATTTATATAATAATAAAAATTATAGATTACCAGAAACGCCCGAGTTGATTATTATAATTCTAGTTATTTAATTAATTAAAATTCTATAGTTAAAAGATTATTAGCTTTAAGTGTCCGGAATAAAAAAATTAATATAATTCTTATATTGTTTATAAGTTATCTAATTTTTAAAATAATTAAATTTTTTATTTTCATTAGGATGCCACGCTGCTATGTAATAGTTAGCTGTATTTTTATATGTAATGTTTATTTTCATAAGCTTTTATAAGGTATTACTCTTTTTTTTTAATAAGGTAATATAGACTAATCAGATAATATTATTAACTTTAATTAAATAATAATTATATTTTTTATTACTAACCGGGGACAACTTTTATATATCTGTATACTAAAGCTTTATACAATTAATAATCTGTAATATAAGATCATAAAATATTAATTATTCTATTTTTTCTAGTTAATATAATTTACAGTGTATATTATTACAATATTTAATTTTAATTTAGTAAGATTGTACAGTAGTATTAACTTATTAAAAGTTAGTGTAACTGTATCAGTAATATAGAAGTTGAGACGGTCGTTCAACACAAAATGAGGTCGTATTGGTGCTAACTACTCTAGAACTTCAAACGCGAGGGGAAAAAACAGAAACACGAAGTGTTGTGGGCCTCGCTTCATACAACACTGGCGATATCAAGGCAAACAGGACAAACGGCATGACATAAGCGTCACGTGACAAATGAGTCCGCCGCCGTCACAGAAATAAGGAATTAAAAACTGCTATTCTAATCTTATAATTAGTAATCTTAATAAATTATATCTTTTTTATTACTTGTATATAATTAATAATATTATCAGTTTTTATATCTCGTAGAGTATAATCTTTATTAATTTTATAAATATTGAAGTCTTCCTGAAGATGCTGAGCTGAGAAAAGTCTGTATAATAACTTTAATTAGTAATAAATCTTAATACTTAACTTAGTAAAGACATTATTTACTTTTAAAAAAATAGTAATATATTCTATAGTAGTAACCCTTGTTAAAGTTTTTTCTGAGATGTTATATATATAGTACCTATAGAGTTTAAGCTTATAAAAATTAGTTAGCAAGTAGTAATCTAAAATAAGATACTGAGAGCTTTTAGTATTATGTCAAACCCTAGGATCGCTTCCCTGTTCCTGTTAGCTTAGCTTCCACTTGTATACGTACCTGTGAACTGTGTCACCGTAGTGTCAGGTCGATGACTATCTAAAGGATGACTTGTTCTTGAACAAAGGAAGAGAAGTAAGGCCAGATAGAGCAACGCTCCTATCCGTAAATGAGTACGGACGAGTGTTGTCGCTAAGCTATTCCAAAACGTATGGTTACTTAAAGACAGTGTTACTGAGCACGAAGAACAGAACTAGCTAAGTATAGAAAAGAGTGTCCTTAATTATCCTATCCTTTGTATACCATTCTATATACTATCCTGTATACCATGGTCATATACCATATACCCGTTCGTATACCAATTCATATACCATAGTCACGTGATGCGCAGCTGTGTTCGGGTGTTGTCACACCAGCCTGTACTCTTTCTCGATAAGGGTCGCTGAATACCCGAGTTCTGCCTTTATCAGTGCTTTCTGCCTGGTGAGTCCGCCTCACTAGTAGCTTTAACTAGCAGGGGTCTGTAACATATTATAAATCTAATATAATAATCAATTGAAAAGACTTTTCATTACTATACTACTGAAGTAGATTATTGAGATATTATTACCTAATTATACAGAATCCAAAGTTATATAAACTGTAATAAATAATTTTATTAATTATGTTACTGAAATAGCCTTTGCAGAAATTACTAATTTTAATAATTTGATATTATTTTTAACTGATAGTACTAAATATTATAAATATAATAAGTCTAGTTTTTAGAATAAAAATTAGAAATAAGATACTAGTACTTTAAAATCTTATATTTTTAAATATAGTAGAATCTGCAGTCACTGTATAAAATCTATAATAATTTTTTTATTTTTTTCAAGTATTTCTCCATGCTCTGATTCTTTTGTAAAAATATTATTTTTATCTAATCTTTTTTTTAAATAATTAAGAGAAAATTATCTTTACTCTTATAGCAGATGCCGCAGAATTCTTATAGTCTTATTTATCTTTTTTTAATATCTTTATAGTAATTAAAAAAATCAGGTTTAGTTAGTAATTTTATAATATTATTAGCAAGGCAGAGTTTGATACTGATTATTTAGTTAAATAGATTAGGCTCTACTATTTTAGCAGATTTAATAAGGTATAATATAGCTATATATTAATTTTGAGTTACTGAGCCAAAGAATATATATTTTTAAAATTATTAATAAATTAGAAAATAGTTAAATACACTGATCTTAATATTCTAGTAGATTTGAACCAGGCAGTCTAGACTATAATATAACTATAATTAAGAATAAGATATTTAATTATCTTATAGATATTATTAATATAATTCTTTAGATTATTTAATTTTATGAATTACTCTAATATATTTTTATTTAATTAAATAATCAATTATAACTATAGATTAACTGCTACTGCATACTAGATATTGTAATTTAGATATATAATTAAAAATCTGTCTAATTTCTTATTTATTGAGTCTTACAATCTGATATTTTTCAGCACTGTCTTGACTATAAAATTGTTACAGACCCCTGCTAGTTAAAGCTACTAGTGAGGCGGACTCACCAGGCAGAAAGCACTGATAAAGGCAGAACTCGGGTATTCAGCGACCCTTATCAAGAAGGACTGCGGGCTGACGCGACAACGCCTGAACACAGCCGCGCATCACGTGATTATGGTATATGAATTGGTATACGAACGGGTATATGGTATATGATCATGGTATACAGGATGGTATATGGAATAGTATACGAGGAATAGGATATTTAAGGACACTCTTTCCTGTACTTAGCTAGTTCTGTTCTTCGTGCTCAATACAATCGTCTTTAAGTGACCATAAGTTTGGAAGCTTAGCGACAACACTCGTCCGCACTCACTTACGGATAGGAGCGTTGCTCTATCTGGCCTTACTTCTCTTCCATTGTTCAAGACCAAGTTATCCTTTAGATAGTCATCGACCTGACACCACCGTGACCCAGTTCACAGGTACGTATACAAGAGAGAGCTAAGCTAACAGGAACAAAGGGAAGCGATCCTAGGGTTTGACAAAAATCTTATATATTAAAATTAATATATTTATTTAGTCTATCTGAGACTTTAGTAAGACTTTTTAATAGTTTTATTAAGATTTGATTTATCTAAATTAAGGGATTTATATTTATTGTATTATTCTTGCTGATATATAAAAATAATATAATTTCTTTTTTACTTTCTATTATAGATCTTTTTATAGCTCTTTTAGCTCAAATCAATTTCTATTTAATAGTTAGTATAAATGATTGGTTATAGATTATGAATACTGATCGGGATCAGGATTCTCAGTATTATAAGAGTTTAATATCTCTGCATCTGTGATTTTGTAAAAGTATTATAAACATTTTTAATAATTTAAAATCTTATAAAGTTACTTTAAATAATATTTAATAATGAATATAATAATACTTTACGGTAAAGAACTGGGCTTATAACCTGTTAGAACACGAAGCCAAAGAAAATAAGTAATATTAGTATGACTAGCTAGAAGGCTTCTGCCGACACGGGATGAAAAGGATAATAACATGGTGGCCAATGTGACAAGGCACGTGACGCGCTTGCCTACTGACCAACTGGCTGTCTAGACAAAGAATAAATCTCCTTTCATTCCATCATAGTTGGGGGGCCTATTACATGGAGCCCCAGGTAGCTAGATAGGTCTCTGAGAAACATCTATGACTGTAGCTCGTAAGGTCCACCTTGATTGGCACAAAGTACCTCTAATCATTTCAGCCATTCATCACCTTCATTAGGTCCATATAGTTATATAGGACTGACAGTTTACCTAAACATATTTTTCGATGATCTTGTAGACAGAGCCACAGACACATCTAGGTCTGGCCAATAATCTACATCATTGGGACAAAAGGTCAAAAAGGTAAGAGAAAACAGAGTATGATTTTCTAGTTATTAATACTGATAATGCCCCTCTCGGTACAGTCTGCTGAGCAACAGAAGAAAAGCTCAACCTACGTTCTCCAGATGCATTGATAAAAATGGGCTATGGACTCAGCAAATAAATAATACCATCAGCCACCTCATCACACTCAGCAGCACGCTCAAGAGGGGACACGGCCTCCATCTGCGCGCGCACCTCAGGGTTCTTCTCAAATTCAATACCCAGCAACGGAGTGCGCACCCAGGCGCGACACACTGAATTGCTTCGGGGGAAAGGTCAAGACCTGCCACGGAATTAATAACAACGTTCATTAATCAACTTCTGTTCTATCTAATGTGCCTGTCGTTTTGGTAACCGCCAAACAAGCGTGCTTTGGAATATTGTGAGTTGCCTTTACAGGAACTCCAGCAAAGGAGTCCGAAGAGGTAATATTGATAATCGCACCGCGATCAATATCCCTGGTGCCAGTGCAGCTGGGGGATTGCTTGCCCATGACGGCAGCCTCAGCCAGGCAGCAGAGCATCATACCCCGGGCATTAATGGTCTGCATGCGGTCGAAATTTGCCATGTGTCAGTGTCGGCTATGGTTTCTGCACGCCGTTGTCGACCTGTTTCGAGTCTGGGTTAGATCGCTTTGGGGATTATTTAGTGCTTACGCACTCCTGTTCCTTGACTACGTAATAAATGCGGCCAGAATCCTTGACAACAAAGTCTATTATATCCTGCAACCACTGTTCATCCATCACATTGACAATGAAAGTTGTTGCTTGGTATTCGGCAGACGATTTAGTGATGTCAGCATCCTTGTCAGCAAAGAACAACAACACGTGCTGCATTTTTGGTCACTATGCCAACAGGCCTCCCTGGAAAGTGGCCATGTCCAGGCATAATAGGAAAGGCGCTGTCAGGTTGGTGTTAACAGCGTGGGTGTAGTTGGCCAAGTCTTGGTCGAGGCCAGAATGACAACAGACGTTTTGTTAGAAACCAGGCGAGGGATGAGTGTCTCCACCAGGACCGGGTCGGTCAGATCACAGTGGACCTCTTTATGACGCCGAATGAGGTTTTTAGTCATCGCCTTAGTGCCAGATGCCTGCGTGGCCCTTTGTACGAGGATAACATCCGCCCCGTGTGCTCCCTGTAACCAGGGCATTATTTCCGGTTAGAGAAAAGAGTGCCATCGTGGCCGAGTCGACTCTGCAAGGTAGGTCGTTAAGGAACTAGTAGATGGTAAAATGACCAGCTGGGTGAAAGAAGTCCGTGACATAAACTTGTGGTGAGGAAGGGTTGACGAGGAATGGATACCTGGAGGAAGCAGGTGTGACAAGATCAGCTAACCCACGAACGACCTCCAGTGACAACCAGCGGTTTAAGCTGCAGCAGAAAGTTCCCGGCAAAGGTCCGTGAGTAGCCTGGATCTACTTCCGGAACTGCTCGATTTTTTTACCCCCGAGCAAGGAGACGGTGGTTGCCCTCTACTGCCCAACGGGGTGGTGTGACCCGTCCATCTCACTGGCAACTGAAGCCATGCTTCCACCTTATATTCATATATCCTTCCTCAAATTCCCCGCTCCTGCTTCCAATGGATATTATGTTCAATGATGGGCCAGATCAGGCAGCGGCACCCCTTGAGACGGACGTGTGAATCAATAACGCAGTAAGAGGCCTGCGCCGAGGATTGGCGACAAGGCCGCAAGGTTCCATGTATTTCTAGTTCAGGAAAATCCTGCGTCCATGAAACCACCACGGTAGTCGTGATGGCATATATGAGCAGGACTAGTCCAGTTTCGAGTAATCACGGTCATCACAGACAGATTTTGCCCGTCCCACTGCTGCACAGCATCAGAATGTTTCTGTAAACCAAATCAGCCACACCAGCATGTCCCATAAAATCACCTCATTCAACAAATCCGCATCGGAATAGCCGACGAGGTAGTCAGAAGCTCAGCTGTCCAAAAAAAGTAACTGTCCTGATGACTCGCTGGCACTGTCCTAGTCCGTGTCTGTCCTTCTTCCGTTTATTTCTCTTCTTCGATGTTGCATCTCTCATTCGACGTGTAAACGGTGCATTAACAACCCGGGAAACTAATTCGGTGGTAGATCATGCAGGAGTGTGACTACCCTACCCCCATGATCTGATCCTCTGTCCCTTCCTTCCCAACAGCAGCACTGCCTCATCAGCACGTGGGCCGTATATCATAGGCTTCAAATAGAGGGTTCATAACAAGCCCCTTTCTTCCACACCAGCCATGTTGTAACTGTTAGTGTCCCCAGACTCCACAATAGCCCATAACACATAGGCAATGACATGGTTTGTACCTTAGAGCCCCTCCTGGGTAGTGTCAAGACAGCCCAAGTTTCAATGATAGGGATTAGATGCCCTGCTTAGTGACGGGTATTGCGCGAAGGGATGCTTTGCGTTTGCATCAGTGGACGGTCGATTCGATTTGGATGTCCAGTGAGCGAACAGGACTATTATAATTCAAGCGTTAGCTTTGAAGATGTTTTGTGAATATGGTGCCAGGAGGAAATATACATACTGGAATGGTGAATGTCTGAAAAGGGATGACGACACCATCGTCGTGTATTCTCTTACGAGCTTGCATCTTGGTAAGAGCATCCTTTGATATCGAGGCTCTTTGAAGCTAGGTACATATAGTGTGATTCACGTCCACTGCTGAGCGGTGTAGAAATGCCGTTTGTATACTTCCCTCGACCCCGGAGGGTGGGGTGGGGTGGTGAGAGGTATCGAGGGATGGGAGAGGGAGGGACATAAGGATATTTATATACCTTTTGTGAGGGGGTTTGTGTATTTTTGAGGAGGAGGATGGCGGGAGATGCAGAGAGTATATAGAGGGTTCCCTGCTTTCTGACTGAAGCTTTCATTTAGATTCCTACTAGAGATGATGGGATTAGGAAGCTGTCTATATCAATAGTGGAAATAAAGCGAGAAATCCCAGATAGGAGAAGAAAATAGGATTATTGCATTACATTTTCCGTGGAAAAGCAGTTACCCTCCGATGCCCTTGGTCCTTGTTTCCATTCTGAATCATCCAATAGCAAACAAATAATCAATCACATATCACAAGCAGTATTCTCTCGGAGGATGCATCTACGCCACCACATTCTTCACTCACTCTTCACAAACAACTTCTCCCGCCTCATAAACACCGCCATGATTACCGACAACCCCGCCGATGCAATCGCCATGACAAACACATCATCCACACTCCGGACAATCGCCGCCACGACACGCTCCCGCTGTTCCGCGCTCAAATCCGCAAACATGGAAGCCCTAACCCCCGAGATAGCCTGCTGGATAATACTCCGCGGCATATCTGGCAGAATATCCGCAATGCGACTCGTCGCCTGATTGACAAACAGACTATTCGAAATAGTCAACGCAAGAGCCGAACCACCGACCTGACCCACCCCAATAAACGCCACCGCCTGCGCCAGCTGGCTAGGAAGCGCCTTGACCTGAGCAACAGGGAATCCCGCCTGAGAAAAACACCCGACCCCAAAAGCCGCCAGCATGGAGTACCCGTAGATCCTTGCACTGCTGGTATCTGGTTGGATGGTGTAGAGGAGGCAGCTTCCAATCAGGGATAGAATTGCACCGCCTAAGTACCACGGCATGTAATAGCCTAGCTTGGACATGAGGGCGCCGTTGAGCAGGATGGCTAAGACTAGCACGCAGACGAGGGGTAGGAGATGGACGCCGCTGGCGAGAGCGGTATTTTGGTGTGCGAATTGGAACAGTATGGGGAGGAAGTAGATCGTAGGCACGACCAGAACTTGGGAGCTACCCATTTGAGCGAATAGGATGTCCATCTCCCAGGATTGAATCAGGGCCACGGGGAAGAGGCGGTGCTCAGGGGTGGTCCCTATGGAGAAGGCCTGTTGGAGGATGAATAGAATGGAGAGAACCCCTGCACACACGAAGAGTCCAATGGTTTGTCCGCTGTCCCAGGCATAGATGCTGCCGCCAAATGCAATGGCCATGAGTGGGCTGGTGATTGCTCCTGCACTGAGAATTGTACCTAGACCATCGAGAGCACGGATGCGAGTGGTGAACGAGACGTCGGGACGGGGGTCGGCCTGTGGGAGAAGGAAAAGGTAGACGGGCGCAGCGAGGCCACCGATGCAGAGGTTGATGTAGAAGGCCCAGCGCCAGGTAGCTGAGCTGTCGGCGAAGGCGCCACCGATGATGGGGCCGAGACTAGATTATGCTGTTAGGTATGCTCGGATGAGGTATTTGTTGACTCACATGATGCCAATACCGTAGGTTAAACCAATGAAACTCAGATAAAGTGGTCGCTCAGCCTCACTCGTCAACACGGATACCATGTTCACGGCACCCAGATAGACCCCCATGCCGCCAATCCCACAAATGACGCGACCGACGATAAGAGATTTGAGGGTCGGGGCAGCACCACAGAGGGCAGATCCGACCTCGAAGATGATGACGCCGGCCAGAAAGAGCGTCTTGTTCTCAAAGTGGCCATAGCATTGACCCCAAGGTAAATCAGTGGCGATGGCTCCGAGGGCAATTCCAACTGAGATCCAAGGCAGCTTGTCAATTTCACCTAGAGCATCAATGATATCCGGTTGCACATTCGCGACGATGGTGTTATCCAATGCGAAGAGGAACAGTGAGGCCATAAGGGAGAAAACGACCAAGAACCAGGTCAAAGGCTTTCGGTCTCTTTCCACGGGGCCTGAAGATTCAGGAATCGCAGGTGCCTCTTTGGCTTCCACCTCGGCTTGCTTGGAGGCCATCGAATGGAGATAAGGGTAGGGATCGTAGACGATCAATGGACGTTGAAAGAATGCGAGCTCAGTAGCCAGCAAAAGCGATAATTGAGCAAACTTCACTTTATCCTGGTTGGACTCTTGGGAGCTGAAAAAACAGGACTGTCTGGAGGAATGTTAGTAGAGATAAGCGAAGAAATTGGGAGAAAACTTGCCGAGCACTTCATCCAGAGCTATTTATTATATGCACGGCTTATGCGCCTCGCCGCTATCATGTCTCGGATCGACATGGAATGTACCTTGATAGTGCATACAACAACCAGTGAACGATCCAACGAATACTTATAGTAAGTCGTGCCTGGTTGGCCCAGTCTTTTAACCCTAAGTGGGGTGTGACTCTGACTGCCTTGGAGCCAATGAACATCCGGTTCTTGAGGGACTGATGCCGCCACCAGACCAGATACATTCCGGCGCAGATCCCTGGATTTTTTATCCATTCATTCTGCTCAACTTTATGCAGCTGGTCAGAGTATTGGAAATATGCCCATGTTTTCTTTTCACCGAACAAAGAGATGAATCTTGTACGGATTAGTAACCTTCCCTGTTAATGTTTCTCGTATTCAGCCAAGCCAATGCCACTCTCACATATAATCTGCTTGTCTCGTGTTATACCTTTTCGCCTCCGATAGCTCGGTCTAGGCGAAGGGCCCATACCTAAGGATTTTCAATACCTATTGGATAACGAATGAGGCCCTGGGTCACATTGTACATGATGTTATTTTGCATTCAAACTTGGCAGGTGCTACGTGAAGTGTTTTATAAGGCTTAAATTGTCAAGGTTCTACGTGGCGGCCGCCTGATACAGTAAGCAAAGGCTCTAGCCTGGAGAAAGTGATGGCCGATGTGCCTGTAACGTCGGCAATACATCATTGTCAGACGTCAGGATCAACATAACCTTCGCCATCCATGAAAATCTCCTTCAACCCACCACACCCAAGATCGCAACAAACCTGTCTTGAATTTCCCTTATCTCAACCCCTCAGCCCTACGCACTCTACGATCGAATTTTCATCGCCCTCACCATGGCCTGGTTTGATAGGCTGCAGAAGAGAGTATTGACCTCCGTCGAGTCCAATGAAGAACTCCAGAAAGCCTGTGAGGGGTTTTTCAATGACGCTATTCTGGAAAGTCAAGTTTTAAACCTGGCTGCATCAGAGATTAAGAACGTGCCCGAGGTATTCCACCTCCACGCTGACCCCGATTCTAAGTGGTGGGAGCTCTCAGAGGAAGAGCGTACCAAACCTGTCCCGGAGTATCTCGGTGAGTCCGGATCCCATAACCTCTGGTATGGCACTTCTGACAGATCGAAATTAGATAATATTTGGACCGACTGCTATAGCGCGGGGTTCTTGTCCTTCGACTCAGAATACATCACCATGGTTCTCCTCGCGCTGCTTAGTAAACGCTTCATCTCGTGCCAATATACCCTACAGCTACGAGCCAGGACGCCTCTGACTTTGAAGAATTGGCAATACGAAAATCGGACAGCCAAGATCAAAGGGAAAATAGGTTGGACTGTGTGGTGCAACCAACGCGCTTTCCCTCGACGTGACCCTGAGACTGGAGAGCGCGTTGAGGACGATTCCTATAAGGTTGAATCATCCGTAACTCTTGCGTACATGGGTCAGTTTTGCGTTTTCCATTACATGGGTCTTATACTAAGATTAACAGGGATGATCCACCAACCGAGGAAACGAGCAGGTCATCCCGATTACAGAGTCTATGGGTTGCAGCCAGTCTGAGGGAGTGGCACTTTTTTCGGATTGACAGCGATTCCACAGTGAGCCATCGAATGGGCCTGAGCTGCTATGCTGTTTGATACACTAACCTTCAAAGTATTCACACAAGTGCTACCGAACCAGTATTGATTTGATGGACAAAGATGCCTTCCGAAAATTCGATCGCTTGCTGAACGAAGTCACTTCTACAAATTCTCCAGGATTGAAGAAAGAGGTTACAGATGATGAAGGGGACCTTGTCAACATTCCTATTGATGAAGCGGGTGATCTCTACTGGCACTGATAGAGGTTCGATGTCTGCTTGCTTAGCCATAGGTTACTTTAAAACTCGTAGAAATACATTGCTTGATATTCATTCATGCCCGAGTCCTAATGATGATGTGATACCTGTTTCGGACTACTGCATATATACTGCTTTACAACGACCTGTATACAAGACCTTTGTCAGGCCATTTAGTATCCATCTCAGGGCCAAGACAATGCTCTCTATAACACTCCGTATGAGATTCTACCTCTAAGTGATGACCTATACAGGAGCTTATACCGACGCGCTACAATCACACCAGTCAAAATACAACCACACTTTCGGTTCAGTCTACCTATAGAATCAAAGATATGTGTTTTAAAGAAATAGCAGAATTCGTACTGCTCAGAAAGGCATAAATGCTTTGAGGCTTCTTATCTATATTTTCAGAATCATATACCTATCTTAGTCTACTATATGATCTCAACTGCTGTCTATATAATCCATGCATGACAGGGACTTTTATTCACTGTTATGGGAAGCTATACATGAGGCTCTACTTCAGCCATTGTGGACAGAAATCAAAGGCACGTTTCTCAAGATTCTCCAAAATAGCTCATAAACTTATGAAATACATTTTCAAAACTGCTGCAATCTCCATCCATAGAGATAATGATATATATATATCCCAGTTGGCTGCTGGAGTGGACAGTAAACAAGATGTTCCACCACTGATTATAACAATGGGTCTACTTACTCTAATATGTAAAGTAAACTGTTCATTTAGGTAGTTGGAGTACGAAAAAATGTGGTTGTAGCCTGGCCGGTGTGAGGGCTGTAGTGCCTTTTCAGCCTTGCAGAGTGGAGCAGTGCCCCCCCCACCACCCCACCACCGCGGCTAGAATCCTCCGCGGAACAACTCCACCATCAACCCCGGACAATAAAACCCATCTACCATATAAACATATACACCTCTTTCCCACCATATCCCTCCTCATTCTTCCCCACCTCATCTCTCCTCACCTCTCCCTTTACATTCACCGCCACCACACAAAACCCCAAAACAAAATCCGTATCCTCCTCCTCGGCGCCACCGGCTTCCTCGGCAGCCGCCCCCTCCCCTCCCTCCTGCAACACTCCCACACCGTGATCCCCTACATCCGCACCCCGTCCTCCCTCCCCGTCCCACTCCTCCCCCACCTCCCAACCATAATCCAAAGCGACCCTCGCTCCGCAACAACCATAAAATCCGCCTTCTTCGACCACAACTGCGACGCCATCATCAACGCAGCCGGCTACGCAGCCATGTTCCCATGGAGTTCCACCTCACTCCCTGATATCGTGGACGCAGTCATCCAAGCAGCGGTGGAAATCGGCCGTGAACGGGGACGACCAGTTCGGGTGTGATTGTTGGGTGGGGTGAGGGGGTTGGATGTTCCTGGTATGGGAGGGTGGAGGTGGGTGGATTTGTATGTCTCTCTTCCTCTTCTCTCTTTTCTTTTCTTTGTTTGGTTAGAGTGGTTTTGAGGTTGGGGTTAGTGCTAACTGTATGTACCTCTTGTGGGTAATGAATAGTATGCACATCTTCCCCTCCCATCAACAAACAATCGCGAAACTTAACGCACTGCCGAAATCAAGTTTGAATTGGTCGTTGCTTTGTCCGGGGGTGATGTACCCCGCTAGTGAAGAGGTCATGTATCCGGCATGGTGGGGGTGGGGTAGGGAATGCGGATGATTTGGTGGTGGGGGCGGAGGAGCCGCGGAGTGGAATGGGAGGTTTCTTTGTGTACCGCTGATTGGGGGGCATTTGAATGTGTTTTCTCAGGTGGGGGGGGTATGCCACAGCGTTGGAGGATAATGCGGATTTTATTGCGAGGGACTTGGCGAGGGGGGAGGAGAGTGAGTGGGTGTGGAAGAGGGTGGGGACGAAGAGGAGGTGAGATGTTCGGGTGGTAGTGGAATGTTAGGGTTTGGGGGGATTGTCGGTTGAGATGTTTGTTTGTATCGTTGTGGATGTTTGTAATGATATATGAGTTGAATAGGGGGTTGGATGTATTTGTCACTGCCGCTTGAGTTATATCGAGTGATTGAAGATAAAAAGAGACTATTATTCATTCATCGGATACACCCAACTCATCCTCCCCCTCATCACCTCCTCCATCGGGATATACTCCAACACCCGACCCTTGCGCAGCTCCGGAGAGATAAGCCAGTTCACAGCCACACTCTCCACACACCTCGGAGTGCTCAGATACCGAGAGAGTCCATAATAACATATATTCTCCCAAGCATGCATACGTGTCTCCAACCCCGCATTCGCAACATCAGCAACAAGCGAACATGCCCGGCTCTTTCGTGTCTTCTCATATGCCTCAAACACTTCCGTCAGAGTCGAGATATCCGGGTTCTTGCTAGGCGGCATCTGTACAGCCCGTCGAAGCTCATTACAAAGCACAATGATATCCTGAACCCCATTGTTGAATCCATGCCCGAGATGGGTCGTCATCTTGTGGCATGCATCTCCCACGAGCACAATCCGCCCCAGATACCAGTGCTGCGCGATTCCCTCTTCGAGATTCGTCATTCCGGCTCCTAGCATGTGTGGCCAGACATCTTTCACTTTCACTGTCTGGGTCAGGGGAAATCCGGCAAACTCCTGGGCGAGTGTCTCGATATCATCCTCGCTATATTGTCTCCGCTCTGTCGTAGGTCGCGGTAGCTTTTTGTACAAGAAGAACCAAGCTCGTTTTGGCCCGCTGAGATACATGATTGCCTTTCCCTTTGCTTGGACATCATACCCCTGACCGGACGACGAAGGAGCAGGGAATGCCCCGTACAAGAGCTGGTAGGAGGATGTAAATGGTTGCACTGGGTCCCAGGCTCGTGAGGGGTCCTCATCCAGGGCAATATCTCTCATCAGGTTCCGGGTTTTGCTGTGGACGCCGTCAGCTCCGATGAGTATAGATCCGTGATAGGTGCTGCCATCTGCACAAATCACATCGACGCCATTTTTGTGGGAAACAATGTCGACTAGTTTCTTGTTGGTCAATATATTCGACTTGGTGGTAGCTGGAAGGCCTTTGTACAAGATTTCGATTACCTCTGCCCGGTGGAGAACAACAGGTCCATGGCCGTGGCTGTTGGCTTGTAAGCTCAGCATTGACAGGTAACTTAGGTAACTCACTTCTCGCGTATGCGCTCATATCTTGCGCCCTCGTTAAAAACATGTCCGTCAGAAGTAAAAGACAGATGGTGGTTCAGTTCGCCGCCTACGGAGAGTAGCGCCTCCAGGAGGTCGAACTGGTGCATGACGCGGAAGGTGTGAGGGTAAACCACCAGGCTAGCACCTTTGTCTTCAACGATGGCGGATCTGCCTTCCAAAACGATGAAATCAATCCCTGCGTGATGAAGTGCATGTGCAGCTGTCAGTCCAACCGGACCTCCGCCAATTATTATGACTTTGAAGGTCTTCTCCATGTTGTTTTTTGATGTAGTTGTATAGCACTCTTTCGTAGGAGGGAGATCAGTACAAATTTCACGACCCTAGATTTATGGGTTATAGGTGCGGGAGCTCGTCAGGGGAATAGAATCATCATGTATCCATGTTGTGGAAAGGTCTCCACAACGGCGGAATTGACTTAGACGGAGTTATTTCGACTGGCGGCCGGCGAAAATGAAGTGGGCCCTCGGAGGATCCACCAACCCATCATCGTTTGCAAGATCGGCCGAAATGGAGTTAAAACATTTCACTTTCACAATTTGACTATTTCAAAGCAGCGCCACAGATTGTCCAATTATAAATGGCCCAGTAACTGTTACACGTAACTGGAGCAGCATCACGCAGCAGCATCCAAAATGACTTGCGCCGACGAAAGAAACTGCAGCCACCGTGGGTGTAGCGGTGCCTCAAAACGAGACAGTATCAACGAAATTTGACTATTTGACAGCGGACCAGGAACCGATTCGCTGAAGCTCTTGAATGAGACTATTTGCGTCGTTAGTGAGGCCACGGAATCCAGGGATCTACATACGGATCAAAAGCCTGGGAAGTGTCCAAACACTGGCAAACTGCTCAAGCTGAAGATACAGAACAGTCTTCTCGTGGTCAATCTCGGAATCGATATTAAACACGTTTGTTGTCGCCGACTTTCGATGAAGCTCAAGAAACACAAGAGCAGTGAGGGTTGTGAGGCAGATGGCCGGATCCACCTTGAGGCAAAAAGAGCTATCCCACTGTTCGGCAACCAAGGCAATATCCTGACATGTCTGGTATACTCGCTGCCAATTTACCAGCCAATCATTGCCCTGAGAAGCCGCGCAGTGGAGTATCGAGAGTAGCAATTGTGCCATCAGCAGTAGAAGAACGGAGACCATCCGCTCGTGATGGCTGGCTTGAGACTCGGCGGTGAAGGCATTGCGTCTGGGATTTAGCCATCCGGGAGGGAGGGACATACGAAACTCTGACAAGTGTTGTGAAACGGTGGCTAAATGGAATAAAGTCTCCTCTCGTGGCCGTAAGAAATGTAGCCGTGTAACAAGTCCCATCTGACGGACGGCGGCGATGGTGATATTATGGATATTGGGAACCATTGTTTCTGGGTGTGCTGTAATCGCAGGAACTAATCTCCACAGACTGTTGACCTGTTGTGACACGTATAGTTCTGGGGGCTGTTCGTCATCCAATATCTGCTTCCCCACCACTAGTGAAGTATCGATCAGGCTATCTTCAATCAAAAACGGTGTTCCTGATGAAAGATTCGAGTACGCATCCAGCCGATAAATGCACCACCATATCGACCGCCATTCCTGGATATCCTCATAGCTAACTGTCTTCCACTCATCATATCGCACACGAAGTACTTCGAGGCGGTCAAGCCCGATCCGATAAGCCATGCGTGTTAACTTTCCCACCCGCATCCACGACTGGTTGCCAGGGAATTGATGGAACTCGTAGAATGCAAGAATGCATGCTTTGCGGAATTGATCAAGGGACGGAAAATCTCCAACAATCTCCTCCTCCAGCAGACTTGAGCTAAGCATTCTTTCGATACTAGTATCCAGTCCTAGAGCATGGCTGAATTGTTCCCTCCCTATGAGCTTTGCTGTAATCAGGGCAATTGCAGAAACCAGTTCCGGGCTGCACAATGATCTACGGTAGTCCTGGAGAAACCTTTCTTTGTCAAGAATGGGGTTTGCATCGCGAGCAATGTCGAAAAACCTTTCAAGTCTGTATAACCATAATCTCAGCGTAGGACCATCGGGGTTAAACGATGTACATACAAGGCCTCTTCCTGATGTCGGGATATACTGAAGGCAGGATGGTTTTGAGAGTTTCCATGGGGCAGGACGGATGATGGTCCGGGTCCGATGCGGTCTGTTAACTGCGAAACTGTGGCCGTTGGAGACGGATTCTGATTGGAGCCAGAAGCCGAGGTGTGGTCATTCAATTGATCTTATGACAGTTCAAAAACTAATTAGTATGTCATCCGTTGTTCTCGCCAGAACACGCGAAAACAAGTGATTAGAGGGAGATTCAATACCCAAAGGTCTGTATGGCCTTGGCCTAGGTAAAACGCGCTGCGAGCCGCGTGAAGGCCCTGGCCTTCGCCGTTCGGACGTGTAGGTACAGGTAAATCCCCATTCAAGACAGCGAGAGCATGAAGGTCGCGCTCGGTCACCTGCAGATATCCAACCTGTTAGTAGTCACTCCAGGTATTGGAGAGCTGCCAAGACCGTACATTTTACCTTTTTGCTGTACAACGTCAGAGCGCGCAGTGGAGAAAAGGGGTAGGAAATACCGGATACAGCTGTCACAGACTCTCAAGGTCATGGGAGTTGTCTGATTGGCGGGATGTTACTGTAGGTTAGAGTTTCCACGCGGGATCGTCCACGGAATATTGGTGATAGGCCTGGTTCTCTTACGGAGGATTTGTCATTGTTCCGAAGTGAGGTGATGATGGATTGCTCGGCAAGTCGGAATTTGTCTCGGAGGATCTCCCTGTCACGTGCAATAGACTTTCCGGGGCTAGCCTACATCCAGAATAGTGCATCTACGGGACTCCACGCCTATTCTTAGACCAAATTTGGGCTATGGAATAATATGTACATGTATGCCTACTACAGTTGCTGCCTGATTACCGTCATATCAATAACATTACTGTCCCAGACACCTTCCATCAACCATGATCATTTTCCCCATTGACGTAACTGTGGAATCATGGGTCATCATCACAGACAATGTGGTCTATCCAATCTTCCACATCAGTTCTTGAAGCTTTGTGGCCCTCTCCAGAATCTTTGTCAGGTGACAATCTGCCATCCAATCCATTAAGCTCTATCCACTCATGTATTCTCTTCTCCTGCGGAGGATACCCTTCACGTCGCAGCCAGCCGAACATGCATCGTGTTTCATTCTTTGACTCACACTCTTCCCCCGGGTTGAGAGCATCATAATTGATTGTGATGTTTGGCATTATTGGCTCCACCTGCGGGAATGATGCTGCAAAAGCGGGCTCAGACAATTGATGTACCACGCGACCATTTTGACACGTCCACTTCCAACCTGCATATCGGAGGCCGTGCCCGGTGCAGTTCGCGTGCAGGCGGACGTCAATTTCAGTGTTTTCAAGAGCGGTAGCACCAAACGGCATCCACGGACATATAGGCCAGCGTGTATGACGGTCCTCTTGGATAAGATAGAGAATTCGACATTTATCAGAGCGCAAAATAGAGCTATTTGTTGCTGGATGGATAGGCTCTTGCATGAACGATTGCATGGTTCCAGACCACGCCGCAACATCTATGTCAGTAGGGATAAATCCGAATTGACCATCTCTTAATACCTGCTTATGGCTACCCAGGATTGCTCCTCCAAGCCAGAAGAAGGCAAGGTGCGGAACTCGACTCATTAGCATATGGATCAGAATGCGATCGTCGTCAACAGAGTTTACAACAGCAAATATGGATTGCAGCCATGGGCTTGCAACATTGCAAGCTATGCCAGGCTCGTAGAAGACGCTTGCCAGCAGAGAATGAATCGCTCCTCCAGTGCAGCTCAACGTGAGAAGTTTGTCTAAATGATGGTCTTCCTGCACCCGAGCAAGGTCAAGTTGCACTTTGCATTTTGATGACCCCACTTTACACTTCGGTTCAAGGCTGAATTGTGGTCTGGGTAGAACGATGCCTTTTCCTCTGCCAGGCAACTGTGGGAGCAATAACACGGCCGATAATGCTGCATAGCCCTGGTCAACAATCTTATGCAGAGAGCAGTAATCAGATAGAAAGCCGAAGGCAGTCGCAGCTGATATGGCTGTATCTGACACCATGCATCGGTTGCTGTGAGAGAAAAGCCTAAATTGCGAGGTCTCCGCAAGAGTTATTGACCAAGGGGACCAGTGTTTGTCTTTTCCTAGAGCAATATAGGCCTCCCAGCCCTCTTCCGGAGCCAGAATAGCAGTCCACCATCTTGCTGCGTTATCATCAACAGCCCCTACGTTCACCAAGACAGGATCTTGTTCTCGGCCTTGTCGCTGTTGCATGCTTTGCTGTCCGTATATGTGAGTATGGCTTCGGGCATGAGTTCAGCCCAGCGTGCTGAAAGAATATGACTCCATGCAAATATCAAGACAGTGAGGTGATTTTCGTCTGTATTAAACCATTGCTGGTGGCTTCGATCCGGGTTTGTAGACACAATGAGAGGGGTTGGAATGTCGGCCGAGACTCCGATTTGAACATGCCGTTGCAGTGGAGGTATGGTGCAGTTCTCCGACGATCCTTCCCAGATCGATGTTCCCGAAGCCCAGAGCTTCTTGTAAGCGAGCTTGAGATTCAAGTCATCAGGAAAGTAAGGCTGGTGCTGCAATGCTGGCTGGATCTGAAAACAGGTTTGGGGAAGGTCAGATCTCTCCATAGCACGCATGTAGAGACTTTGCCAGATGCGAAAACCTTTTTCATACACAGTTCTGCCTTCTTCAGCACTGGGGACCGCGTCTTTCATGATGAACAAAGTGATGAGGGTGAGAGAGTAAACGGTGCAGATTCAGAGGGAGATCGCGAGATTTGTAGGTTGGACAATAACAAAGGCTTACTAATCAAAGTTGGTCATGAACCAACCAACAGCGGAACATACCGAAGCCCAGTCTCTGTACGAGAGAAACAATGAAGAAAAACAATCAAGAAAAGGCAAGTTTTCTTTGTTCCACCCCCCTAGACTAGATGAATCGGGTTTATATGTCAGCGGTGCGGTCGGAACAAGCCCGTGGGCCCGGAAAGGCCCGTAGCAAGCCAGATGACGTCCGATGCCCCTTCACAGGAGAGGCATGTTGAGCCATATCAACAAGGCATGCCGCATGATCAGTCACCTGGTCGCAGCAAGGGTCTCAAGGGATTTCAACTAGGGGATTATAGAGACTAAGTATTTAATGAAACAACTTCATATATGTGTATATCTCTTGTACGTGTCATTTAAGAACGCGCTACAGGCATCCTGGCCGGACTAACCACACCCTTTCAGGTTCACTCTCCTCCTACTATGATGGGAATAGATTACTTTGAATCTCGCTGTTGTTTATACTGATCTCTAAAACAGCAAAACATACCTCAGGCTGCTAAATACAGGAGTGAAATAAATATCAAGAATCTGTGTGGGTTGCTACATGACCTACATTAGTTCCTACGCGAGGTCCTACACAATTATCTACATAAAGTCCTACCCGGGCTGTCGGTGTAATACTAAATAAAAAACTTTTTGATCTGCGATTCACGGCGTACGTAGCTAAAGTTTTAGGATTGATATTCTCCCCGGCAGCTTCTGAAAAGGGTAGGCAGGAAGTGTAAAAGGAGTGTGGTTTAGCCTACCCGGTTTCCTTGAAGCACCTCTCCCCTTCAAAGACGACCTAGGCAAGGTACCTAAATTCGGCGCTTCTTCTAAATTTCCAGGCGAGGCATATTGGTGACGTCAATGGGGCAGCTATAAGGATGATCAGGGTACCACAAGCAAAGCACCCAAACAGGCTGATCTACTTCTGAATGGGCTTTGATATGGCAGACCATGAATAACTTTCCGCAACGTGGAACGGTACAATAATAGGGCCTATGCTCATTATTGGCATGTTCGCAGACTACGCAAAATCCGGGTAGACCGGAGCTGGCAGTCATCTTGATGTTTTGAATAACTGGAACGATTGTGGGCGCTTAGTGGACACCGAGAGAACCTACTGCTTTGCTTCACGTCAGCCCTAGAACTGATGGTTGATACTGCGCTTGCATGGTATGAACACGACAAACCTTAACGCGATTGTGAAAGTACAGCGTAACAGCCGAAGACGCTTACTAGACACAAAACTATGGATGCAATGCATGGCCCACAGAAGGCAGGGACCTTAGGGGCTTGAATTAGCCTTCAGAGATGAGGCATGGTGACCTCTTCCACCGGAGGCCTCCCCTGGCTGGCCGGGATCCTCCCAACTAGTCTGAGAGCTTCTACAGATAGCTGAAAGTCTCCTACAGCTGGAGGCTTCCTACAGCCGAAGACCGCCTACACACTCCCTTTAGGCACGGGAAAGAAGCCGCAATAATTTCCTATCTAGGTAAGTTTCTAGCATACCTGAAGGTTTGTCTACATAGGTCCCGCTTTATGTGAGGATTGGCACCATCGAAAAGCTCTACCCGGGGCGGTTCTACGTGAGTAACCTAATCAGTGATGCGTGGTCTAAGGTAGTGAGCTTAGAATCCTAGTCTTTTGCCAGATAGCCGAGTTGCTAACTGGTAGAATCCTACGACTTAAAGGGCACTATGTCGGATCCTGACCGCCAGTGTGCCTGTAGCGCCTCCCAAAATCTATCATAAATTTTCAAGGCAAAATTGGTTATTTTTATGACGGATTCGTTAATCCTGCGAAATAGACTAACTATTTATAAGGTTAGAATATTGTCGCAGAGGATGTCTTCATGTGTTGAGATCATCCAGTGCTAGTTTATATTAAACGTAAACAGTATATATGTAGGTAGACCCCCTATTGGCTCACTATCAACATCTATACAGCGGAAACATAGTGTTTCATATTGTTATGACGGTGATGCTTGTATACATACTGCAATAGCTGCCTTACTTTCCCCGTTTCGATAACATTACCCTTCCAACCATCTCCCATCAATGAAAAATACTCCATTGACGTAATTATAAACATAGCTAATAGAGGAGTTCTGCTTTTAATGTTCGCTTATGGTATCTGACTGTTATATCGTGGAATGCAAAAGTTAGAAGCGTAGTGGTAGGAACTGGAACAAGCTGTAGCCCACGCGGTGATATCGCCTGTAACCCATCAAATCCATGGCCAGTACCAGTGCGGAAAAGCCTTTTTTGATCAACAGGTGGTACCATAGCTCAGTCCATTAACGCTCCACCATCGACAGTTCTACCTATATGGCTTTGGTTCTACCAGCCGATGGGCACATTCTTGCTTGGACTCTAATCACATCGCTTACTATTGTTTGTCACCTCTGCTGTTCCAGGTCAAAACCATCCGTTGACGCCTTATGTCGAGGTCTACATAACCTCCCTGGATGTAGCTTGTCCTCCCGTTCATGCTTCCCCACATTCTCTCTCGTGCTATTCAGATTCAACCACTTCCACATGCCCCCTTTCTGAAGCCAAGTGAAGTGCGGTATGTCCTTGGTCTGTCTTGTCATTTATTATCGCCTTCAATTTCGGGAAAAGAGCCTTTGTCACGCTACCATGTCCCCTGTAGGCAGCGTAATGGAGTGCAGACCATCCTATATTGTCCGTGGTAGTACCATCCGTCTTACCGAGGTCGAGAAGCAATCGGACCAATCTTTCCTGGTTGTCCCAAACCGCTAAATGCAGTGGGGTTGTTCCATCAGCCTTTCTGGCCTCAAGCGAAGCACCCTTCTTCGACAGAAGATCCACAAGATGTTCGTCCCCTGTCGTACTGGCAAAATGAATGGCGGTTGACCAGCACTTGTTGTTTTTACAGAAATGTCAGCCCCCTTGTCAAGTAAAAATTCGGCAATTTCTGTGACAGCCTCTAGAGGGGTCAAGCTTATAAGGGATGCGCATCTGAGACTAGTGGCTTAGAATCCTAGTCTTTTGCCAGATAGTGTATGTGTCTAGCAGGGGCTCCGTCTCTAGAAGCGCACCTAGGGAGCAGCCTTGACAATTTCAGTGCATGGTATAAAGGTCGAAAGCAGGAGAGGGGTCAGCCCCGTTGTGACATCCTCATCTCCCTCAAACAAATGATCAAAACGGGCTTCCAGCTGCCCTTCCTCGATCAGAATTTTCGCCGCTTGAATATCATTGGCCTGGATTGCTTCCTTCCAGCGCGACCCAACAATGACATCAAAAGACATATGGATATTGTCATCTGAAGAAGAAGCGTCATCCGTCTTAGTGTTGCCTTTTGCTGACAGCCCTGCATCTAGTGATTCATTGCGGATCGTTGATATCGTGTCGACGGAAACGTCTACCTGGAGGGGATTCTGTGAGCCACACTCGGTAATGAGTGAGCGGGCTGGGTTGGCTTTCTGACCTCGTCTGCGTGGTGCTAGTCCATGAAGCTGGATTTCATCATGGGTATACGAGTTTCGGTTCACTCTGGTTGGATGTTCCGTTCAGTTAACATCGCCCATCACCTGGCCAATTTTGGGTCAGTCGATAATGGCATGTTGAGTATGCATGAACCTTTTCGCTCGGTCGCGTCAATATTCGTGTATCCTCTGTTTACGGAGAGTGAGAAAAAGCAATATTCTCGCGCCTCTCCTGAGAGGATAGGAGCACGGCCCTTGCGTAGGCCCAAGTCCCGGGGTCCCCAAAGCGCTGGACGGTTACGAGTTGCGGATTGGTCTTCCGCTCGCATGATAAGTTCTCTAAGATAAGACATCATCCCGGGAGTGGAGTAGAGCCGAAGTGGTTCACATCTGGTTTGTGGACCTATGCAGTGATTTTGTTTAGTGCACCTGAACCAAGACATAAGCGTGATGGGGAGGGAGCATCTGGCCGCGGGTACATATCAGCCCGATCACTGGCTCACCCCTCACCTATCAGAGAGGTTGCTTGGATGGTCCACAAGCCCCGCGACCTTGCACTCTGGAGACCAGTGGTTAGTTGTTGCATATTTCCCACGATGGTCATCGGGATGACTGACACTGAGGCTATTAGACCGGTGGTTTCGCACCCAAGTCAAATAACAGTGGTGAGCAAAAGGACGGGATAAGGCCAGGTAAAAGTGAACTAAAGAACATACACAACGCGATGACTTGATCACGTCACTAACATAGTTTGGTTGGGCCGAAAACAGCAGCTCCATGTTGCTAGATTCTCGGGGCTAAGTGAAGTATTGCCAGAGCATCTTGTATTCGTACAGCTAGAAGACACGAGACGCCGAAAAGTAAGGGAACGCCATCTGAGGAAGGCGGAACTCCGGCGTTCTCGAAAAGTCACGCGCTGGTTGTGATTGAGGCCTGAGGCATCGTCATGATGCAGCCTCATACCAATAGGGGAAACACTTTCAGTCTACTCCATCTGCGTCCACGGTGGATAGGTAGCCTACTCCATATAGAAAAGCTTGTCTATTATTCATATCAGCTATTATATAATAGCACTGTTCAAGGCATCCCTTGGGGATAATTTATCACTCGGCTAAAAGGATATCTTTCTATCCAGATTAACTTATCAGTTGTTAATCTACCGTAAATAATTATATACGGGTAATTACTCGGACCTCATACATAGCTTCAGGGATACTATTCTTCGGAACCGTATAAAGAACTTAAATAATCTTCATATAGATAGTCTGCTGAAAGAATATAGTAGTCGAACATATATCTCCATGATACCCCTAAACATAGCAAGAGCCCCAGACATCTTGGCTCACTCAGCAAGGATTCCAATAGATATAAAAGTAAACCTTTCCGAATAGTAGATGGAGTAGACAGAAAGTGTTGTGGTACCTGGCCAATAGCGCCCACCTAAGGGGAATGGATATCATAGTGACCCAATCTACATGCCGCTAAACCAAAAAGGGGGCCTTACTCCATTCACCTCAGACATCTCACATAACCTGCGCATTTCCTGCGCATTTCACTTAGACATCATTCAATCTTTATAGTCAAATGGCAAATGCTTCTCCCTTCAGCCCATCCCTCCTCACCGAGGCCCCGTCAGACATCTCGGGGTTTGGCGTCTCTCAGGTCGAAATGAACAGAAGGCTAGAACGCTATACTACCACCTCCCAAGCCGACGACACTGTGGAATTTCTGCGAATTGTGTTCCAGCAGCTACCAGAAGACGGAACGATGAATTTGGCAGTCGATATTTACAGCTGTGACACAGACGAGACGCTCCGCCAACTTGTCAGGAGCTTTGAGACCGGCCTACTTTTCCCGATGAAAGCTTTGTGAGGGAAAATGCCTACTATTACCTCTAATCCACGATTTGGGCTTAACGATTCGGTCGACAACCTCGCCTCATTGGATCTAGAGTCCCCATCTCGCGAAAACCGTCTACGAACAGAATGTCTCCGTCGAGATGGCCGGCGTTGTGTAATCACTGGTGTTTGATGTCTTTAATTCAATTCCGGGTTGTCTTACCAGTGCACTTGAGGCCGCCCACATCATTCCCTTCGCTCTTGGGGCCTATCGCAACTCAAACGAAAGAGCGCAAAACTGCGTCATCTGGGCCAATATATTGCGCTATTTCCCAAGCCTTCGTTCTCGGCTCGGCTTTATATCCGACGAGATAAACCGTCATGAGAACGTCATGATGCTCGAGGCAGGTATCCACCGGGAGTTCGGTCGCTTTTGTCTTACCCTAGTACCAACCAGCACCGAGAACACATACACGGTGAAGACGTATCAGGGATTCTCGACTCTCTACAATATAGCTCTACCAACCAATGGGCGGGTAGTTTTCATATCCCACGACAACCGGTACCAGCTCCCTCACCCGCTCCTTCTGCAGGTGCACAATGCTGTAGCCCACATCCTACACATGACGGGGAGGGGGGGAAAGGCCGAGAAGCTGAAGAGGGAGTATGATGACTCAGGGTTGCTCGCTCCTGAAGGTGGAAGCGACGTCGAGTCGCTCTTGTCGTTATCAACTCTAGGGCTTCTAGAGTCAGCGGGAGACTATTAACAAGCAATCAAGAAGGGATATTTCTAGGGAAGAAACGCCAAAGCCACGGGCTCGCAGTCAAGTGGGAAAGAAGGAGGACGAACAGCTCCTATAACTCATAGGACATGGCATGATTCATCTTATTTTACGTTCTCCCCAGCCTGGGACGCGAGCACCTAGCACGAACGGTATCGGTTTCAAAGTTTCATCCTCCGATTCACATTTCGACTCATGCTCTACAAGAAGGGCCAATGTATCCTTCTTGTCGGCTCTGATCGCCGCATCCAACGGTGTTTTACCCGCGTTGTCATGGGCATCAATATCCAATCCCCGTTTTAAGAGCCATTTGCACATATTTCGGGATCCTTTTTCCGCCACCAGATGCAAGACCGTTCTCCCATCGTTGTCTTTGACGTGCAGATTGGCACCCTTGGCTAGGAGAAACTCTGCAATCTCAACGCTGCCAACCTTGCAGGCTTTCGCGAAGGGTGTCCGGCCACGTTCGTTACGATGCTCAATGTCGGCCCCATGATCAACCAACATCTCAACAGCATCCAGATTGTTTCTCCGTATCGCATTGAACAGCGGCGGGCGTGGCTGTGCCGGTCTGTAATTCGGATCTGCGCCCCTCTCTAGAAGCAAGGGCAAAACAGATGGGTTGTCATCGCATAGGGCCCACCACACAGGACCCAATGCCGCGCCCTGAACATCAGCACCATGGTCCAACAACAATTCCGCCGTCTTCACTCGACCAAGCCTAGAGACTAATTCCAAGGGAGTCATTCCATTTCTTTCACAAGCTTCCAGGTCCGCGCCTCGTTCGAGCAGGCTCTTTGCAATACCCACGAACAACCTCCCCACTGCCAAATGCAGAACCGAATTCCCCTCCCCTGATTGATCCTGGATACCTGCTCCTGCGTCGAGCAATCGCCGCGCTGCGCCCGCGTGGCCCCGAAAAACTGCTTGTGCCAGCGGGCTCCCCGAGAAATCGTCATGCCACTTCTGAACGATCGGTACGCCGCAGATTCTAGCAATTACTTCCCCCGCCACCTCGAAGTGCACATCCGCGCCGATCTCCAGCATCAACTCAATGATCGCCTCTAGTCCGTTCACGGCGGCCCAAACCAAGGCGTCGCCTTTATTCTCGTCGCTTCCCTGTGTCAGATTATCGGCCAGGAACTCCAGTCCTTCATAGCGATACATGAGTGTTGCGGGGTCGATATCTGCTAGTCGACCTGGGTCAGGTTTCGGATTGGACATATGAATCACCTCTGAGGATCCTATTCCAACTAGAGTAAATTCGGGGAACACATCATGGACCAGAAACTTCCTCAGTAACTGGGTGGTATGCCATCGGCAGACCACGCCGGTAATGTTATGTAGCGAGTGGGTTAGATCATTGACCAGGAACTCCAACGCCGTCAACGTGTTTCGTTTCCAGTTCATATATCCGTTGTCACCATCCTCGTATGATCTATAGTCTAGGTGACTCTGTGAAGCTATCAGCATCTATGTATTGTCTCGTGGTTGGGGGGGGGGGGGGGGGGTAGCTACGAGAATAGCCTTAAGAATCGCCCGTCGGTTTTCCGGCTCAAAAACCTGACACAGACTTCGACAAGTGCGACGGAGACGCAATGCATCATCAACATCATCTAGGCGCCCGTAAACAAGGACAAGAATGTCGGTCGGGAGATCGCTCAGCCCAACCATCGTTGGCGTTGGGGAAACTTCAAATTCTGATACCTCGAGCCGGTCGGGTGATGTACCTGAATAATAAAATTTGTTCCAGCTGGGACTTATTCCTGTGATTTCAAAGGGAAAGAGAATAGGTTCTGCTAATGATCACGATTTCGTTGGGATGTAGCCCGGTCTTTATGTCTCCGGACCCATGGGGTCTCTACCGGAAGCAAGGGATGCATCAGGCATCAGGCTACAGCCAGCATTAGGCAGACAATACATTCTCTCTAGGCTGCAAGAGTATAGCACGTTCCTGTTGCCTATCATCTTCATATTGTAATGAACCAGATAACCAATATAATCATACCGAAAGAGATTGAAGGATACGATCCAGATAAGTTGGAATTCGTCCCTCTTCCGATGTAGGATCCTACATTCTAGGATAGGATCAAGACTAGTTCAGTGAGCCAATCTACTGGTAATTGATATATTTAATCGAATGTCAATAAAGGTCAGGTGGGGAGAAGAGTAACGTTGCACGATGAGAGCTGTATATATGTATTGTGGGATGGTTGACATACATTACTCGATCAGTGGATATTTTACGCTCGTGTTTTCATTTCTTAGTTCCGTAATACTACGTAAGATATATACTCTCTGGCTACTAGTTTAACAACCTACTTTCACAGACCTAGCGGGGTGAAAATACCTCTACATCATCATTAAATAATACTGGATATTTGTTTCTATCATCTCACTTCCATCTAACATATAATACACATTACGAAACAATCACCAAGACCCAACTAAGTCAACAACCCATGACTCGTAGCAGCCAACGCTGAAGAAGAACCAGAACCAGAACCAGAACCCACAGGTATCCCATCCGACTCATCATCCCCGCCCACTAAATTCAAAATACCGTCGGTATTCTGACAATGGCCTACGTAGTTGACCGTCACCTTGCAACCATTCGAGAGTAACGCCTGGCCGCACTTCTTGCAGCCACCACCGGTGAATTGCATGATGTGATCGTAGTGTCTATCGTTCCGAGTAAGTATATTGTATAGGTGTCAAGGTAGTAAGTAGCTGGTATCCGACTTACGCTGCGAGTTCGGCGCCCGTCATTTGGCACTTTTTCCCTTCGACAAAGACTCCGCAGCCAAAGCCGGCGTTCATTCCGTTCGTGTAACAAGTGCCGGAGTTGACGTTGTTTTTGGTGGTGCTAGGATGGGGTTAGCGTTGTGGGGATGAAG